TCAGTTGCATATGTCCTGGGGACCATTCAGGCTTGTTCGCATTTGTGTTCCTCACGTGTTGCCCCAAAGAATGAGGTGATTTGGTAAAATGCTATGCCCAAGATAACTATCCGAGTGCCGGCGGTGGGGTGGTTCAAATAGCCTCGGCTATCACCTCATTTTGTCCGGTCGTGATGGTCAAGTGGATTAAGGCGTCTTGTACATACCAGATGCGTTGCTTCTGGGAGTATGGGTTCGAGTCACTTCTGGGGTGTGAGTTTTCAGTTGCATATGTCCTGGGGACCATTCAGGCTTGTTCGCATTTGTGTTCCTCACGTGTTGCCCCAAAGAATGAGGTGATTTGGTAAAATGCTATGCCCAAGATAACTATCCGAGTGCCGGCGGTGGGGTGGTTCAAATAGCCTCGGCTATCACCTCATTTTGTCCGGTCGTGATGGTCAAGTGGATTAAGGCGTCTTGTACATACCAGATGCGTTGCTTCTGGGAGTATGGGTTCGAGTCACTTCTGGGGTGTGAGTTTTCAGTTGCATATGTCCTGGGGACCATTCAGGCTTGTTCGCATTTGTGTTCCTCACGTGTTGCCCCAAAGAATGAGGTGATTTGGTAAAATGCTATGCCCAAGATAACTATCCGAGTGCCGGCGGTGGGGTGGTTCAAATAGCCTCGGCTATCACCTCATTTTGTCCGGTCGTGATGGTCAAGTGGATTAAGGCGTCTTGTACATACCAGATGCGTTGCTTCTGGGAGTATGGGTTCGAGTCACTTCTGGGGTGTGAGTTTTCAGTTGCATATGTCCTGGGGACCATTCAGGCTTGTTCGCATTTGTGTTCCTCACGTGTTGCCCCAAAGAATGAGGTGATTTGGTAAAATGCTATGCCCAAGATAACTATCCGAGTGCCGGCGGTGGGGTGGTTCAAATAGCCTCGGCTATCACCTCATTTTGTCCGGTCGTGATGGTCAAGTGGATTAAGGCGTCTTGTACATACCAGATGCGTTGCTTCTGGGAGTATGGGTTCGAGTCACTTCTGGGGTGTGAGTTTTCAGTTGCATATGTCCTGGGGACCATTCAGGCTTGTTCGCATTTGTGTTCCTCACGTGTTGCCCCAAAGAATGAGGTGATTTGGTAAAATGCTATGCCCAAGATAACTATCCGAGTGCCGGCGGTGGGGTGGTTCAAATAGCCTCGGCTATCACCTCATTTTGTCCGGTCGTGATGGTCAAGTGGATTAAGGCGTCTTGTACATACCAGATGCGTTGCTTCTGGGAGTATGGGTTCGAGTCACTTCTGGGGTGTGAGTTTTCAGTTGCATATGTCCTGGGGACCATTCAGGCTTGTTCGCATTTGTGTTCCTCACGTGTTGCCCCAAAGAATGAGGTGATTTGGTAAAATGCTATGCCCAAGATAACTATCCGAGTGCCGGCGGTGGGGTGGTTCAAATAGCCTCGGCTATCACCTCATTTTGTCCGGTCGTGATGGTCAAGTGGATTAAGGCGTCTTGTACATACCAGATGCGTTGCTTCTGGGAGTATGGGTTCGAGTCACTTCTGGGGTGTGAGTTTTCAGTTGCATATGTCCTGGGGACCATTCAGGCTTGTTCGCATTTGTGTTCCTCACGTGTTGCCCCAAAGAATGAGGTGATTTGGTAAAATGCTATGCCCAAGATAACTATCCGAGTGCCGGCGGTGGGGTGGTTCAAATAGCCTCGGCTATCACCTCATTTTGTCCGGTCGTGATGGTCAAGTGGATTAAGGCGTCTTGTACATACCAGATGCGTTGCTTCTGGGAGTATGGGTTCGAGTCACTTCTGGGGTGTGAGTTTTCAGTTGCATATGTCCTGGGGACCATTCAGGCTTGTTCGCATTTGTGTTCCTCACGTGTTGCCCCAAAGAATGAGGTGATTTGGTAAAATGCTATGCCCAAGATAACTATCCGAGTGCCGGCGGTGGGGTGGTTCAAATAGCCTCGGCTATCACCTCATTTTGTCCGGTCGTGATGGTCAAGTGGATTAAGGCGTCTTGTACATACCAGATGCGTTGCTTCTGGGAGTATGGGTTCGAGTCACTTCTGGGGTGTGAGTTTTCAGTTGCATATGTCCTGGGGACCATTCAGGCTTGTTCGCATTTGTGTTCCTCACGTGTTGCCCCAAAGAATGAGGTGATTTGGTAAAATGCTATGCCCAAGATAACTATCCGAGTGCCGGCGGTGGGGTGGTTCAAATAGCCTCGGCTATCACCTCATTTTGTCCGGTCGTGATGGTCAAGTGGATTAAGGCGTCTTGTACATACCAGATGCGTTGCTTCTGGGAGTATGGGTTCGAGTCACTTCTGGGGTGTGAGTTTTCAGTTGCATATGTCCTGGGGACCATTCAGGCTTGTTCGCATTTGTGTTCCTCACGTGTTGCCCCAAAGAATGAGGTGATTTGGTAAAATGCTATGCCCAAGATAACTATCCGAGTGCCGGCGGTGGGGTGGTTCAAATAGCCTCGGCTATCACCTCATTTTGTCCGGTCGTGATGGTCAAGTGGATTAAGGCGTCTTGTACATACCAGATGCGTTGCTTCTGGGAGTATGGGTTCGAGTCACTTCTGGGGTGTGAGTTTTCAGTTGCATATGTCCTGGGGACCATTCAGGCTTGTTCGCATTTGTGTTCCTCACGTGTTGCCCCAAAGAATGAGGTGATTTGGTAAAATGCTATGCCCAAGATAACTATCCGAGTGCCGGCGGTGGGGTGGTTCAAATAGCCTCGGCTATCACCTCATTTTGTCCGGTCGTGATGGTCAAGTGGATTAAGGCGTCTTGTACATACCAGATGCGTTGCTTCTGGGAGTATGGGTTCGAGTCACTTCTGGGGTGTGAGTTTTCAGTTGCATATGTCCTGGGGACCATTCAGGCTTGTTCGCATTTGTGTTCCTCACGTGTTGCCCCAAAGAATGAGGTGATTTGGTAAAATGCTATGCCCAAGATAACTATCCGAGTGCCGGCGGTGGGGTGGTTCAAATAGCCTCGGCTATCACCTCATTTTGTCCGGTCGTGATGGTCAAGTGGATTAAGGCGTCTTGTACATACCAGATGCGTTGCTTCTGGGAGTATGGGTTCGAGTCACTTCTGGGGTGTGAGTTTTCAGTTGCATATGTCCTGGGGACCATTCAGGCTTGTTCGCATTTGTGTTCCTCACGTGTTGCCCCAAAGAATGAGGTGATTTGGTAAAATGCTATGCCCAAGATAACTATCCGAGTGCCGGCGGTGGGGTGGTTCAAATAGCCTCGGCTATCACCTCATTTTGTCCGGTCGTGATGGTCAAGTGGATTAAGGCGTCTTGTACATACCAGATGCGTTGCTTCTGGGAGTATGGGTTCGAGTCACTTCTGGGGTGTGAGTTTTCAGTTGCATATGTCCTGGGGACCATTCAGGCTTGTTCGCATTTGTGTTCCTCACGTGTTGCCCCAAAGAATGAGGTGATTTGGTAAAATGCTATGCCCAAGATAACTATCCGAGTGCCGGCGGTGGGGTGGTTCAAATAGCCTCGGCTATCACCTCATTTTGTCCGGTCGTGATGGTCAAGTGGATTAAGGCGTCTTGTACATACCAGATGCGTTGCTTCTGGGAGTATGGGTTCGAGTCACTTCTGGGGTGTGAGTTTTCAGTTGCATATGTCCTGGGGACCATTCAGGCTTGTTCGCATTTGTGTTCCTCACGTGTTGCCCCAAAGAATGAGGTGATTTGGTAAAATGCTATGCCCAAGATAACTATCCGAGTGCCGGCGGTGGGGTGGTTCAAATAGCCTCGGCTATCACCTCATTATGTCCGGTCGTGATGGTCAAGTGGATTAAGGCGTCTTGTACATACCAGATGCGTTGCTTCTGGGAGTATGGGTTCGAGTCACTTCTGGGGTGTGAGTTTTCAGTTTATATATATATATATATATATATATATATATATATATATATATATATATATATATATATATATATATATATATATATATATATATATATATATATATATATATCTCAGTCTATCCTTTTATTATTAAAATTGAATTTACTGAATAGCCCCTCTCGCTTTATCAACGTTTTAGGTCTATTCTGAGTATTGATGGTCGTTTGCACTTCAATGAGCTTGTGATCTGAGTATGTGGTATTTGATATCGTAATGTCTCTGATAATGTCTTCATTGTTCGTAAAGACCAGATCTAGAATATTTTCATTTCTCATTGGCTCCGATATCTGCTGGTTGAGTGAAAATTTGTCACAGAATCTAAGTAGTTCTCTAATCTGAGGTTGGTTAGGTCCCAATAGATTTCCTGGTATAATATTATTATTTGCTATTCTCCATCTGAGACTAGGCAAGTTGAAGTCACCTAGGAAGATAATATCAGGTATCGGGTTCTCCAAATTATCAAGGCTATTCTCTATTTTGTTTATCTGTTCTGTGAATTCCTCGGCCGTTGCATCTGGCGGTTTGTATATTTGTTTGTATATTTAGTTTGTATATATACACTTATATGAATATGTCCGTGTAGGGAATTTTATTGCACCTCAGTAATACCAAATTTAATGCTGTAGGACAAGTGTGGAGTTGACAACCCTGAAAAGCGAAGAAACATTTTGTCGCTGTTTGGCGCTCACGGCTAGTGATCGACGTAGTTATTTATTTGGTGCTGGTCTAACTCATGCTTTGGTGACATTTTATACGTATGTTCTTCTAGAACATTCTATTGTGAACACATTACTACAAAAATTAAATACGTACATCGAAAATTAAAGTCAGGACAGTGAAAAGAGTATACACTTTTCAGTGTTGCCGCTCGATCGCCCGAAACGCCGCACGCACATGGGGCAAGTTTATTTTTTTTTTTTGCGGAGAACACAAAAGTGTTAAGCCAGCGCAGCACAGTGGTTAAAAGGGAGGGGGGGGGGGGGGTTATCTAACAATCATCAATACTGACAAAACAGTAAATAGTAAATAATATTAAAACCACAACATTTAATTTGACTCACCTTTCTTACAAATGATGACCATTGCTTGTTTGTTGTCAGAATACTATGACATGACTGTTTATCCACTTTGGGAAGAATTTCAACTATAATTTTAGATACACTCAGCAACAGGCTGGTATTCTGTTCCTCCTTGTAGTATGTGTTTTGAATGCAGCTTAGACAGATATGAAGCAATGCTAGATGTTCTTCTGGCAGATCAAATTTTGGCAGAACTGGCCCATTTTCAGACAACTTATAAAAAACTGGTATTAAAGATAACAACTTCTTTGGTGGAGGTTGCTTTAAGGTGACTATTTTTTCATACAACTGGCAGCAGATCTCAGACATACAGCTTTTATCTGTAATAAGCACAATATAATCATATAATAAAATGCAGTATTTCATTACATTATACAGCATAACAATATAGACAATTAAGTGTAATGAACTCACCTTTCTGGAAGATCCTCAGTGCTCCCCAGAGATTAAGCACTGGTACTCCAGGGCTAAACCTGACCCATTAGGAACCTGTGAGCATTACTATTTACTGGGAGCATCTAGCCTCCTCATAGAGGTGGGGAAACGTGTAAGGATCAGAGATCAATTCACATTGAGGAAAACCAACCATAATTCAGTTTTGCTGCTGATGATGTTTGATTCCCTGCTCCCTGTGAGCCAGTCCCTGGTCCTGGATCCCTTGGAGGCCTGAAGTATTGGGCTAAGACTTGCAGGTACCAGGGTTAAGCTTGGGGAGCTACTGAGGAATCCCCACCAGAGAAAATATGAAAACTGTTTCCAGAACTATTAGTCATTAAACAATGCCTACCAATCATGCTTTTTTCAAGAGCAAAAGCAAAAATCTTGCTGGTTGCATCCTCATCGTCATCCATAGCAAGAGCCCACATCTTTATCTCATCAGACACCTTAGCAAGAGCTGCCTCTGATGTAGAAAGAATGTCATCTTCCTCCAGAAGCATTGCCAAGAGGGAAGCCTGGGCTGGCAACAATGTTCCATGCTTCTTAAGGCGCTTGATGAACACAGTACCATGTGGAGGGTGTAGTCTCACCAGCTGACAACACAACTCAGCACAAGGAGGCTGTGCACAAGCAAGGCACTTTATGTCATCTGAAAAAAATAGTCTTTGAAATATGATGAAGTCTTATCTCATAAAGATATACTGTAATCACAAATGTTTCTGGTGTACAGCATTTAAATCTAGACAAATAGGATATGTAGTACAAAGGAGTAATATTTCTTCAAAATGAAGGAGCTGAAGACATGCAAGGTGAGGATTAATGGTTTTTATTTATAAATACCTGCACCCTAGAATGCTAGCTTAACCCTTTAGTTGCGCAAGACATCATATGATGCGTTGAGTGACTTGCAGTAAATTGCGCTCGGCATCATATGGTGTTTTGGAGTACCGCACAAGACTTAAACGGCCCACGGATACACAGGGTTCACCACACCTTCATCAGGGCTCTTGTAAACAGACGCAATTTAAAAAAAAAATTGTGGGCCAAATTCCCGGGTGTGAGGGGCCTCAGTATTGAGTGAGCAACCAATCCTGACGCAGGCAGCATGAGCTCACAGCACTGTTGTTCAGCTTGTGACCACAGCATCGCCTAAAAATGCCATAATATACTTGTTCATGCTATTATGTAGCGATGATATTATTACAGAAGACCCCTGACTGTGATAAAACTGACCAGGGTTCTGATAATAGCAGGATTGTGGTGATATTTAGCACTGTGCTCCATGGAGGGAGGAGTAATGCTGTGGGAGGGAGGGTGGTGGCTTCTGACTGTGTGTGGCCACCTTTTATTGACTGCACTCATCATACCAGCTTAGTGGTTCGCTATGGTGAACACAAATGTAGATACTTATATATAACGTGTGTATAGAGGGTATAAACAGCAAGAGGAGTAGGTTGGGAGCCGCCATTTTGGTGAGGGCGGTGGCGTCGTCTGCACGATTTATCATGTTGTTTACTGGTGACCACGATGGTCTTTGGGCACCATACCAGTTTACTTGTACAAGTATGGTGAATAAAACAGGTAGATACTTATATATAATGTGTGTATATAGTGTAATAACACCACAAACAGTAATGTTGGAGGAGAAATATTAGTGCGTCTGGCCATGAAAGCGGCCGCCACCAGCTGACTGTGTGAGTAGCTACGTCTTTGTGCCTTTACTCACCATACAAGCTTAGATGTACAGTTATGGTGGTCAAAACATGTAAATACTTATATATAACGTCTGTATATAAAAGCAAAAACAGTATGGTGGGAGGAGAATGGTGGCAAGTCAGGTGAGGTGAGGTGAGGGAGGGAGGGAGTGGCAGCCAGTGGCTGCCACTGCCACTCAGCATACCAACTTAGTGGTTCGTTATGGTGAACACAAATGTAGACACTTATATATAACGTCTGTATATAGTGAATAAAAGCAAAAACAGTATTGTGGGAGGAGGATGTGTGAGAGTCAGGTGACTTGAGGGAGGGAGGAAGTAGCAGCCAGTGGCGGGCTGCCACTGCCACTCAGCATGCCAACTTAGTGGTTCATTATGGTGAACACGAATGTAGATACTTATACGTAACATCTGTATATAGTGAATAAAAGGAAAAACAGTATGGCGGGAGGAGAATGTGGGTGAGTGAGGTGTTGAGGGAGTGAGTGGCAGCGAGTGGCTGGCTGGTGTGTGGCGGTCACTCCTCTTTACTTTTTTACTCATATTAGCAACTTAGTGGTTTGTTATGGTGAACAAAACATGCAGATACTTATATATAACCTGTGTATATAGTGTAATAATCGACAAAGTATTTGTTCACTGTTTGATGAACATAATTGAATCAACAATATGCACACCATATTTTTGAGTACAGCAATGATTCACTCATTTTATTATATAAATATATCACACTACACACTATTGAATAATATTACAGCAAAAAACTACAAAAAATCAATCAGAGACATTGAAATAATTAGGTAATTATCTCTTTGTGGCAACTCCGGCCTGACAGCTGGCGAGCAACAGACCGTCTGGGATGCACGCTGAGTCAGCGCCTGTTTTTTGCCAGACTTCCCCGCCCTATAGCGGACAATATATGCCACTTATGATTTTTTTTATTATTTTTCCCATGATCAGTGAACACAAATTAACAGGTTTAGAAGATTTTTTTTTTTTTTTGGTATGCGCCTGTGGGTGACACATGCTAAATAGCCAGGCGCCATTTAAGGGTTAATATCACATAACACTAACATTTATATATTGCAATCTACACTTCCATGGAAATAAACATTTCATTCACCTGGGCTTTAAGAGACACGAACCACGGACCTCACAGATGTGAGGAAGAGGCTCTGTCCACTCAGATGTGAGCAGTCTTAATAAGGAAAGATTCCAGAAACAACTCTGCCTCACACGTGTGTGGTCCGTGGTTCGAGTCTCCTAGAGCCCACTTGAATGAAACTACCATTTATAGTATTTACCAGACATATTTGAAGTACAGTGGAACCTCGATTAACGAATTTAATCCGTTTTGGCACCAAGCTCGTAATTCAAAACAAATTTCCCCATTTAAAATAATGGAAATAAAATTAATCCGTTCTACTGACAAAAACATCAATATGATATTTGATTGTTTAAATAATGGAGCAACCTACCTGACATACACTGAACAAACCTTTATGACATTTCTCTTTTTTTCAAATTTGTTCAATTTTTGTTATTTTTCATTTTTTAAAAAAAATGGACCAGCCTACCTGACATACACTGAACAAACATTTATGACATTTTGTCTTTTTTTCAAATTTGTTGAATTTTTTTACTTTTTCACTTTTTTTATAGAAAAAAGTTCGTTCAGTGTATGTCAGGCAGCTCCATTTTGTATAAAAAAAAATAAAAAAAAAAAATAAAAAAAATTGAACAAATTTGAAAAATGGAAAAATGCCATAAAGGTTCGTTCAGTGTTTGTCAGGGCAGCTGAACGTCCAGCAAAGCCAACTGTAGGAGGCTGCGTCGAACATCCACTCCATGGAGAGGGGAACAAAACGGGACAGGCCGTTGGCCAAGACGTTGGACACTCCCCACATGTGAACGGCCAGGAGAGCCAAACCCCGAGAACTCAGCAGACGAGTCACCCGAAGCAACAAGCCCGAAAGAGCCAAGGACTGCATCAAACCCCCTCGGTTCAGGCAATGAACCACCGGGAAGCATTACGAATGGAGCCGGATCGTTGACCCGCAAGTGACCCGAATCCTCTGAAGCGCAAACCACACCGCCGCGAACTCCTGCACTGTGCTGTAGGCTCGACGGAAGGACGGACCCCACTGCCCCTGGCTGGCTTGGTGAGCACTGGTCACAAAGCCCCAGCCGAGAGATGACGCATCCGTGAACACATCGAGCGAGGACTCGGGCAGGCGCCAAGGCACCGAACCCAAAAAATCCCGAAGAGGAATCAGGCGACGCAAGGCCCCCGGGTCTTGCGGAAGGACCGGCGATCGCGAGAGAGGTGGAAGGTATGTCCCCAAAGGAACCAGAACAGCCGACAAGGCCAAACCTGACCTGGCGGGAAGACCAACATCATGAAGTTCAGGCTCCCGCACAAACCCTCGAGCAACCGCTGGGTGACCCGGGAGCCCCTCAGAAACAGGCACAAGCGGGGCCGCAGCTGGAGGAGAGACTCCGGAGGAAGAGACAAGGAAGCGGTTCGAGAGTCCCAAACATGACCCAGCCATGACCGAACCTGGGAGGGCACCAGATGGAACTTCCTCCAGTTCACCAAGAATCCGAACCCGGCTAGCTGAGAAAGAACCAAATCCCTGGCTAGCAGACAACTGGACTGGCTAGAAGCCCAAACCAGCTAGTCGTCGTGGTAGGCCAACACTTGAAGACCTAGAAGATGCAGACGGGCCACAACGATCTGTATAAGGCGTGTGAACACGCGAGGCGCCAGATTCAACCCGAACGGGAGACAACGAAAACGGTATCCAGCAAGTCCCTGAACCTTGGATGAATCGGGACGTGCCAATAAGTGTCCTGGAGGTCCAGGGACACCATCCAAGAACCCGGCTCCAATTGGAGCCGAACCTAAGACAGTGTAGTAATCCGAAAGGAGGGGCAATGAACCCAGGAGTTCAGACGGGAATGAACTAGAATGTCCAGAATGAACCTCAGATCCGCACAGTCCTGTTTCGGCATTGGAAACAGACGGAAAACCCATCTGAGGGACGCGTCCAAGCGAACCCACTCCAAGATGACTCAACAGAGCGCAGGAGAAGAAGGCTGCCCCGCCAGTCCCGAATCTCCCAAAGAAGGAGGGGCCACCCAATGCCACCGCAGGCTGAAGGAAACGACCCGAAACGCCCACAAATCGTGGGACTATGTGTGAGCGAACAGCGCAAGCCTCCCCCCCATCGCCCCATAAATGGGGCGAACGGCCGGCGCTCCTTACGAGACCCAGAACCCCGCACAGGGCGAACACACCGCCGACGAGCTGAAGGCGGGTCTGAAGGCGGAGCCAAGTCTGAACCTGGCGCCAGTGGCCTACCACGAGAGGAACCCTGAGCCCTGGCATGACCCCTCCGGGTAGGCCCCCCCTGGAACCCCCAGAGAACCTACAAGTCCGACATCGGACAGCAACTGGGTGAAGCAGCCTGAATATATTGCACCACGACCGCAGGAGCAAAATGCAGAGGACAAAAGGGCGAAGACATCCTAAGAGCCAGGGCCCATATTGAATAAACATTCTGAAGGTCATTCCAAGCTGCACTGAGTGCTTTTCAGTGTTCCTTAACACCACTATGACTGTTTAAAACTAAAATGTGGTACTACTATCTGGATATTGCCCAGCATGATTATATTGTCTCATAAGCGCAGAACATCTTATATAAGAGAGTAACTTAGCAAAAGATAGTGAAAAGAAGTGCACATAAGTATGCAATAAGAATAATTAATTTAAAACTTGAGGAAATTATCTGCAAATAAATAATAATTACCTGAAGTAAGTTGAGCGGCAACTTCTGCACTCGTGGTGTTGATGAGGAACTTTTCAAGTTCTTTCATAATTGTTTCCAATGTAACATCAAATTTTGAAGTCTTATAATATTCCAAAAATTTTCCAAGTATTAACTGAATTGACTGGGTTGTAGGTTTCCTTTTGGCACTTGATGCTTTCAAAAGTAGCCTTACCAGTTCAAGAACTAAAGTATCTAGAGAAGGTAATGTTTGGCATGGAGCTTTAAGACAAATCAGGAGCAATTGTTCAACTGCTTCGTAGCTCACAAGTGAATGTTGTGATGATATAAATGGTTCCAGGGGCTTCCAAAAGTCAACACTGGCATTCATATTAGTGGCTTGAATTTGTATATCTTTTACTATCTTTTCAAAATATGGACATGTTTTGGGGGCAAGTTTAAAATATTTTTCTAATACTAATGCAATAAATTCCTGAGTCAATTCAGAGATCGGAGATTTCTTGAGAGCAAATGGTCTGTAGTTTGCTAAAATACTAGGGTGCTCTAATACAATTTGGATAACATGTTCAGTGTCATTTTCATCAAGAATAGTGCACAAATGTTTCAATATACACACATACCTTTTCACAAGCTTAGTTTCATTTTTTCCTAAACTAGAGTCTAGATGCAAATAAAGAAGAAGCTGTGAGACAATCAAATCAAGATCTGTGTTTGTCATTAAATCTTTTAGTGTGTTTTCTTCCAACAATGAGTCCACTGATGACCAATCGCGAGTCATGAATACACACTTAAGAATCTCAGAGAGATTTACACTCTCAACAGATTTGATAGATAAAGAATTTTCATCTTCTTGTGGTTTTGATTCTTTAGATAAAGACATGAGATATTTTTGTGGTTTTGATTCTATAAATAAACACTTGAGATATTTTTGCAAATCTGAAGTCAAAATATTTTCATTTTGCAGAAGTATATCTGCTAAGAAGCCTGGGTCACTCAGAAAGTGAAGATACTCATTAATTACATTACAAAAATACTGGATGTATTCAGAGTCTGGGCATAATTTAAGCAAATCAATTGCAGCAAGAGTCAAACGAGAGAATGGCAATGATATGGAATGTGAGAAGATGTCTTCATTATCAGCAATTTCCATGGTTTCTAGTTCTCTCATGAAAGAATACATCTGACCATGAATACTTGTATTTAAATTACGTTTGGCTCCTAACTCAACAAGAAGATCTGTATAGGAACTGAGGGATGAGACAGTTTTCTGAATTATTTGAGTTAAGAAAGTAGATAGCTTTACTATATGGGTACTCGAGATATGTCTCAGCCACACCTTGATATTGCCATCATAATGAGAAGAAAGCCCAACCTTAACAAGGGAACTTGATAATATTTTGAGGCACTTATCTGTAACAGAAAGCATTATTGATCTTCTTTCATTATCAATAAATTCCTCCTTTGTTTGAGCATAAGTACTTATTAACTGATAAATTGCATTTTTCTCAATTTGTGAAATTTGATCTACATTCAGGGAGCTGCCTATTGGAATTTCTTCACTGTATGTGCTACCTGCTAAGAAACCTAAGCACAAGACTTGTAATTCTAATTTGGTATTTGAATTTCTTATACAGTTATCATCTTCAGAAGATAAGACACGTACAGTCTGCAACATCTCCACAGGATTGATGACTTCATGAAAAGTTTGATTAGGTAATAACTCAGAGTAAAGAGTCAAGACCTTGGCAATGGTGAGGAGTTCAGTAATAGCTGGAACTGGAGCTGCAGTTTCAACCTGAGTTGAAGACTGCTCATCAGCTTGGATATCTGGTGGCTCTTGCCCTGCTGCAATATTCCAGCAATGAATAATGCTATCCATTGTCATCAGAGTTTTGAAAACTACTTCTATCAACTTTTTCTGAGAGCGATGTTTGACTTCATAAGAAAGTGACTCATTGCTAATGACATTATTTATAGTTTCTTTAGTTTTGGAAAGAATTGCAAGTACTAATTTCAGTCCAGAGTGCCTTACCGTTTTGTAACAAGATTCGGTTAATGACTGGAATAACTTATGATTTAGAGGCCGAGGCAAAATTAATTTATACATGCCTTCCCAACCTCTTGTGTCCATTTTTTTCCAAGGTTTCTGCTGTTCAATTATTTGTGTTAACATTTCAACAAGGTTAATGTATGCTTGTGTGGGTCTTGGCAAGATAAAATCCTTGATCGACAGCAGGTAAGTCTCTAAAATATCAGGGCAGGCACCTAAGACACAGCTAATCAGCTCACATAACTCTGGACTTTCCCAAGGTCTCTTCTTCAGATATATTGTGTTATATATATGTGAATTATTTGTATTAGTTTTACCAGCCTGGACATTTTCAATGAAAACAATTCCATATTTGGATGAAGTATACAGAGTAAGCATAAACTTTTGTAACACTTCCTTGATCTGAGCTCTTTCTAATTGAATGTTTTCCCCAATCTGAGTATCCATTTCCTGTGCATTCTTGCCTCTAGCCAGTTTCCCCATTGGCCCCATCCAGTCGTATAATTCTAGAAGAGGCTTGGTTGTGATTGGTGTGAAAATATTAACTTTCATTGTCTTACTAATACCACGATTAAGCAGTACTGATTCATGCAAAACCTTCAAGACATTGATGACTCGTTCACATGGATCCCACATAAGACCAGGAAAAATTGCTGGCAACAAATCTGAAAAAAAAAACTTATTTAGATACAGCTATAAGGTATCTTGTGGTAAGAAATTCTCAGTCAAGGAATTGACAGGGTAGATTGACATTATTTAGCACAGGTGGTACATTAACAAGGGGACACAGGTGGAAATGTCGTACTCAAATGAGCCACAGACACACTAGAATTTTTTTCCAGTGACAGTAGTTAATAAATAGAATGCACTAGGAAGTGATATGGTGGTGACAGACTCCATATACAGTTTCAAATGTAGATATGATACAGCCTAAAAGGCTCTGGAATCTGTACACCAGTTGAGAGGCTGGACCAACAAGCTGAAGTTCAACAAGTTCAGCAAGCACAATAAGGCGAGTATGATTAGGTGAGTACACAATTTGTGTGTATATATGTGATGTATGTATGTATGTATGTATGTACACACACACAAATTTCCTGAAATACTTGCCTTTTTTCTGAAGAAACTGTCTGATAATATGAGGATCTTCTGAGGCATTCAGGAAAGCCAGAAATAAATATATGCACCAAGCACGAACATCACGAATGTCTTCCAAACTCTGACGATTCACCAAAAGATGAACATTGATTCTTTGCCAGTCTACTGTCAATAGTACCTCACTTGCAGCTTCTCCTCCTATCATCACCATTCCTATGAATAAAACATGCAATCAGATTGTACCCATCCAAGTTGATTTTTTAAACAGTAATGGAAGCAAATTTATATGAAGAAATAAAAACAATTTTATGTAAGTACTGAAAAGTTGTGTACTACTGTATTAAAGTATTTGTTTAAGGACAGGCACTTTCCGATATTAGAGTCAGCAGAGATCATATCACCCACATAAATTATCCTCATATAAGATTAAACACATTTCTTGCATCAATACCTAAAGTCTATAATGAGATGAATAGAATTTATTTTTTAGAATAGTATTGTATTTCTTAACTGCACACATTAATATTTGTCAAATTCAGCGTTGAAGACGCTGGGTTTGTAACACCAGCGATGAATGTAATGAAACGTCATTTTCTGGGTGAGACCCGGAGGCACCCCGGCATCCCTCCCTCCGGTCGGTAGTTTTTCACGTGTTTTGACATCCAGCCTAAGAACTGAAGGGTGGATAGCTGGCGTGAGGGGTCTGGGGCTCCCTTTTTCCCTTCCAGGGGAGGGGGGGAGCAATGCGACGTGTGACGTAATAATCATTTGCTCTTTTCTTTTAGGGGAGTTCTATCCACTTGTTCGGCATGTGGTAGCAATAATTTCACCAGAATAGGAGTTTGTTTTAGGATGCTTACCTTTCTGGGTGCCTGACCCAGTTGATGGCAGACACAGGATGTTTCTAACCACACAGGGGTTTCTATAGGCCATTGCTCCCCATGCCTCTGTATAAACATCAGAGGTCCGCGGTTGTTCAACGTCCTCCCAGCGACCATAAGAAATATTGCTGGAACCATGGACATCTTCAAGAGAAAACTGGACTGTTTTCTAAGAGACGTTTCGGATCAGCTGGGCTGTGGTGGGTATGTGGCCCTGTGGGCCGCTCCAAGCAACAGGATGGTGGACCAAACTCTCATAAGTCGAGCCTGGCCTCGGGCCGGGCTTGGGGAGTAGAAGAACTCCCAGAACCCCATCAAGCAGGTATCAAGCAGGCCTCTCTGAGGTGGCCAGGTTCTGGCTCGTGGTCCCCGGTAGGCCCAAAGAACTGCATACACATGACTGATGCCAAAGTCTGACATTAGCATATCAGACTAGTAAGCTCCAGGGAGCCAAAGGGGCTCTCCCCCAGAAAAGCCACCTGACTACCAACCAGATGATGAGAGACTCGAGTCAAAAGTACCAGACAAGAAGACTCGAGGAGAAGACCGAACCAGCCTCGCCACAGACCAGACCGACCATGTAAAAGAGACAGAGCCATGGGAAAACCTCCGGGTGCAGACACCAAGCAAGCCACAAAGAAACCAAGGCTGTCAAAAAACCTAAAGGAACGACCGCCAGGGAACCAGGAATCCAAACCCAGTGAGCCAGGAAAGAACAAACCCGGCCAAGCTGACACGATCCGTCTGGGAGGCACCCCCTCCCCTCCCCTGGGACCCTTGAAGGAACAATAAGCCCAACAACAGACAAGAAGTGGCTGCTTGCAGAAACTGCCAACCCCAAACTCCGTAAACAGCAAGGCCAAAAAGGGCAGCGAAAAGCCTAAGAGCCAAGGCCCGGGCAGAGGCCAACAAAGAACCAAGCACCACGAGCCGGAACCCGAGACGTGAAGCGAAAAACAGTGACACCACAACCTGCAGAAGCGGCACCACCAGTCCCAACAGGGTAGAACGAAGCATGTCGATGAGGAAGTTAGGAGAACAATGAAGGACACGTAGTGCACTAAAACAAAGACGTACTGTCTGAAAAGGGACAAAGAAAAGCCAGAGCCAGAGCCAGAAGCCAAGCGCCCTCGGCCCCAATGAAAAGGAACAGTAAGGGCAGGAGTGGGTGATCGGAAAGCTTTATATACACCAGCAGACATCGCAACACAGAAGCTGGTGGTGACAGACAAGGAGAAGAGGAAGAAATCAAAGCTACACCAGAACAATGGGCCCATTCCACAACAGGAAATGGAATAAGAAGACATCTCAACCAAGCATGAGCATGAGAATAGCCAATATGCACCTACCAAGTTACACAACAAGGTGTAGGAGAGAGATAGGAAGACGTAAAAGGCAACGAAAAGACCCGAAAGACAGTCCAAGCACTGGAAGCCAGGAACAAGAGTAGAAACAACCGGCAACAGAAGGTACAGGAACCATATACACAGACTAGGAGCAAAGAAAAGACAAGATACTCGCCCAACTCAAGTGCTAATGAGAGACGCAAACCCCACATGAACACCAAAACCCAGACCCTAAGAACAAGAAACATGGCTTCCAACCCACAGGAGGAAGGGGAGAGGTGCAAAAGGCGTATATACAAGCCGTACATATATATAAGGCATATAGATGTGTATATGGAATGGACATATGGGCAAACCCCATGGTAAAATCCAACCAGAATGTTAACCGGGCCAACCCACGCTCTGCGCCTCCACAACGGTCGCCCAAGTCAAAATCGGGGAACGCCCCAAGAATACCCCACACATCTTCCATCCACAAAAAAAAAAAAAAAAAATTCCCTATCCAGGACAAGACAGAAAGCCCAAGATCCCAGACGTACCCCAAGGGCAAAGACAACCTCAAGTGACAATGTCCTCTATTGAGGAGTGAATCTTGAACACCCCAGGGAAGATAACCCTGAATGCAAGGGTAGTACTTACGGAGCAACTAGGGAAGATCACCCTAGGTGTATGCTGCTCTGCATACCAGAAGACACCTGGTCACCACACCACACACACTGCTGGTACAGCCACACAGGGCAAAACCCAGAACAGGAACTTGAGGCCAGAGGTAACCGATCTGTTCGCCAGCTCTAGCACTAACGGGGGTAGCACTAATAAGCGGAGTGCTAGTTGCATGAAGTGTTGCTCGTTTGGTTTCTTTCTATGGGAGTTATTTTGATCTTTCAGGATGCAGAATGGACAAATTAACCAGTGGTCTGTTTTGATATGCCTACCTTAGGGTCCTTCCCACTTCGATGGCAATTATGCCATGTAGTATTTTAAATGAAAGGTACTCATAAGCCATTGCTCCTGCACCTCTCTGAGAGGGACAGGTTCTGGGTCGTGGTTCCCGATAGACATAAGGACTCCTGTGACTGATAAGCCTAAACTAATATAGCACATATCAGTTTGGTTAGCTTCAGTGAGCTGATCAGGCTCCCCCACAGAAAATAGCTTTGAGAAACTATTTAATATGATCAGTAATATTGCTATAATTATATTGTGTAACTATATAGAAATGCAAGGGACAAAATAGCATATATTAGAAGAGAACTTATATTACCTGTAAGACAGCGAAGAACAGCTTTGGAATTTCTGTTGGTGTTCGATGGAGATAACAGTTTATACACAAATGCATCATAATTATGCAATATCTGCTGGGTGATGTGTAAACCAATCTTGCTGAATTCGCTCAGTTCTCCAGCAATACTGAAAATAAATTTATGGCAATGATGTTTAGGAATACCAAACATAATTTAGGTAGTAAAGGATCTTGGTAGTACAATCGGGTTCATTCTCAATGCTCAATTGAGAATTCCAGGTTCGAATCCTGGGCAGGACAGAAATGGTTGGGCACATTCCCTTTCACCTAGTAGTAAGTAGGTACTCAGGAGTTAGTCAGCTTGTTGTGGGGTTGCATCCTGTGCAGGGTCAGTAATTTGACCTTGGGGGAGGACCTCAATTTAAGCCTAACGTACAGTATATGAATACACTCACCCGACACAATGAATTACTATTATTATAATTTAAATTAAATTTATCATTTAATTTTAAAGATTGTGCAAGTAAATATAGCTATTAACTCTTGTACACGAGTAGAAAAATAGCTACGTATTTTTATTACTGTGATGCTCTCCCAAGGGGGTTTACGAGATCCACCGAATTCTCATTGCACTAGCATGTTTCAATTAACTACTACTACTCCACTTTCGTTTGAATAAATGCACCTGATGCTATCAAATGACATAATTTGTCTCTGTGCAATTCTGCATGTGTTTGTGTCCTGTTAACATATTGTAACTCCTTTAGTCATTCTTAAGATCGTTATTCTTTAGTCATTATTAACACCGTAAGAGCAGTACTGAACACCAAGCACAGCACAGCAAGAGGAATCGGAGCTGGAGCCACCCGACTGTGCCTAATCACATCAGCCTAAGAAGTAGTGGTTGGATCGCTGGCGCGGTGGACTCTGGGGCTCCCCTTTCCATCTCTCAGGAAGGGAGGCGCTGCGTAGACAAGCAGCGCAGTGCGGCTCGTGTGACATGTTTGACTGCTCGTTTTCATTTAGGGAATTCTGTTTACTCGTTTGGCTATTTTCATTGGTATTAACCAGAATAGGGGTTTGTTTTGGGGTGCTTATCTTTCTAGGAGCCTGTCCCTGTCGATGGCAGATATAGAATGCTCCAAATCACGTGGCCAGACCTATAGACCATTGCTTCTCGCGCCTCTCTAAGGAGGCCAGGTTCTGGGCGTGGTCCCCAGCAGGCTCCATCCACACTGACTGATGCCAAAAGTTAGGGATATACTCTACATATCAGCCGGGATAGCTCTGGGGAGCTGAAAGGGCTCCCCCCCAGAAAGCACAGAAAAGAAAAAGATATGGCATATGTTCCTTGGAATCATTGGGTGCATTTGAATAGGTTGAAAATTAAATGAAAATGCAAGGAGAAAATAAAAGATTTTGATCCAAGAGTAAATAACTTAACTAGGAAGCCAAACTGTAAGGTGCTGTAAAAATAAGAGGTTTAAGAAAGCACGGCTAACTATTAAATAATGCTGGAGAACACATATTGCTAGAGGTAAAACACTAATGTGAAGTTAACGTTATTTTCTATTTTCCAAAGTCAATTAATCTGTGGAAATAAACAAATATTAAGATAACTTTTTCTAATTACAATATTATATAGACACATTAATGATCTTACTTCAATAGTACATGCCCAAGTGTTGTAAAAATTGTTGCAAGCTCGGCAGGAGTGCGCTTCTCAGCTGTCAGCAAATTGAGTATTTCATCACAATTCTTTGTTGCAAGTAGAAACCTATGGATGCTGCCTGCTGCATCTTTACTCTCATCTATGTTTGTGTTGAAGTTCTCTAAAGCTGTAAACAAGAAATGTGTGTGAATATTATGTCTGCAGCATATATCCAGTAATAGTTCAATTATATATATAGTATGATGTATAAATTATATTTAATGAACAAACAAGGCTGGGTAACAGGAGCAATGGTCTTTAGGGTTTGCATAAAGATTGCTCCTATTATGAGGTGGCTTTGGCATGGGTAATTTTTTAAATAACCAAAGGAATGCTGCTCTGTGCGGAGACTAAGTTCTCGTAAGGGGCATCAGCCCTTTCGTGGTTCGTCCCATTGACGGGGCGAAGGGGAGGTGGGAGGCTCGTGCTTCACCCCGGCAGTCGCCGGGGTGAAGTCCGGCCTCGCTCCTCCCTCCTGGGGAGGGGAGGGCTGTGCGGACGAGCGATGTTTGCTTGTTTGCTTGTTTCCTTGGGATTGTAGGGAGTTTCTACGTCTTTGTTCGTTTTTTTGTTTTAGTTTCTTACCATGTGGGGTTTGTCTTGTCATGCCTACCTTTCTGGGTGCCTATTCCCGGTCGATGGCAGATAAGGAAAACCCTCAACCACAAGGGGGTTTTCCAGGGTCATTGCTCCCTGAAACCTCTCTGAAGGAGCCAGGTACTGGCGCTGATCCCTGGTAGGTCTGAACTCCATAGCTAATGTCCCAGTCTAATATAAAGTACATTAGCCCGATATGCTCCTGGGAGCCATAGGGGCTCCCCACAGAAACAGAGTGGAGTCCGCAAGCCAGGACGACTCCGGAACCTCATAACGAACCCAGTATTAAACCAGGACGACTGAACCGAAGGACCCGCAAGGACACATAATTGAAACCAAGAAGAAGCCGAACCCAAATACAACTCGTACGCAGATGGGGGAAAGGAAAACCCCACTCCTTGTAAAACAGCAAGCCCCACTCGGAGGGTTGGAAAACCCAGGTGGGGTCGAACGGGACCAAGGCCCCCAAGTCAGCTTCTCCCCAACCCCGGGAACCCCGACATCAGGCCTCAGGGACGAGTTATCTCCCAAAGCCCCGGCCTTACAAGAAAAAGCCGGGGTGGCCAGGATAGCAGGAAGAGGATGGGCTCACTGGTCAGACCCCCGTAGCTATGACTGGAGGAACAGATTCGAATGCATCTGCAGCCACTGCGGAAGGGGCAACCCCCGAAACTGCCCAATTCTCAGAAATCTGTAAACCCTGCCTCAACCCCGAAGCCCTCAGACGCTTATTAGCTGGAAGCGGAGGAATTGGGGGAACCACACGAACCACAGCACGGGAAGAACAAGGGGGTGCAGACAGAACCAAGACCGAAGCGACCAACACTCCCAAGTCCGGGTGTCCCAATAAACAAAATGGGCCAGCCTCGGGACATCCAGGGAAGCAACCAACCTAAACCTAACTTGCAATGCACGAGCCGCCTGCACCCGAATAATGTCATCATTAGATTATGTGAACTGAATCAGAAACAAGCAACAAAGCTGGGAGGACTCGGTCGAATGTGTCACCAACCCAACAGGCGGCATGACGGAGGCAAAAACAATGAGTGTCGCCCTGAGACAAGAGGACAGAGCAACCCTCAAACTCGCAGAAAGCGAAAGGGGACTCAGGGGCCTTGAGGTTATCTTGAGATAATTTCGGGGCTTAGTGTCCCCACTGCCCGGTCCTCGACCAGGCCTCCACCCCCAGGAAGCAGCCTGTGACAGCTGACTAACATCCAGGTACCTATTTTACTGCTAGGTAACAGGGGCATAAGGTGAAAGAAATTTTACCCATTGTTTCTCGCCGGCGCCCGGGATCGAACCCGGGACCACATGATCACAATTCCAGTGTGCTGTCCGCTCGGCCGACCGGCATATCTTTGTTAATTACACAATATATCAGGAAGTGAGTAGGCGTCTGCACTCCATGACCGACAAGCTACTGAATGCCACTATAAAAACATATGTAACTATAAAAACATATGTATCTTCGCTTGGACTTTAAATATGTCTATTGTAAAGTACTTAAAACAAAGCTTATATTTCTATCTTTCTTAAGACGTAAAACATTTGTGTATATTAACGAATTTACGTGAAATAAACATTGTTCTGAGACACAGTTGTTCTGTCGATCAGTCTGCGTGGGGGTCGGAGTTCGGCGATAATTAAAACACATCAATCTTCATTAGAACTTTAATTATGTCTATGATAGTGTTTAAAATGAACCTTATATTTCTATCTTTCTTGAGGCATATAAAACATTTACGATTATTTACATATTTACGTGAAATAAACATTGTTCTTAAGAGAGTTGCTCCGTCGGTCGATCTGTGCAGGGTTGGTACTTGGCGATTATAAAATACACATATCTTCGCTTTAAATTCAAATATGCCCATGGTAAGGTATTTAAAATGAAGCTTATATTTCTTTCTTTCTTGCGACATATAAAACTGTTACGTTTATTAATGAATCTGCATGAAATAAGCATTGATCCGAGATGAATATTGCAGCTTTTGAGCTTGACGAGCGATGAAAACTGCCACGTTTATACACATACAAATATCTTCGGTTTGACTTAAAATATTTGTCTGGTAGAGGTCATTCATATAGATCTAGAAAGCGTGAGCCAGAATCACATGACCTTGCCAGCCTCACATCAGTCACAGAACTGCAGGGTGGATAGCCGGCACAGGGGTCTAGGGCTTCCTCTTTTCCCCTCCCAGGAAGGGGGTTGCGCAGACAGCAGCGCGGTGACGTGGTGACGTCATGCTCATTTGCTCATTTTTATTTGGGGAGTTCTGTCCACTAGTTCGGCTTTCAGTAGCAATATTTTAACCAGAATAGGGGTTTGTTTTGGGGCGCTTACTTTTCTGGGTGCCTGACCCAATCGATGGCAGACCAAGAATGCTTCCAACCACACGGGTTTTCATAGGCCATTGCTCCTCGTGCTTCTCTGAGGGGGCCAGGTTCTGGCTTGTGGTCCCCGGTGGGCCTAGAACTGCATGCACATTGACTGATGCCATAATCTAATACATTCATATCAGCCCGATTAGCTCTGGGGAGCTGTAAGGGCTCCCCCCCCCTCCAGAAAAAATGTTACGCATATATAATTTTTTGCAGCTACGCTACAAAGAGTGCGAGTACTGAAAATAACACAAAGCCATTTATTTGGTAAATTACAGTCAGTCTATCATTTTTATATATCAACCTAAACTGCCACAACCATATGCAGGATATTTTAATTACAAAATTAGTACTAAAGTAAAGTTCTGCTAACCCACGATCTGACCAAAACAAAGTTTAAAACAAAAAAATTGCACTACCTGCTATGGGAAGGTTCCCTTGCAGGTCCTCAATAATGTTGGATATATTCATATTTCACAAGGTAGAAGCCACTATCATGCTCTTCATTTATGGTCTTCCTGTCCCTGCGTCTCCACGCGCTCTCCTCCCTTATATTGAACTCTCCAGTTCTATACTTTCACTTTGAAAGATACGTTAAAATAATACACTTAATTTGCACATATAATAAACCAAGAGTATGTATCTGGCGAAGAATACGTTTAACCAGAGACATTAATGTTGTAAGGTAAGGCCGGCCACATGGAGCCTCAGCCTCCAGTGTTTACAAAACGTGTCGTGTTCCGATGCTTTCGCTCTTGGCTTGGCTAGCTCACATAATTTTCGCACATTCATAATATTCCACACACAAATTGCAGTTTATTGCACTAAAAAAGTGACAAATTATATAACTGAAACAATAATTGGCAAAAATATAAATAATTTTGTATGTGCTTATTAATTATATTTGTTGATGTAGGAAGAGTGCGAACACTTGAGCTCTTGACGTGTGACTTTGCCAACTCGACAGGCCTTTTATGTTCATATTTTGTGTTCAACAGCACTTGTGCCTTTGATATTTGAAAAGCAGATGTTGTATGGAATGACAGTGTCACAGGTCAGCGTACAGTTAAGGAACTAATCAATCATTATTTTGTAAGCATATGGAGAACTATCCTGCCTGTCATAGTCTCGTAAGACTGGGTTTACCCTCACTGCTGGCTGCCTGTCTCGTCCCTACTTCACCCCTGGGTCGCCTGAGACGTGTTGCAGTCTTCACCCGTTGCCTTATATAATAGTCCAAAAACATCCATCAACTATGCAAGTCTATTTGATGCCTTGCGCATATATAGCCTGGGGTCATAGGGAAGTTCTTACATTTTACATTTCTGATTTGATCTTTAATCTTGGAGGGGTTCTGGCATTGGCTTGGCAAAGAGGTGCCACCAGTTTGCAAATCTTTAAATAGCTCCTAGTCTGCCATGGATTTCTTGTTCTAGATTGACAAAGGGGAAGTGGATATTTTTCTGTAGTTTATAAATTTATTAGACTGCACGGAGGTTTACCTGAATTTACCTGGTAGTACAGTCGGGTTTGTTCTCGACACACAAGCGAAAATTCCGGGTTCGAATCTCAAGCGGGACAGAAGTGGTTGGGCACATCAGGGGTCTACTAGCCAAGTGGACAGCGCGCGGGGCTCGTAATCGTGTAATTACCTAAGTGTAGTTACAGGATGAGAGCTACGCTCGTGGTGTCCCGTCTCCAAAGCACTGTTTGTCATATAACGCTGTTAAATTACTGATGGTTTTGACCTCCACCACCTTCTCACCTAACTTGTTCCAACCGTCTACCACTCTGTTTACAAAAGTGAATTTTCTTATATTTCTCCAGCAGCTTTGTTTCGTTAGTTTAAATCTATGACCCCTTGTTCTTGAAGTTCCGAGTCTCAGGAATTCTTCCCCATCAAATTTATTGATTCCTGTTACTATTTTAAACGTAATGATCATATCACCTCTTTTTCTTCTATCTTCTAGTTTTTGCATATTTAATGCCTCTAACCTCTCCTTGTAGCTCTTGTCCTTCAGTTCTGGGAGCCACTTAGTGGCATGTCATTGCACCTTTTCCAGTTTGTTGATGTACTTCTTAAGATATGGGCACCATACAACCGCTGCATATTCCAGTTTTGGTCTAACAAAAGTCGTAAACAATTTCTTTAGTATTTCTCCATCCATGTATTTAAAAGCAATTCTGAAGTTAGAAAGTGTAGCATAGGCTCCTCGTACAATGTTATTAATGTGGTCATCAGGTGACAGTTTTCTATCTAGAACCACCCCTAGATCCCTTTCTTTGTCAGAATTCTTTAAAGATTTCTCACATAATTTATAGGTTGTGTGGGGTCTATGTTCTCCAATTCCACATTCTATACCATGGCATTTATTCACATTAAATTCCATTTGCCAAGTGTTGCTCCATATACTTATTTTGTCCAGGTCTTCTTGAAGAGCATGACAATCATCTAGGTTTCTTATCTTCCCTATTATCTTAGCATCATCAGCAAACATGTTCATGTAATTCTGTATTCCCACTGGTAGATCGTTTATGTAGACAATGAACATTACCGGTGCAAGAACTGATCCCTATGGTACTCCACTCATGACATTCCTCCAATCCGATACCTTGCCTCTGATTACGACCCTCATTTTTCTGTCAATTAGGAAATTTTTCATCCATGTTAGTAGCTTACCTGTCACCCCTCCAATATGTTCCAGTTTCCAGAACAACCTCTTATGGGAAACTCTGTCGAAAGCCTTTTTTAGGTCCAGATAGATGCAGTCAACCCAACCATCTCTTTCCTGTAAAATCTCTGTGGCTCGATCATAAAAACTGAGTAAGTTCGTTACACGAGAACTTCCAGATCAAAAACCATACTGTCTGTCTGATATTATATCGTTTTTCTCCAGGTGTTCTACCCATTTAGTTTTAATTATTTTTTCCAATATTTTGACTGCTACACTTGTCAATGATACAGGTCTATAATTAAGGGGGTCTTCCCTGCTTCCACTTTTGTAGATTGGAACTATGTTAGCCTTTTTCCACGCATCAGCTACAACTCCTGTAATCAGGGATGCCTGAAAAATCAGTTGAAGTGGAATGCTGAGCCCAGGTGCACATTCTCTCAGAATCCATGGTGAAACTCCATCTGGACCAACTGCTTTGTTCTTACTTAGCTCCTTGAGCATTTTTTCCACTTCATCTCTAGACACCTCTATGTGCTCTGTTGTTCTCTAGAATTCTTATTGTGTCTGGTTCCCTGAAGATTTCATTTTGTACAGACACACTTTGGAACTTTTTGTTTAATGTTTCACACATTTCCTTTTAATTTTCTGTGAATCTATTTACCATTTTCAACCTCTGAATATTATCCTTTACCTGCAATTTGTTGTTTATGAATTTATAGAATAGACCTGGTTCTGTTTTACATTTGTCTGCAATTCCTTTTTCAAAATTTCTTTCTGCCTCTCTCCTCACTGTCGTGTAGTTGTTTCTCGCATCTTTGTATCGCTGGTATGTTTGGGGGTTTGGCCTCTTCCTGAATTGATTCCATTTTTGTGTCTTTTGGTCTCTGGCCCTCTCGCAATTTCTGTTGAACCAATCCTGTTTCCTAGTTCTGCATCTCTGTTTTGGTATAAATTTTTTTGTGCCTTTATCATATATTTCACAAAACTTGACATACATCTCATTCACATCCTTCCCTAGCAACAAGTCTGTCCAATTATACTCACTAAAAAATTTTCTAAGGTCGCCATTATGTCCTCTCCTGAAGTCAGGGTTTTCAACTGCTTCAACTTCCTTATTTTCTTCCAGATTATAACGCATTGCATACTTTATTCCTAAAAAGACATGGTCACTTTTACCCAAGGGAGGAAGGTACGGAATATCAAATATCTCTTCCTCCTTCCTGGTAAATATCAAATCTAGCATGGAGGGAATGTCCCCTTCCCTCATCCTCATAGCTTGTTTAACATGTTGATACAAGAATATTTCCAGGATGAGGTCTACAAATCTACAGGTTCAAAAATCTTCTGTTTTAGCTTTATATGCTTCGCAGTCAATGGATTTCAAGTTAAAGTCGCCGACTATCAACAGTCGTGATCTATTGTTATCCGCTCTCGCTATAATCTCTCTCATTATTGTTATAAGACCTTCTCGTTTACTATCTAGCGCCTCCTTTGACCATATACTGCTTGGCGGTAGACTATATGCATTTATGATCATTAATTTATCATCCTCATGGCAGATCTCTAGTGCTATTATGTCAACTTCTTGTGGATTGGCAATCAATATTTCGTTCACCTTTAGGTGTACTTTCACCAGCATAGCAACGCCACCGCCTTTCCTAATTTTTCTGTCCTGTCTCCAAATTGAGTACAGTAGCCCCTTGGGAATATGATCTCATTTAAAATAACATCAAGTTCTGTCTCCATGAGTGCAACAATGTCTGGTGTCTGCAGCTGTATTACATCACTTAACTCCAGTATCTTCAATCTCACTCCATGTATGTTGGTGTATGCAATCTTCAGGAACTTGTTTCCCCTCTCTTTATTCTTCACTCTCCCTCTCTCTAACGATTTTGTTGGTTTGCCTTTATGTACCACTTTACTGGTCTGCCTACCCCTATCACTTTGTAGAAAAAGAATTGATTTCTTCTTCATTCCTGCTCTCATTTAAACGTTTTGCCTCGGCGAGGTTCAGTTTCAGCTTCTCTCTGTCTTCTTCTGAAAGATCTGGTCTTAACGACCACACTTTCCCATCCTCATCACTTTGTAATTTTCTAGCATTCCTTAGTACTTCTTCCATCTGTTTGGCACCGTTTAGGGTGATCCTCAAAGGTCGATCTTTCCCTTTTACGTATCTGCCTATTCTCCGGTAGTCGCACACATTCTCTATGATAGTAAGACCTCCCACGAGGCCAACAATTTTATCTACTACTTTCGCTTCTTCTACAGCTCTTTCTGACCCAGATGTTATCTCCTTTTCTTTGCAACCAAAAATTATCAGGGATTTATTCTGATCAACTGTGTTTTGCACCAACGTTGGGTTAGATAAAATTAGAATTAGATGCCAATTCCTTTCTCACTTCCAGCCTAATGTTTGTTTTATCATTGTTGCTGCAGTGTTTGACTTCCTTTACTGCTTCTTCAATTTTTTCCTTCTCCTTGGCCACTTATGCATAGGTGTGTTGCATATCTTTCTTGCATTGTTCTATTCCCTGCATAACTTCCTCCATTTGTGCTGACAAAAGCTCTTTCTCCTGTTGAATTTCCTTACCTAACCTATTGTAGTCATTTATGTTTAAATTTACTTTAACTTCTTCCAAAGCTATTTTTAAGAGTTTATTTTCTTCTTCCATGGCTTTGCAATTTGTTTCCAATTAATTCTTATCCTTGCGCAAGTCTTTCACTAAACCCTCAAGACATAAAACATTGCTATTCAAATGGTCATTGCTTTCTTTCAATTTACTAATTATTTCTATATGAGATTTCACTATGGTATCTAATTTTACCAACTTGTTGTGTAAACTGGTTATACCAATGCTTTCTTCATTGAATCCCGCAAAATCAAGCTCTCTTTTGTTTTTCCTCTTGCCGGTGGTTATCTTGAATGTTCTTCTCTGCACTGGAAACAGTAGGGCAACTTTTTCTCATCCAATATTTCACTTCCCTTAGCACATTCCTGTTATCTTGCCTATTTTTCAAGAGAACTATACCTTTATGTTCTCTGGGACACCACCCACTATCATCAACCTGTACTACAATACCTAGGATTGTTGAAATATGCTGGAGCTCCACTGATGCAAGTGTTGACCCTAGTAATTCGACCATAGGGGGGGGGTTAGCTTGATACAAGCCTAATGTGTATGAGTACACTGGCTTCCTGTCCCCTGATAATGAATTATAATTTATGGTTTTGGTGGATAGGCAATTTCATAAGTTTATTACCCTATGGGTGAAATGCATCATTCATTTTGTTTATTACAGCTCCTACAGGCTGAATAACTTTCAATAATTGGTTGATTGTACTCCAAGGATCTTTTCTTCATCATCCGTCTGTTGCATGATAATGCTGTTGTTATGATAGTTATGATGTGAATTGTTATGACCTACATTATGACCGTCTTTCATCTACATAGTTTTTGTGACTTGGCACTTTCTTTTGATAATTACTTAATTGCACTTTTCAGAATTGAAAAGCATTTGACAGCATGAAAAGACTTGCACTTTTCTATATTGAAAAAACATTTATCACCCCTCTGCTTGTTTGTGGAGTTCATGTAGATAATTTTGCAAGATCTCTGTTGATTTTGTTTTGCACATAACCGTAGCTCTTTGTTGATATATGTTACAAAAAGGATTGACCCCAAGATGGAACTGTGTGTATTCCACTCAACGTTTTTCCAGTCAAATTCTTCTTTATTTAGGACAACCCTTTGCTTTGTTTATTTTAACCATTGTTTTATCCATCCTAGTATTTTTGCATTTATTGAATGAGCTTGTAATTTCTGTGCCAGCTTTTCATGTGTACTTTATCAAAAGCCGTAGAGAAGTCCATGTATGCTACATCTACTGGAAGTCTGTTGTGCATTACCATTTGGAAGCTGGTTACCATTTCCAAAAATGTAAGATTAGGCAAGATTTATTTTGTGCAAAACCATGTTGTCCTGATTTTATAATATTGTGCACTGTAAGATGATAAATGATTTTCACTCTTACAGTTCTCTCCATAAGCTTGCAGAATGTGAGGTTAGTTCAGGTGAATTGGTGGAAGGCAATTGAGTGGCCATGTTGTAGTTTGGCCATTCTGTCAGGGAGGCTGGGTGTTGTCATTCTGGGATCACCAATGTAGCACAATTCAACAACATGCAGAGGTCTATTTTCTTTAAGATCCCCTGACAGATGAATAGTAAATACACAATATATATTGATACAAGTTATAGTGGTTGAAGTTTGGCGAGATAGAGTTGGGAAGCTGTGGGCTGCATAGCCAGGCTAGTGGTAGAGTCCACTAATGAGACGGTTGGGTCAAGGGTGGTCATAAGTGCTTGCTTTCAGAGTTGTTACCCCTGGTTAGTCTGTGGTGATATTGATTCTACTAGTGTGGGCTCGCCCTTATGTACATTACCCGCCAGTTGCTGATTGATCGAGGAGAAACATCTTAATTCTGGAAAGTGTCTGCATGTAGGGATATCTCTTCAATAAGTTGGTTATGTTGTTTAAAGTGTAACATATTCTTTACAGGATGAAGTGTCAATGGCGCTCGTTTGGATACAAATCAAAAGTAGTGGTGCTCTGCTCTATTGCCAATTTCATCAATGCAGCAGATAGAGTTTTAATGCCCCTTGCCATTGTTCCCATGGCAATTGAATATAAATGGAGCTTGTATTGGCAAGGATGGATCCTATCAGGATTTGCTTTTGGTTATTTTACTAGCCAGGTTAGTAAAATTATCAGTATTTTATGAAACACTAAACTTAGGATGTGTTCTATTTTAATATTATGAGGCAAGTGGGAGAGGTGTTCCATAATGTACGCAATATAAACAATTATTTAAATTCAACTGAAATGAACAAAGCCTTGTTAGTTTAACAAGTTTTCAGATTTGTATTTTCTGTGGGAAGGCCCGTCAGCTCCCTGGAGCTATTGGGCTGATATTGCCTAATATTAATACAGGGCTTCAGTCATATGGAGTTGTCATGCCTACCGGGGACCACTAGGCAGAACATGTTCCCCTCAGAGATGCGAAGGGAACAATGTCCTATGAAGCTTAAATATGAAAGTATTCATGTCTGCCATCGACTGGGGTTGAGCACCCAGAAAGGTAGGCGCTTCAAAACAGAGCCCCTCCTGGTAGAAGTATTGCAACCTAAGACTGAACAAAGGCTGGAAACTCCCCCTGAGAGAAAAACAAGCAAATTAGCAACATGTCATCACACCGCACGCCACTCGTTCGCGCCCAGCGCACCGAGCTGGCAGCCGGACCGTCAATTTGTCGGTTGACACTAAACAGGGTGGATGTCTGCTCTGGTCTCGGTTGCCTGATTGGCTTCACCCTGCTGCTGTTCCTGCTGTATACTGGAGGTGGCCAGGAGTTCGTACCAAGGGCTGCACGAGCTTGGAAAACCTTCCCAAAGTGCCCTGTGAGTACACCCCTTGGGGTTGAGAGTCCAATGCTTTGGGTCCTTTGGGTCCCCATTCCCATACAAGTAGCGGCTGCTTGGCTTTCTGCCTCGATAAAGTTAAGGTAAACATATGTACATACTGTATTGTAGTTAGAGAAAAAAATTGTACTGTATTCTGTATAAAATGTATTTTACGTTAATATTTTTGGGGGTGTGGAATGGAATACAGTGGTACCTCGGAACACGAGCGTCCCTGTATGCGAGTTTTTCGGAATACGAGCCGGATTTCCTCAGAAAATGTGTCTCGAAAGGCGAGGGTTACCTCGGAACGCGAGTTTGTTGATACGCGTTCAGGCCGACCTAGTGCGTGGTGGTACGGCGATCGTCGCCCCTCTGCCCCTCAGTTTACCATTGTCTCCCGCCCAGTGACTATCCCTCCTGAATTCTTCACAAGGATTTACAGTTTTATGTCATTTTTTTGGCGTTTGAGCATAAAAGTTGTTGTTATATCTCTCGCCATGGGTCTCAAGAAAGCCATTGATAAGGTACAACCTAAGAAAATAGCTGTAAGTAGAGGCAGTAGAGGATGTCCCTTCTTGATTAAGAAAATGTGTGAAGTATGGGAAGAACTGCAAAGTTCTGTTGAAAAAACTCACCCAGATAAAGCTGTAGCAGGCCGTTGCATTGACCTTTTAAATGACAATGTGATGTCTTACTACAGACAAGTGTTAAAATGTAGGGAAAAACAAGTGTCTTTAGACAGATTCTTAGTAAGACAAACAAGTCCTAGTGGTATGCAGGCAAAATGTGCCAGTGTGTGTGCTCACCAGTGAAGTCCTCACTGCCTGATGTGATAATGGAAGGGGACTCCCCTTCCAAACAGTAACTCCTCTCCTCCTCCCCCCTCCTCACCATCTTTCATACGCCTACAGCATTCAACAGCAAGGTAAGTAATAGCTTGAATATAGTTTTGTAGGTTTATTTAGATGAATTAGGTATAAAAATTTAGTTTGATGTGGGGTTTTTGGGGTAGTCAGGAACGGATTAATTCATTTCCCATTATTTCTTATGGGGAAATTAGCTTCGGAATACGAGTTTTCGGAACATGAGCCGTCTCCAGGAACGGATTAAACACTCAAACTGAGGTACCCCTGTACTTCAATTCCCATTATTTCTTATGGGAAAATTTGTTTTTTATGATATTTCGACTTACAATTCGTCTCTGGGAACGGATTAAAATCGTAAGTCTAGTCCCCACTGTACTGTCGCCTCAATTCGCGTGGCACTGGTGGAGCTGCTCCAGCTTGTGTGCGGTATCGATGTTACGTCTGCCTCGTTCCGCAAGTTGTCTCATGCGTTGTTTCACTTCCGGCCTGCTCATGCTTTGCCTGAGCCATCCTGGTCTTTGGACCGGGTGATCTCTATTTTTTCTCTCTCTTCTCCTTGGTTTGTAGTGGCCCCTTTGGTTTGGGATTGTTTTTCTAAGGCTCTTTTTTCCTATTGGCATTGGCCTCTTGGGGTTGGGTCAGGGAGCTTCATGCACTCCTCCGGTTCAGGGGTTTCTGATCTTTCGGTCCTGGTGGTAGGTTTGTTCGGTTGCAGCCATCTCCTTCTTTTCTGGCAAAGAATGAGAGTGATGCTTTCCAGAGGGGGCCCTTGGGCTCTTGATGCTTGGTTGGTCAGGCTGGAGTGCATCATGTGTTGTGGCCAGTTGCTGCTCTCTGCCGTTATTTGCGCGCCACGGCTTAGTGGCCGGGTATGCGCTTTGGGTTGACCCGGTTTCCCTCCTTCCCTGTTCTGGGGCTTGGGTCTCCCAGGTCGTTCACAGGGTTATTAAGTCTAGCCAGCCTGCGGTCTATCCTCATGCCCATGACGTTAGTAAATTTGCTGCCTTGGCCGCCGTCTTTGGCAACATGTCTTGGGTTGACATTCGGGCACGGGGTTTTGGAGGTCGAACAGGGTCCTGGCCACGCGCTACCTTGTCAGTGTCCCTGGACCTGGTATGGCCTTTGTTGCATTGGGTCGGCAGTTGCAGCCAGTTGTCTCAACTTTGCGTTGAGAAGTGAGGACTGACTGCCTCCCGGGTAAGTCCCTGTGTTTTTCCTTGTCTTTGGGTAGTTAGCTCTGGAGAGCCGATGGGTCTCCCACCAGAAAACCAGCATTGAATGTAATGAAATGCCATTTTCTGGGTGAGACCCGGAGGCTCCCCAGCATCCCTCCCTCCCTCCGGTCGGTGGTGTTTACACATGTTTTTGACATCCAGTCTAAGAACTGCCAGTGGGATTGCCAGCACGAGGGTCTGGGGGCTCCCCCTTTCCCCTCCCGGGGAGGGGGGGTGGGGTTGCGCAGACAGCGGCGCAGCAACGTGATGACGTCATACTCATTTGCTAATTTTCATTTGGGGGAGTTCTATCCAATCGTTCGGCTTTCAGTAGCAATATATTACCATGAATAAGGGTTTGTTTTGTGGCGCCTACCTTTATGGGTACCAGAACCGGTCGATGGCAGACAAAATGCTCTCAACCACACGGGGGTTTCTATAGGCCATTGCTCCTTGTGCCTCTCTGAGGGGGCCAGGTTCTAGCTCATGGTCCCCAGTTGGTAAGAATTCCATGCACTTTGACTGATGCCAGAAAGCTAATACTGTAGATACATATCAGCCTGGATAGCTCCAGGGAGCCTCCGGGTTTCACCCAGAAAATGGCGTTTCATTATATTCAATGCTGGTTTTTAAGCATGAGTGCTTAAAACTCCATCATTAGTGCTGTACTTATACAGTTCTGTACAATGCTTAGCTATTTAATACTTCATGGATTCACTTAACAGTGCATTTTAATTTTCAGATCATGGGGGCAATTGCAGTCAATAATTATGGTGGGCGAAGAGTTCTTTGCTTTGCAGTATTGTTATGGTCCCTCTCTACTGCAGCCACACCATTGGCTGCTCCACATCTTCCTGCCCTCATCTGTACGAGAGTTATTTTAGGACTTGGTGAAGGCCTTGGTGAGTTGCATTAACCCTTCAACAGCGCAATACATTCAAATACGATTTGACAAAATAATTTAACATAAGTTTTTAAAACTTGCACAAACACTTCCCATTTTTTTTGTATAATCAACTAGGCAAATGCTCCAACTTTGTATAAATGATCACAGTGTAACTTGAAAAGCAAGAGAATCAAAATTAAATTTAAAATTGAATATTGAAAACTTCAGATATTCAATTCAGAATAAAAAATATGAACTATCACCAATTGTTTATTTAATGTTATTGTTCTCTCAGAATAGCATATGATGTTCATTTTCATCAAATTAGAATACAGTATAGGTTTTCAGTATAGTTTACTGTAAAAAAAATTAAGGCATTTGAAATATGCGGCAAGTTTAGAACAAAAAATTTTGTTCTAAACTGTTTTGGTATAAATTTTTTTGTGCCTTTATCATATATTTCACAAAACTTGACATACATCTCATTCACTTCCTTGCCAAGCAACAAGTCTGTCCAATTTTACTCAGTAAAAAATTTTCTAAGGTCGCCATAATGTCCTCTCCTGAAGTCAGGTTTTTCAACTGCTTCAACCTCCTTATTTTCTTCCAGATTATAACACATTGCATACTTTATTCCCAAAAAAACATGGTCACCTTTACCCAAGGGAGGAAGGTACTGAATGTCAAATATCTCTTCTTCCTTCCTGGTAAATATAAAATCTAGCATGGAGGGAACGTCCCCTTCCCTCATCCTCGTAGCTTGTTTAACATGTTGATACAAGAATGTTTCCAGGATGAGGTCTACAAATCTACAGGTCCAAAAATCTTCTGTTTTAGCTTCATATGCTTCCCAGTCTATGGATTTCAAGTTGAAGTCGCCGACTATCAACAGTCGTCGATTCTTGGAACACCGCCAACGCCACCTCCCTTCATTAGGCTTAACGCGAGTCACATACACACGCAACAGTTCTTCCTTCCTCCGTGACCAACTCCCTTCCTCCCTGACCAACTCCCTTCCTCCCTGACCAACTCCCTTCCTCCCTGACCAACTCCCTCCCTCCCTTCCTGACCGTTATCCCCCAGGTAGTCCCTCCCAAAGCTCCCCTCTCCCCTGACACCACCCACCCACCCTACCCCCTCCTACACCATGCGACTGAACGGCCGCAAGTTAACCGGCTCCGATTTTTTATCCGGCTTCCATGGACATTTTGGCCGGATATTGAGATAACTTTATCTGGTCACAATTTTGGCCGTATAAGGGCATTTTCCAGATATTCAAATCTTGGATAAACAAGTGTCTACAGTAATTCATCTCTGGAAAGTTAGTGACTTTTGTTCTCTGATCCTTAACTGTTTATCCAACAGTAATAGGGGGCCGAAGTTGTAAGTTAATTGGCAGATTGTGTTCCAGGAAAAATTGGTAAATTTTAATATAAACTGTGGGAGGAAGGGCTCTTAAGTATCTGATGAAATTTTACTGATACTGTACAGCAAAAATATTATGCTAATACCACTGATATTAATATTAGTACTTCTGTTAATAAAAACCTCATTCTAGCAATATTTGAAATAAAATATGACTACCAAGCTGGTCGGCCGGCTCCTGGGAAGCCGGTTGGCCGAGCAGACAGCACGCTGGACTTGTGATCCTGTGGTCCTGGGTTCGATCCTAGGCGCTGGCGAGAAACAATGGGCAGAGTTTTTCACCCTATGCCCCTGTTACCTAGCAGTAAATAGGTACCTGGGTGTTAGTCAGCTGTCACGGGCTGCTTCCTGGGGGTGGAGGCCTGGTCGAGGACCGGGCTGCGGGGACACTGAAGCCCCGAAATCATCTCAAGATAACCTCAAGAAGATAACCAATAACACACCTTACTTTCTCCCAAGTATCCTACCTCAGAACACCAGCTTAGTCAGCTAGGCATTATTTTCTGTGCTAGACCCCCTCAGCAGCAAACTGGAGCTGAAAGCACTGACACCTCAGGGTGCTGTACTCACCTGGGTAGGAGGCCTGCCATGTTCATTACATCCTCCCAATTGGTAAAATGTGTGATCCAATATTCTGAATGCACTTGAACTCAAAGTTTTCTGCATCCAACAAAACTGCTCATTGAGAGTCATGACATCAAGAGCAGACTTACCATAATACGTTATTCACTCAGCAATTTTTTTTAAGGACATCACCTACTCTAAATATACTTATCACTTTGATATTCATGTTTATCCATCTCTATTAAAATGTTCATACATTATAATATCTAACATTTTTCTCTTAGGTTTGCCTACAATATTTCAACTCTTTGCTCAACACATCCCAGCTGAGGAGCGTAGTCGAGCCTTTGGGTACATGGTTGCTGCTGGCTCTATAGGCCAGACTGTTGCATCATTGGTTAGTTTGCATTTCCTATTTACCTTTAGTAATGTTTTTGTTAATCCAACAGGAGCCTTGATGAGAGTTCGAACCTATGCGCTGGGTGTTCCCAGGTGTGTTGAATTTGTTCATTGATGTATCACGTTAACACCTTCGCTGCCTGATGACGTAGACATCATAAAACCAAAATACAGAGAATGCCCAATGATGCAAACGGCATCAATAATTTTTTTAAATTTGTAGAAATTCCATTTATTGTCTGAATACTACGGGACTTGTTTTAAAAAGTGCACCAGTTTCAGCCCATTCTCTGTATACCCCACGTGGCATCCTGAGCCTTGTCGTGTGGTTGCCCACCCAAGCTGGAGGCTCACTGTTCTCGTGACAGCCGTGGCCTCACCTCGAGTCGAAAAGTTCCCCATTCTGGTTATTTTATCACGGGTATTTGTTGTTACCGGCTTTATAAACACTGCAAATTGACTTCCAGATGGATAATGATCAAGAACAGAGCCAATCCATGACAAAAGTTACGAAACAAACATGTATGAGGGAAAAGTTATTGAGTTTTTGTCAAAAGTATAGAAAAGGGAGACTTGTATATTCTTATGCAAATATCCCTTTACAGCATTCTATTGCGAACAATTTGATACCAAATTGAACAATGTAGCACAAAATTTGAGGTCAGAAAGCTGAAAAGAGCATAAAAAAATTTGTGGTGGTGAGCTCTCGGCCTGCCTTGCGGTGTGCGATGGGTCTAAAGCATAGGAAAGAGAGACTTGTATGTTCACTTATGCACGTATTTCTTTAGAGCATTTTATTGCGAACAGTTTGATACCAAATGGAACTACATATCATAGAAATTGAGGTCAGAAAGCTAAAAAGAGTATAAACATTTGTGGGTGGTGGTGAGTTAGCGCGCACCACTTGGCCTACCTTGAGGTGCGAGGCGGGTCTCCCGCTGGGGCAGCGAAAGTGTTAATGAGATTTCTCTGTATTATGTTTTTATTGCTATAATTTAATTAACTAAAAAAAACCAGCGTTGAATTTAACGAAACGCCATTTTCTGGGTGAGTCCCGGAGCTATTCATGCTGAATGGATATGTATAACTCTGGCATCAGTCAATGTGCACAGAGTTCTTGCCAACTGGGACCATGAGCCAGAACCCGGGGACCCCTTCAAGAGTGGCACAAGGAGCAATGGCCTATAGAAACCCCAGGGTGGTTGGGAGCAGTCTGTTTTGGCATCCTTGTTCATCTTAGGGTAAGAGGCAGTTTACACTGGTAGAGGTGCATGGTACTGTGCAGCTAGTTTTTACCTCTCATAGCATCCAGCTCTGTTCTGCCTGGGTACACTGTCCTCTTGCGGGGTTTTCTTTTTCTTTTTGTTTTCCTGCCTGGTAGGGGGCTTTGCCTTTGGTTGTTGCCCCCTGTGTATATAGCATATGCTTCTCTGTTCTGGTGGTACCTCCACCTAGCATCTGGGTCTGACCAGTGGCCCCCCTTTCTTCTGGCTTCTGCAGCTGTGCAGGCTACAGATTTAGGCTCTTTAGTCGGTCCCATCTAAACTATTGGGACCGACTAAAGAGCCTAAATCTGTACTCCCTTGAGCACAGGCGGGAGAGATACATAATAATTTACACGTGGAAAATATTGGAGGGGCTGGTCCCAAACCTGCACACAGAAATAACATCACATGAGACCAGAAGACATGGCAGGATGTGCAGATTACCCCCGTTGAAAAGCAGAGGTGCAACAGGTACTCTGAGAGAGAACTCTATCAACATCAGAGGCCCGAGACTGTTCAACACGCTTCCGCTACACATAAGGGGCATAACTGGCAATCCCCTCACAGTGTTCAAGAGAGAACTGGATAAGCACCGCCAAAGGATACCTGATCAACCAGGCTGTGACTCATACGTCAGGCTGCGGGCAGCCGCGTCCAACAGCCTGGTTGATCAGTCCAGCAACCAGGAGGCCTGGTCGACGACTGGGCCGCGGGGACGCTAAGCCCCGGAAGCACCTCAAGGTAACCTCAAGGTAAGGCCTCTTCTTTTGAGGTCAAGGCTTTGGGAGATGACTTGGCCCCAGGGCCTGATATGGTGGTTCCCTGTTTCTGGGGGGCTCCCCCACTGGTCAGACCCAGATGCTAGGTGGGGGTACCACCAGAACAGAGAAGCATATGCTATATACACAGGGGGCAACAACCAAAGGCAAAGCCCCGTACCAGGCAGGAAAACAAGAAGAAAAAGAAAACCCCGCAAGAGGACAGTGTACCCAGGCAGAACAGAGCTGGATGCTATGAGAGGTAAAAACTAGTTGCACAGTACCAGGTCACTCGACCAGGCCTCTTTTTTTGGAGGGAGCCCCTACGCCTCCCCAGAGCTATCCATGGCTGATATGGATACCCTAACTATTTTGCATCACGTGAAGTTCTAGGCCTACCGGGGACCATGAGCCAGAACCTGGCCCCCTCTCAGAGGCACGAGGACCAATGGCCCATAGAAATGCACATGTGATTTGGAGCATTCTATATCTGCCATCGACTGGGACAGATGAATACACACACTGGATTTTGGGCAGGTTTTTAATTTATCATATCAGGTAAGATGAAAGGATACATTGTAGCTTATACTTGCCATTCCTGTCCATGGTTTTTTCCTTCTGCTCTAGAGCTGTTTCCAGGGCTATCAGCCTTGTGTTTCCAGTTCCTGTGACAAGTTCTTTGGGGTGTAAGTTCTTGACATTTTTCATGGGGGGTTCTGATTGCCTGTTTTCCTTGCTCTTTACACTGGAAATGCCAATAAAGTCTAGGCTGTGGGTCCATTCCACCTTGGCTAGTGTGCTCCCTTTTCACTGCATCTTTCCCAAATGTTTTGAGTCTGTGGTGAGCCCCTTTACCTTTAGCATACCTGTAGAGGGTCTCAGGAGTTCTTCTCCCAGAGGCTGGTCTGAGACCAGGTTCGACTTGCGATAACATGGTCCAACAGTTTGTTGCTTGGAGCAGCCTGCAGGCCTACATATCCACTACAGCCTGGTTGATCCAGCACTTCTTGCAATAACTTGTCTAAGTGCCTCTTGAAAACATCCACCTTTGTTCTGGCAATATTTCTAATGCTTGCTGGGATGGTTACCTTGAGGTGCTTCCGGGGCTTAGTGTCCCCGCGGCCCGGTCGTCGACCAGGCCTCCTGGTTGCTGGACTGATCAACCAGGCTGTTAGACGCGGCTGCTCGCAGCCTGACGTATGAGTCACAGCCTGGTTGATCAGGTATCCTTTGGAGGTGCTTATCCAGTTCTCTCTTGAACACTGTGAGGGGTTGGCCAGTTATGCCCCTTATGTGTAGCGGAAGCGTGTTGAACAGTCTCGGGCCTCTGATGTTGATAGAGTTCTCTCTCAGAGTACCTGTTGCCCATGGTGTTGAACTGTGCAAATTGGGATCTGGCTTGCAGTGTCTTCCATATATATATTATTTGATACCTTTCTCCTAAACGTACACCTTTTACCTAAATGTACACCTTTTACCTAAATGTACACCTTTTACCTAAATGTACACCTTTTACCTAAATGTACACCTTTCCAAAGTGTACATTTTGAGAGCTTTCAGACATTCCCAATAATTGAGATGTTTTATTGTTTCTGTGCGTGCCGTATATGTTCTCTGTATTCTCTCTAATTCAGAGATCTCTCCTGCTCTGAAAATGGAAGAGAGTAACGAGCAATACTCAAGACGGGACATCCTATCATTTTTCTGGCCACCGCTATATTTGCTCGGTTATGTTCACTAAATGTCAGGTCGTCAGACATCATAATTCCTAGATCTTTTCAATGTTGCTTTTTCTTCTATGAGTAGGTCTGATTGTGTCCTGTTCCCTGTGTTTCATTTAAGTTCCTCGTTTCCACATTTGTCCTAAGTACCTGAAACTTAGTAATACCTAAGTACCTGAAACTTATCACTGTTAAACATCATGAACAAATCCACAAGGGCCGTGACGAGGATTCGAACCTACGTCTGAGATCATTCCAGACGCTGCCTTCATCGACTGAGCTACGACATGGTAAAAAGAGTTGAAACCAGAAATTGTACCTAACTTGGCTCCTGCAGCCTCTCCAAGACGCAAACCCGAGTTTTACACAACTCCCCCATGCACTCGAGCTATGCTAATAGGCCGTTCTACCTCTTCGCCCTTACTTCATTACACACAGAAATCACAATAGCATCACACTATTGTGATTTCTGTGTGTAGTGTTAAACATCATGTTATTTTCAGTTGCCCAATCAAAGACTTTATTAATATCTGCCTGTAGTTTTTCAGTGTCTTCTTCAGGGGCAATTTTCATACTGATTTTTGTATCATCTGCAAAGGATGACATGAACTGTGGCTAGTATTTTTGTTTATATTTGAGATAGAAATGAGAAATAGCAGTGGTGCAAGAACTGTGCCCAGGGTTACTGGGTTACAGAGCTTTTCACTGCATTTGGGCTTAATCTTATTTGACTGACCATCACTCTGCATTCTGTTTGACAAAGTTGAAAATCCAATACCCTTTGTTAGGGCAGTTTGTTTTCTTCTGGCGGTTGGCTCTCTGCCAATATCCTGACCATGGGGTCTTTCTGGATCCCCTTTCCTGGTTGGTAATTTTTCAGGGTGTTTCTTGGTGTTATGAGATGTTGGTGTGTCTGTACGGTAACATCCTGCCGACGTTATGTCTGGTCTGGTTTGTCATCTTGGTGCTGGCTATTTTCTGTTGGCTGTCCCTTTGCCCTTTGGTCATATCTTTGTTGCCTTGGGTTTTCCAGAATCTGCATCTACTTTCCCTTCCAGAGGCTATGCTGCCTTTCCAAAGGTGGGATGCTTTCACAGCTTTGGATGTATTAGCTCCTGCGACCATGGCTACTGCCTGGGTTCAGAATTCCTAAGCAGTCTGTCCAGTAGTTGGCTTTTAACCCCCTTCCTAGATTTTCCTCAACTGTGTCACATCTAGGGAATTTAGGCATTTGGCACTTCTGATTGCTCTTTTATGCCAATCCTGTTCTACTGTTGTTTCCCATTGTTTGGCCCTTCCCAGTTCATTTGTTCTTTGTGTTTCTTTCATTTCCTTTCTGGAAAACCATTCTTCTTTGTTGAATTGCATATTGGCAGTAAAAGCTTGGGGAACTACTGAGTTTGAAAGTTCTTCTATCCTTCCTTTGGATTGATCTATCACTATCAGTCTCTCTTTGCCTCACAGAGAGACTGCGCTATATTTATTTTGGCTCTTATGTAAATTTGGGTGGGTCTTTGAGGACTGTTGTGATTTCATAAGGCTTGTCAGTGAAAATGATTAAGCTCAGATAACTGTTAAAAGGCCACCATAGAAAGATGTTTTGTTACATTCAACACTTTAATCTGTTAATATTATGAAATTTAACTTACGATGAATGTTGGAATGTTTTGACTCTATGGTTGGTCTAAGGTACTGTACTTTGACAGTGAGTCAAAATTTATTTTCATGCATGCTTTCTCTTTTTCAGTTTGTTCCTCACTTGGACTGGCGTGTAAGTTTTGAATTGTTTGGCCTTGTTGGTCTAGTATGGGTGGTTTGTTGGCTGCTGACCTACCATGATCCACCCATTTTATCAGATGAAGAGGGACAACAGCTAATTGAACAAGTAATTGAATTTGTCTTTTTATATATGATTTATTACTGAGAATCAATTAAAGCTTATGTTAACAAAGTTGAGTAAGTTGTGCATTTACCTTCAGTTAGGATATTCGATTTGTGAGTGATAAGTGTAAATACAGTGCACTCTTATAATATGTGGCAGTAACATTCCTGGTAAACTACATATTGCAAACATGTGCATTGACTGTATGCAGTCAGTGTGCTTTATATAATAATAATGCACGATAATTTCTTTTCAGTTAATGGAAACTGTATTACAGTATGTCAAAACTGTCATATATTGGTCTACTGTACTCTACATTTATAATTCAGAAACCTTATGAGTGAATAAAATATAATTGTCATTAATTATTGTTGTATGTAACTAAATGAAATAAAGGCATTAGACTTACTGAAATGTCTAATACAGTATGCATCACAGTCAGCTCTCACTATCTGCAAGTTTACTATAAATAACATTCACTGTTAACTAGGTACACACACACACTACAGAAAATTTAATACAAAAACTTGGCTAAATACAAGTGCTTGTGTTGCTTTTCATAAGCTGGCATGGTTGTGGATATTTCTGGGGGAAGCCCCATTGGCTTCCTTAAGCTTTCTTACTGGTCAAGTGCCTTCTACTTGAGTGGCATCAGTTAGAGTTGTTTGTAAGCCTACTGGGGCCCATGAGCCAGAACCTGGCCCTCCTCAGAGAGGCAAAGGGAGCAATGGCCATGAACACTTTATATTTAAAGTAGGTCATCTTGCCATAGACCGGGGAAGGACCAAGAAAGACTTGTGCAAGAATAAGAATCAATTGGAAACAAATTGCAAAGCCATGGAAGAAGAAAATAAACTCTTAAAAATAGCTTTGGAAGAAGTTAAAGTAAATTTAAACATAAATGACTACAATAGGTTAGGTAAGGAAATTCAACAGGAGAAACAGCTTTTGTTAGCACAGATGGAGGAAGTTACACAGGGAATAGAACAGTGCAAGAAAGATATGCAACTCACCTATGCACAAGTGGCCAAGGAGAAGGAAAAAATTAAAGAAGTTGTAAAAGAAGCCAAACACTGCAGCAACCAAGATAAAACAAACATTAGGCTGGAAGTGAGAAAGGAATTGGCATCTAATCCGAAGTTGGTGCAAAACTCAGTTGATCGGAGTAAGTCCCTGATAATTTTTGGTTGCAAAGAAAAGGAGATAACATCTAGATATCCTCGCAAGAGGATAACGTACCCTAAGGAGCAGAGCCAGCTGCTATGATTGGTGATAGCAACTGCACAGCACCCTGCGCCCCTCACTAGTGTGAAACTGCCTCGTACCCTAAGGTAAACTAGGGAGGCAAAACACCCAAGTACCCAAAGGGCGGCCGAAACGGGCAGTTAAACGAACCCACAGAGGCAGATCCCAAGGAACCTGTGAAAGGTAACCCCAAGCTCCAAGGGCAGTACTTACAGGGCACCTAGGGAAGGGAACCCTAGGCGCATGCAGCCCGAGTACTGAAGAGTAACTCCTGGCTCTCGCACCCCTGGGAGAACAGCCGCCACACACAAGGCACAGCGTCGTAAAAATCTGGAGCCAGAGCACACAACCGCTGCCTATTGCATCAGCCTCAAGAACTGGAGTGTGGATCGCCGGCGTAGTAGGTCTAGGGCTTCCCCTTCCCCCTCCCGGGGAGGGAGGAGTTGCACAGACGGCGGCGCAGCAACAGGTGATGTCACACTAGCTTGTTTGTTTTGTTTGGGGAGTTCTATCCACTTGTTCGGCTTTCGGTAGCAATATTTTCACCAGAATAGGGGTTTGTTTTGGAATGCTTACCTTTCTGGGTGCCTGACCCGGTCAATGGCAGACATAGAATGCTTCCAACCACACGGGGGCTTTTATAGGCCATTGCTTCCCTTGCCTCTCTGAGGGGGCCAGGTTTAGGCCGTGGTCCCCGGTAGGCCCAAAGAACTCCATACACATGACTGATGCCAAAGTCTGACATTAGCAAATCAGCCTGGATAGCTCGGGGGAGCTGAAGGAGCTCCTCACAGAAAGAAAATGTGTGCCCTCCTTTTTGGTGGTGCTGGTGGTTGAGGACTTGCGCGCCCGGGGCCTTTTGGCTTCTGGCGCCTTGGCCTCGGCGGCTCGCTTGTCGGCTGCCATGCTGAAGCTTTTCGTGCTGATCTTGCGGGATGCAGTTGCGCTGTTTTGTGCTTCCCGGCTCGCATATCGGCAGGCGGTGTTTGCCTCTTCTGTGGAATCCGCTTGGGCCTTAGCTCTTAGGATGTCTCCGCCCTTTTGTCCTCTCCTGTTTGAGGCTTCAGCCGTTGCGCAGTATATTCAGGCTGCTTCGGCTTCTTGCCGTCCTATGTCGGACTTGCTGGTTCTCCGGGGGTCTTGTGGTGGGCCTTCCCGGAAGGGTCGTGCCAAGGCTCGGGGTTCCTCTTGTCGTGGTAGGCCACTGGTGTCAGGTTCGGGTTCGGCTCCTCTTTCGGACTCGCCTTCGTCTGGTTGGTGTGGTGTTTGCTCTGTACGAGGTTCTAGGTTTCGTAAGGGGCGCCGGCCCTTTTGCAGCTCGCCCCATTGACGAGGTGGTGGAGGCTTGCGCTCTTTGCTCACTCCTGGTCCCACGATTCGTGGGTATTTCGGGTAGTTTTGCGTGGTCTCCGGTGGTGTTAGGTAGCCCTCCCTCCCTCCCTTCGGGAGGTTCGGGGCTGGTGGGGCAGGTTCGGGCTGGTTCGATCTTCTCAAGTCTTCACGTATGGTATTTCTTACTTGAGTTTATCATCATCTCTATGGTGATCAGGTGGCTTCCTTGTTAGTGTTCTACCTGCGGGCTTCGTCTGCGGGCAGTATGAAGTTTCCTGGTGGTCCTTCCGTTTCTTCTTACGTCTTCATCGTTGTACTTCGCTTTCGGTTAGGGTGGTGTTGTCCTTTCTCTCTTGGTTGTTCAAGGACCGTCTTCTTATGCCTAACACTGTCGCCTCGTATCGTGTGGCGCTGGCGGAGCCGCTTCAGCTTGCTTTCGGTATTGATGTGATGTCTGTGCCATTTCATAAGCTGCCTCGGGCGTTGTTTCACCTCCGGCCTGCTCATGCGCCGCCTGAGCCGTCCTGGTCATTGGACAGAGTGCTTTCTTACCTTTCTTCTCCTTGGTTTGTTGTGGGCCCTTTGGTTCAGGATTGTTTCTCCAAGGCTCTTTTTCTGTTGGCATTGGCCCCTGGGGGTTGGGTTGGTTAGCTTCATGCTCTCCTCTGGCGAAGGGGTTTCTGCTCTTTCGGTCGGGGCGATCGGTTTGTTCGTCTGCAGTCTTCTTCTTCTTTTCTGGCGAAGAATGAGACTGCTGCTTTCCGGAGGGGTCCCTGGGTTGTTGATGCTTGGTTGGTAGTGCTGGGGGTGCATCATGTTTTGTGTCCGGTTGCGGCTCTCCGCCGTTATTTGTGCGCCACGGCTTCTGTGTCCGTGGATGTGCTTTGGGTTGATCCAGTTTCCCTTCTTCCCAGTTCGCGAGTGCAGGTCTCCCAGGTCGTTCGCAGGGTTATTTAGGCTAGCCAGCCTGTGGTCTATCCCTGTGCCCATCACGTTCTCAAGTTCGCGGCTGTTGTCGCCGTCTTTGGGAATATGTCTTGGGCTGACATTCGGGCGCTGAGATTTTGGCGGTCGAACAGGGTGCTGGCTGCTCATTACCTTGTTAACGTCCCTGGGCCCTGTCGGGTCTGTGTCGCTTTGGGTCGGCGGATGCAGCCAGTTGTCTCGACTTCGGGTTGAGGAGTGAGCAGCAACCACCTCCCGGGTAAGTCCCTCTTTTTTTCTTCTGTGGGTAGTTAGCTCCGGGGAGCCATAGGGGCTCCCTCTAGAATACCAGCATTGAATGTAATGAAACGTCATTTTCTGGGTGAGACCCGGAGGCTCCCCGGCATCCCTCCCCTCCCTCCGGTCGGCATTTTTTTGGCGTGTTTTGACATCCAGCCTCAGAACTGGGGTGTGGATCGCCGCCATGATAGGTCTGGGGCTCCCCCCTTCCTCCTCCCGGGGAGACGGCAGCATGGCAACGGATGAGGTCACACTAGTTTGCTCGTTTTGTTTGGGGAGTTCTATCCACTTCTTCGGCTTATGGTAGCAATATTTTCACCAGAATAGGCTGCAGTCTCCATGGTGTAGTGGTAAGACACTCGCCTGGCGTTCCGCGAGCGCTATGTCATGGGTTCGTATCCTGGCCGGGGAGGATTTACTGGGCGCAAATTCTTAACTGTAGCCTCTGTTTAACGCAACAGTAAAATGTGTACTTGGATGAAAAAACGATTCTTCGCGGCAGGGGATCGTATTCCAGGGACCATAGGATTAAGGACTTGCCCGAAACGCTACGCGTACTAGTGGCTGTACAAGAATGTAACAACTCTTGTATATATCTCAAAAAAAAAAAAAAAAAAAAAAAAAAAATACTGGGTTTGTTATGGTATCCTTACCTTTCTGGGTGCCTAACCTGGTCGATGGCCGATATAGAATGCTTCCAACCACACGGGGGCTTCTATAGGCCATTGCTCCCCCTTGCCTCTCTGAGGGGCCAGGTTCTGCCCGGTAGGCCTAAAGAATTCCATACACATGACTGATGCCAAAGTCTGACATTAGCATATCAGCCTGGATAGCTCCGGGAAGCCTCCGGGTCTCACCCAGGAAATGACTTTTCATTACATTCAACGCTGGTTTTTTATTTATTTCAGGAAAAAACGTGTGTGTCTTGGGTAGAGTGGATAAGCCATTGGTCATTGTGGTCAATCTATATTGCTCATTTCGCTATGAACTGGAGCAACTACATCATCATGCAGTGGCTGCCGACATACCTATCACGGACGCTGGGAGCAAACAAAGAGAGCATGAGTCTCACTGCAGTGCCTTATATCATCAACTCTCTTTTTGGTGTTGGTAAGTAAGTGAGACATTAAACACTCATGATACAAGGCTCTAGTGTAAATTAACACTTTAGTGCGCGCGGCACTCCCTGAAAAAAAAAGCGGGTTGTGCGCGCGGCGTTCTGGGCGCTCAAGCGTGAACACAAAAAAGTTTATCATCTTTTCACACTCCTAACATCAATTCTCGAGCTACGTTTTTCATTTTGGTATCAATGCGTTGGCAATAAAATTCTCTACAGGATCATATGCATAAAATGTCACCCAAGCATTTGCTATCCCACCACGAAGTAAATAAACACGAAGATGACTCGCCGTGACACCCAAACAGGAAGTAAATGTTCATACTCTTTCGTTTGTTGCCAGCCTCACAGTCATCCTACAGCGCTTATTTTGATATCACTGAACTCGCAATAAAATTCCCCACCCAGACATATGCCTATCAATGTCTAATTATGTTCCGCACGAGTGTGGGAACTGGGCGAAGCGTAAGCCGTGATTTCAGCAGCGACGACACTGTTGTGATGCAGCGCTTTGAAAGATTATACTTATTTCACTGTCATGACATTATTTCTTGAGCTACGTATTTCATTTTTATTGCAATGTGTTCGCAATAGAAAGTTCTATAAAAACGTGGGTAGAATTGGCCAACAGAGCATCAAATAAATTTGCGGCGAATAAAATCTTACGCGAATCTTACACGTGTTTGTACCCGTGAGCGTAAAAAGTTTTTACTTTGCTCATGTTTTTTCAAGTTTATACTTGATTCACTCCGTTTTTTTTGTTTGTATAGTGTTCGGAATAAAATTCTCTACACAGACATATGCATATAAATGTAGAATCATGATCGCGGCCAACACAAGAGTGTGTGGAGTGCGCGATTACCCTCGTTGTGACACCAATTCAATAGTCTCTCCTCTAAGTTACAATACATTGCCGTTTTCTCAAATAGGCACAGTGCCTATTAGAGAAAACAACAATTTAATGGCAAACATATTCATACAAACCCCAAGTTGATCGAGTAGTAAATACCCAATATAAAACACGGTCCGTAAATTTACGTCGTGATCCGACAAGCGGTTAGGGAAACCGCCCGTAAGTCCAAGTCGAAAATCCAGGAAAGTGTTAAGTACAGTCATTGACCCCATATTCAAGCAGGTTGAGATTCAACCTTTCTGATAAATTACACATATTTGTAAAACTGCATCATCCCTACTTACAAAAAAATTATTTATTCTGTAAAATAGATGTCAGTTGGAAGACTATGGGCTTAACCCTTAACATGCTAGGGGTATAATATCCTTTCTTCCCCACAGGAGCATGTAATTTTGAAAAAAAAAAATATTATTTTTTTCTTCCTAACCTGTTAGTTTGTGTTCACTGATCACGGGAAAAATAATAAAAAAAATCGTAAGTGGCATATATTGCCCGCTATAGGGCGGGGAAGTCTGGCAAAAAACAGGTGCTGACTCAGCGTGCGTCCCAGGCGGTCTGTTGATCGCCAGCTGTCAGGCCGGAGTTGCCACAAAGAGATAATTACCTAATTATTTCAATGTCTCTGATTGATTTTTCATAGTTTTTTTGCTGTAATATTATTCAATAGTGTGTAGTTTGATATATTTATATAATAAAATGAGTGATTCATTGCTGTACTCAAAAATATGGTGTGCATATTGTTGATTCAATTATGTTCATCAATCAGTGAACAAATACTTTGTCGGTTATTACACTATAAGCACAGGTTATATATAAGTATCTGCATGTTTTGTTCACTATAACGAACCACTAAGTAGCTATTATGAGTCAAAAAGTAAAGAGGAGTGACCGCCGTGTACCAGCCAGCCACTCACACCCTCCCTCAAGTCATCTGACTCACCCACATTCTCCTCCCACAATACTGTTTTTGCTATAATTCACTATATACAGATGTTATATATAAGTATCTACATTCGTGTTCACCATAACGAACCACTAAGTTAGCAAGCTGAGTGGCAGTGCCAGTGGCAGCCCGCCACTGGTTGCTACTTCCTCCCTCCCTCAAGTCACCTGAGTCACCCACATTCTCCTCCCACAATACTGTTTTTGCTTTTATTCACTATATACAGACGCTATATATAAGTATCTACATTCGTGTTCACCATAACAAGCCACTAAGTTGGTATGCTGAGTGGAAGTGGCAGCCCGCCACTGGCTGCCACTCCCTCCCTCCCTCACCTCACCTGACTTGCCACCATTCTCCACCCACCATACTGTTTTTGCTTTTATATACAGATGTTATATTTATTTGTATTTACATGTTTTGTTCACCATAACTATACATCTAAGCTTGTATGGTGAGTAAAGGCACGAAGACGTAGGACCTCACACAGTCAGCTGATGGCTGCCGCCCTCAAGGCCAGACGCACTAATATTTCTCCTTCAACAATACTGTGTGGTGTTATTACGCTATATACGCACATTATATTAGAGGCCCATGTCCCGCATGGGCCTCTTGGCCCATGCGGGACAGTTCCTCATTGTACCCATCCAGTCCCACTCGTATGCATGTCCGTCCCATGCTTGAGTTAGTCCCGGGGTCCCACCTCCACGGGTTACGTGGTACAATGGTGGTGCGGACTGTTATGAGGTACGGTTTCCTGTGTCTGGATGTTATGAGGTGCAATTTTGATGCAGTTTTGTTACCGAGGGTGCGTGTTGGGGTTTGGTTGTGGCATTTTGGTTAGCCCTTGCGTGTTTTTCCTCCTGAGGCCAGGTTCTGGCTCGTGGTCCCCGGTAGGCTCTTAAAACTCCATACACATGGGATGGGAGCCGGTCGGCCGAGTGGACAGCACGCTGGACTTGTGATCCTGTGGTCCTGGGTTCGATCCCAGGCGCCGGCGAGAAACAATGGGCAGAGTTTCTTTCATCCTATGCCCCTGTTACCTAGCAGTAAAATAGGAACCTGGGTGTTAGTCAGCTGTCACGGGCTGCTTCCTGGGGGTGGAGGCCTGGTCGAGGACCGGGCCGCGGGGACACTAAAAGCCCCGAAATCATCTCAAGATAACTTCAAGATAACCACATGACTGATGTCAAAGTCTGACATTAGCACATCAGCCTAGCCTCCGGGGAGCCTCCGGGACTCACCCAGAAAATGGCGTTACATTACATTCAACACTGGTTTTTTATACTGTAAAACAATTATCTCTGATGTGGGGAAAATTTTTTAATCATTTTAGTTTGGCTGTAGTGAATTGAAGAAATGTTGAAAAGTTAAATTCTGAGAATTAATTTTAAAGTAAACTACTCGGTATTTGTATTAGATTTCTCCTTATCACAAATATCTCTGCGTCTGTAAAAGTCCTTGGAAATTTGCATAGTCATTTGTTCTGTACATAGCTGTCAATAAATTGATGGTAATTGCACCCGACATGGTGTCAATTTTTGAATAATGCCCAAGACGGCAAGTAAGGCTTTCAGGATTTTTCCCAAATATGGCAACTGATTTCCAGGTGTGTCTAGTGTCAAATAACAACAACATAGAATATTTAGGAACTATGAATATTGTATTTGAATAATGGCAGGTTAAATCATTCACAATATCAAATTACAAATGACAGGACCATTGTCAGTCTGTCATTTGAGAACAACAAGAGGAGTTTAAGGGTTAGGGTTTGGTTGGCCCTGCACTTAATTATGGGGCTATTAAGGGCTCACCAGCAAAGGAAGTTTCATTATATTCAATACTTGATGATTTTATATTTTGTCCTTTACAGCCTGGGGTCACATTGCTGATCAGCTGATATCAGTGGGGTGGCCAGTAATAAGGGTGCGCCGTTTAATGACACTCTTCGGTCTTATGGGACCTGGACTTTGCCTCACCCTATTTCCAGAAGTTTCAAACTTGGTTGTTGCAGTTTTGTAAGTTGACTAATTTGTATTGGATTATATGCTTAAGAAAATTATTTTAAATTAATCCATGAATTAATGTAAGGAAATTTAATAGAGTTTGCAAATGAAAAGCAAAGAGCATTTTTTGGTAAGAGAAGCATTATTTTATTTCTTAACATTAACACAATAGTCACCCTGTCTCCATATTTCTTGGAAACTGCTAGATGAACAGACCAGCAGGTGAAAGAAAACATGTCCAACCATCTCATCCCGCCAAGGAATTGAATCTAGTGCAGTATCCTCAATTGTCAGCCAATGACGTTGAAAGCTATGCTACAGCATTTGGGAGTTAAATCATCCTGTCCTAGCAGATTGTTTGATCTATATAAAAATAGAGTATACAGCAGAATAATTGGAATGATCCTCACCAAGGAATGAGATTTTTGTTGTTGTCAGTGGTGATCTCTCCTTGGTGAGATCCTCACCAAGGAATAAGATTTTTGTTCTACATGCCCTCTTTGAATGATTGATGTCTAGGTGTTATTACTTGTAATATTTAGGTGTGGTAGACTTGTGAATTTGAGGGTTTCTACGAAGAAGTTATCCCAAGATGAAGTTTCATTGGCTGACACTTCCTGGCACTGTTTCTCTCATACAGGATTGTTTTTCTCATCAATCCTGCTCCTCAAAGCATAATCAGTCTTTACTTTAGAATGACTGACTTTTTCTGTTACATTGTTTTTCAGTTTAATTTCAACTTTGAGCAGGTTTAGGTATAAAACAATTGTTCTGCTATGCATTCAACATGCTTTCTGCTAAAATTGTATCATTGAGAAACCTTTGACATATTCCCTGTTCTGTATTTTGAGCTGACGTAGAGGCAGGATGTTCTGTATTTTTTTAATGAAATATCAAGGAATGAAAGTGAGGAAAAACTGTTATTGATGTCCATGTACATAACAAAAACAGCTTGGTAGCTTGCTAAGTAGCTTACCTGGAAAGCAGGCTTCTCACTGCTTAAAATGAGGAAAATATGAATAAAACTTACCAATCAGAATGTTCGATTAGATGGTGGTCAAACTGTGGGTAGGTATCTATAGCACTTTTATTCATATTTAATTAATACAACATTTTCTGGAGGAGCCAAACAGTGCCTCCCAGTAGCCACAATGGGATAGCTCTATACGTGTGACTCACATCAGCCTATGAATCCTTAAGAGCCTGCCAGAGACCAGAGCTAGAACCAGGTGCACTCAGATGCACAGGAAGCAGGGGACTGTTATGATCATCCTCACCAAGGAAATGTTCAGAAAGGTAAGAGAAGTAAAATGGACAAGTACAAGGTTCACAGAGAAATGCAAACTGAACCATTAGTTAGTTTCAAACCCCTTAGTTACAGCTGGCCAATACCAGGTGGTAGCACCACTGAGATCTGCTGGCTGTCAAGTCACCACTAATCAGTCCTTCAGCTAATGTTCATCTGTGTAGACTGCTGCTTTAATCGCCAAGCCTCAATTGTTAAATAAGTATTGGCCATCCATTGGACTCTTGTCTTGTTGGGGCCCATTTGCTTGCATATTGCTCCAAAATTTGGTGTTTGCTTCATGTGCCTGTTTTTACAAGCTTTGCTTGTTATGTGCATGTTGGAAACTATTCGCTTTCCCTGTATTATGTTTCAGATCCTCATTTTTTCCGTACCTGAGTACCTGGAATTTATCACTGTTAAACATCGTGTTATTTTCTGCTGCCCAATTGAAAATTTTGTTAATATCCGCTTGTAGTTTTTCAGTGTTTTCAGCAGAGGTAATTTTCATGCTGATTTTTGTGTCATCTGCAAAGGATGACACGAAGCTGTGACTTGTATTTTTATCTATATCTGATATGAGAATAAGAAACAGCAGTGGTGCAAGAACTGTACCTTGAGGTACAGAGCTTCTAACTGTGCTTGGACTCAATTTTATTTGATTGACTGTTACTCTTTGTGTTCCGTTCAACAGGAATTTGAGTATCCAACGTCATACTTTACCGTTATACCTCTTATGTTTTCATGACAAAAAGCTGCTTAGCAGCTTTCCTTCACTGTTGGTAGTTCCCTGGAAATTATCTACATACAGGTTATTGCTAATTTCAGTCTTATTTGGGCTACTAGACTTCTTCAAATGTGTATCTAAGGTTGCTTGAAGCAGAAACGGTGAAGAAGCAGCAGCAGCTTTCTGGTTGGGCTTCATTGACTCCCTGGTCCCTTCCCCTTTCTAAGTGATTACTGGTCTTAGGGCTCCAGTTTGATAAGTATTGTCATAGGAGTTGGCAGCTTCCGGTAGTGCTACCACCTACCTAGTTACCAGATGTAACTAGGTCCGAACTGACTACTGGTTAGATTGTTTGTTGGTTCAGTTTTCATGTATCTGTAAACATTACAATTGTTGTTTTGTTTATTTTCCAGATCTTTCCTTGGTGAGGGTAATCATAATAAACCCCTGCTATGTGCACTTCTTTGAGTGGACCAGGTTATGGTTCTGGTCTGCGGCAAGTTCTTAACCACCGTACTGCGCCGAGTTTATTGTGAAATTCCCCCTGTGCGCATGAAATAAAGTGTTCCCCCAATTTTCTTTTCTTTGTAAAATGATTAATTCCCTTCCCTGAACATGTCTGTGGAAAAATAAATACCCAATTCCACTTACTTTGGCTGTGGGGACGTGGACAAGGTGCGCTGTGACGTCATCAGGGCCTGGTCGCCCGTGCATGAATCTCCCAGACACAGTCGCGCAGGCCATTCAAGCACCGGGTGTTGCCACAAATATATTTTCAATTATTTGTTCTATGCATTTCCAATGCGGTTTTATTTGTTTTTTTTATCGTATATGATGCATATTTGTGTCCTTTACAATATGTATACAGTAGAACGTTCAAAATGTTCCATGGAACTGTGATACATGTGTCAGTAATGTGTCCACAATAAATGTTTATTGTTACAATATTACTTGTTAAAAATTCACTAAAATTACAATATGTACAGTTTCGCACACTATTTACACAGTAACACACTGTATTACACACTCATTACTTCGGAAGTGAGTAATAATCAATGAAGTACTCCATGGCACACAGTGCGATTTCGCTCCCGTTGCACCAGGTACAGATAAATTTTTGCTTCCTGTTTCTTCATTCTGTGTGCTTGCAAATAATGCACTCATGTACACCCTTGACTTTAGTACTTGTAGGTTGTATGTAGCCAAGCTTGTAAAGCATAAGGTAGTATTGAAAAGATTACAAGATCAATTTGTAATGTAGTCTTGAAAAGATCGCTTTGTATGGTCCCACACAGGAAGAGATTCAGCTTGCCTCAGAGTGTCCGTCAGTCAGGAAGAGATTCAGGTATTCTTGAAAATATCTATGGAAAACACCACCATGGAAACCACTAACACTGTTCATCTATGCTACTTGTATCAGATGCATCATCACTGAACGCAGAAAATGATTCATCTATGTATCATCTAAATAAATTGGAGATAGCATAGGATTGCAAGGGTGACGCTAGAGCTATAACTGGATACACTCGCTGTATCATCCTCATAGGTGCTGTATCACTTGCGTCCGACCTTTGTGTTCGCCTATCTTCACCAATATTGTGACCCTTATGTTCTTCAAACAATAAAGTTTGAATTTCACCGACAGAGCGTCATCTTTCAACACTGCATCGGACAGGTGTTTGGAAGCCAGAGGCGCGTGCACCACCCATGGTTGCTCACTCAGAACTAACCCAGCCAGCAGCCCTAGGGCATTCTGGGAATTTTTTCCAAGACCGCTGTCTCTCACTGGAGGTCCTAAGAGTCCATTTTGTACACAACCAACCTCACACACATTTAGAATGGGTACAGAAAAATCAAAATGAGTTTTCTTGGTTGGCGCAGTTTCCCGCCGACCAAGAATACGTTGTTGGCGCAGTTAAGTGGTTAAAAGACTTCTGGGACTGATGTGATATGGAGCTATCTCAGAGCAGATACAGGAAGTCACTGAGGCCCAACCAGAAAGAAACATTTCTGTACATTCAACTCTGGGTTTCTATAAGTAAAGCTTAAATTTATAAAGATTGAAACTGAAATCTACTATCTTTTCAGAGTGATATCCATGGCAATGGGCTTGTGTGCTGCCAATTCCTCGGGTCATCTTAGTAATCATGCAGATGTTGCACCCAATCATGCTGGTATAACATTTGCTATATCAAATACAATTGTAAGTTTTATTGTATATAGAGTGTGTATAATTAAATTTAGTTACAAAAGTGTAATTGCAGGATAAGGGCTATGCTTAAAAGGTCTTTATCTTCCCTTTAATCACTGTCTGATATTTTGAAGCTTTCAATTGTTTTAACATTCACTACCCACATTTCATTTATTCCATCTGTCATAGCACACATCCTGGCTGTTTCCTAGAAAACGCACAATCCCTGCCTCACCGCCAGCACACACACAACTTCCCTGTCTCACCCCCCAGTGCGCACACACAATTTCCCTGTCTCAACCACCCAGCACACACACAATTTCCCTGTCTCAACCACCCAGCACACACACAACTTCCCTGTCTCAACCACCCAGCACACACACAACTTCCCTGTCTCACCCCCCAGCACACACACAACTTCCCTGTCTCACTCCCCAGCACACACAACTTCCCCGTCTCATCCCCCAGCACACACACAACTTCCTCATCTCGCATCCCAGCACACACACAACTTCCCCGTCTCACCCCCCAGCGCACAACTTCCCCATCTCACATCCCAGCACACACACAACTTCCCTGTCTCACATCCCAGCGCACACACAACTTCTCTGTCTCATCCCCCAGCACACACACACACACAACTTTCCCATCTCACATCCCTGCGCACACACAACTTCCCCGTCTCATCCCCCAGCACACACACAACTTCCCCATCTCACATCCCAGCGCGCACACAACTTTCCTGTCTCAACAACAGGGAAGTTATTGACAAAAGTAGTTGTCCTTGGTACAACCAAGACCATGTGTTAAAGATAGTGTTTGCAAACGAGAACACAAAGGAGATGATTCTAACAAGGAAGAACCAACTGCACCATGTGGGAAAATTAAAAAAAGTATTCCTCCGGAGGGACATGACAAGGGAGGAGAGAGCCATGGCGGCAGAAGCAAGGAAGAAGTGCAGGGCGAGAGGAAAAAACCAGGAAATCACAGCCCCAACACATCCCCAGAGATGAGGGTGGGGGGGGGGGGGGGTGACTGGCCCACAGCCAGTCACCCAGTAACACCAGAGGGGAGGGCAACCCCACCACCCTCCTCTGCATAGAAAACCCTCCCTACCCCAAACCCTCCCTGCCCCTACTCAAATGCTCAGCCAAATCTCCCACACCCCATTCCCACCCTTCTACCCCTCCCCTCCTCTTGCCATGTTCCCCCTTCCCTTTCATCCCATACCCTTCCCTTCCCCACTTCACTTGACCCCCCGCCCTTCACCCCAGTATCCTCTGAGACCCTGTTATCCACCTCACAAATCCTCCCACCCACGGAACAGCTTCCCCCACCAGCGGAACACTCACCAAGGAAGCAATTTGAGAAGGGACAGAAAAAAGTGAGCATCAAGGCAATGTACACTAACATAAATGGAATTACAAATAAAGCAAATGGAAAAGAAGAAAACCCAGATATATTATATCTGGGTTTTCTAGAAGAAAACCCAGATATAATAGCACTCACAGAAATAAAGCTAACTAAAACCATAACAAAGGCAGTGTTCCCACAGGACTATTATGTTATGAGGAAAGAGAGAAGGAAGAGGCAGTGGTGCTGTAGCTCTGCTGGTAAGAAAAGGCTGGGATTTTGAGGAGATGGTTATTCAGGGCTGCAAAGGTTTCAGTGACTACATAACAGGTACCATAACAACTGGAGGACAAAAAATTATAGTCATATATAATCCACAACCAAATGATAGAAGACCCAGACAGGAATATGATAGAAACATGGCCACCATTAACATAATAGAGAGAGCAGCTTCAGTTGCTAGCAGGAATGGATCTGGACTACTAATCATGTGAGACTTCAACCACGGAAGGATAGATTGGGAGAAGAGAGATCTGCATGGAGGACCAGAAACAGAGAGAGCTAAGTTGCTGGACGTGGCAACAAGACACTTTCTAAGCCAGCACATCAAGGATCCCACAAGAATGAGAGGAGAAGATGAACCAGCCATGCTCAATCTGATATTTACCCTAAATGAATGGGATATAAGAGAAGTTAAGATGGAAGCACCCTTGGGAATGAGTGATCACAGTGTATTGAACTTTGAGTACCGGGTAGAGCTAGGAATTCTCCCTCAAAAAAGAACTAGGAAACAAAAGGCTGGCATACTGAAAGGGGAACTATGAGGAGATGAGAAGTTTCCTAAGAGAAATACTTTGGGACACAGACCTCAGAGCTAAGTCTATACAAGATATGATGGACTATGTCACCCAAAAGTGTCAGGAGGCAGTAAACAGGTTCATCCCGGCCCAAAGGGGAAAATCCGAGAAGCAAAAGAAGAATCCATGGTATAATAGGGCATGTATGGAAGCAAAGGGACTGAACAAAAGGGCGTGGAGGAACTTCCGGAATAACAGAACACCAGAAAGCAGAGATATACCAGAGAACCAGGAATGAGTGAGTTAGGGTGAGAAGAGAAGCCGAGAAAAATTATGAAAATGATATAGCAAACAAAGCCAAGACTGAACCAAAGCTACTCCACAGTCACATTAGGAGGAAAACAATAGTGAAAGAACAGGTAATGAAACTTAGAACAGGTGAGGACAGGTATACAGAGGTATACAAAGTTCTTCACAAAGAGGTGTGTGAAGAATTCAACAAGAGGTTCTAGGAGGTCTTTACAATAGAACAAGGTGAGGTCACTGTGCTAGGATAAAGGGAAGTAAACCAGGCGGCCTTGGAAGGGTTTGAAATTACGAGAGAGGTCAAGAGACACCTGCTGGATCTGTCGGTCCTATCTTGTTTCTGATATATGTAAATGATCTCCCGGAGGGTATAGATTCATTTCTCTCAATGTTTGCTGACGATGCCAAAATTATGAGAAGGATTAAGACAGGAGGACTGCTTGAGGCTTCAAGAAGACCTAGACAAACTGAAGGAATGGTCGAACAAATGGTTGTTAGAGTTTAACCCAAGCAAATGCAATGTAATGAAGATAGGTGTAGGGAGCAGGAGGCCAGATACTAGGTATCATCTGGGAGATGAAATTCTTCAAGAGTCAGAGAGAAAAAGATTTGGGGGTTGACATCACGCCAGACCTGTCCCCTGCAACCCATATCAAGAGAATAACATCAGCGGCATATGCCAGGCTGGCCAACATAAGAATGGCATTCAGAGACTTGTGTAAGGAATCATTCAGAACTTTGTATACCACATATGTCAGGCCAATCCTGGAGTATGCAGCCCCAGCATGAAGTCCATAACTAGTCAAGGATAAGACTAAACTGGAAAAGTTTCAAAGGTTTGCCACCAGACTAGTACCCGAGCTGAGAGGTATGAGCTACGAGGAGAGACTACAGGAATTAAACCTCACTTCGCTGGAAGACAGAAGAGTTGGGGGGGACATGATCACCACATTCAAGATTCTCAAGGGAATTGATAGGGTAGATAAAGACAGGCTATTAACACAAAGGGCAAATGCACTAGGGGACACAGGTGGAAACAGTGCCCCCAAATGAGCCACAGAGATATTAGAAAGAACTTTTTTAGTGTCAGAGTGGTTGACAAATGGAATGCATTAGGCAGTGATGTGGTGGAGGCTGACTCCATACACAGTTTCAAGTGTAGATATGATAGAGCCCAATAGGCTCAGGAACCTGTACACCTTGTTGTTGGAAAACAACACCTGAAAACACCTGAAAAAACCTGTTGGAAGGTGAAGCTGGAGGAGGCAGAAGTCACACTGCAGCAAGCTCCTGGAAATATCGAATTACCTAAGTATTGGGAACAGGTTGAGGGCTACAGTGGTGTCCCGGGTTGCATAAAGGTTCAGGGAAGAGTAAAAGCAAATAAAATACAATAAACAAGTAAAACTGAGTGAAAATAGCCGAGTGGAAAAGTTTGTTTTGGTCTAGAACAAAATCAAAGATGGCCGCCGCCACCACCCCCACTGAGAAGGTAGACACACCATCAGATGATGGTTTCAAAGGATTCTCAACACAAGATATAAGGAAAGGAGGTGTTCTTGGCAGGTTAGAGATAATTGAGGACATGCAAAAGAAGTATGAAGAAAAAGTGCTTAAATTAGAAGAGGACAATGGAGCTCTTTGGAGTGAGCTTTGCACTCTAAAAGGGAGTATGCTTCAACAAGGTAAGATTATTACTGCATTAACAGACAAGGTAACAAATCAGGAGGAGCAAATCAAGGAACTAGTGAAAGAAAATGAGGCATGGAAAGTGAAGTGTGGTGACTTTGAAGAAATAAACAAGAAGATAGACTCATATGGTGAACAACTCCAAGCAAGCCTAAGGGCTAACATAGAGTTAGGTAAGGATCTCCAACTGGAAACTTCACTGACAACTCACATAGAGGAGGTGAATAAAGAACTAGAAAAGTATAAAGAAGAAATAAAAGCGACATATGCTGAAGTTGTAAAAGAGAAAGAGACTATCAAAGAAGTGTGTTCGGAAGTCAAAACCAGAAATGACCAACAAGAAGCAGAAATTAGGCAAGCAATTAGGAAAGAACTGGTTACCAACAGTAAACTGGTACAAAACACTGCAGATAGAACTAAGTCCATAATCATTTTTGGATGTTTAGAGAAGGAAATTTCATCTAGGGTGGACCGAGCGGCAGAAGAGATGAAAATCATAGAGAAAATAGTAGGTTTAGGAGAAGGCTCAAAGGAAAATGTCAGTGATTTTAGAAGAATAGGAAAATATGAGAAAGAAAAGAACCGCCCCTTAAGGGTGACCTTTAATGGAGTGAAAAACATGATGGAAGTGCTAAGAAATGCCAGGAAACTGCAGAGTGATGAGGTTGGCAAATCTTGGTCAATAAGACAAGACCTCTCCAAGGAAGACAGAGAAAAGCTGAAAATGAACTTAATTGAGGCAAAACGGCTAAATGGGGATAGAAATGAAGACAGAAATTCTTTTTTTTACAAAGTGACAGGGACTGGAAAGCTTGTGAAATGGTACATAAAAACAAAGCAACAAGATCAGTAGTGGAAGGGGGAGTAAAGAGCAAAGGAAAAGGAACATGTTCCTGAAAATTGTATATACCAACATAGATGGAGTGAGGTCAAAAACTTTGGAGTTGCAAGATATAATCCAGCTTAGGGTCCCAGATATTGTTGCATTATCAGAAACGAAACTTGAAGGAAATATAATAAATGAAGTCATATTCCCAAGAGGCTACTCAGTTTGGAGACGTGACAGGAAAACTAGGAAGGGAGGAGGAGTGGCTGTACTGGTGAAAAAACACCTGAAGGTAAAAGAGTTAATATTTGAAAACCCTCGAGATATTGACATAATGGCATTGCAGGTCTGGAATCAGGATGATAACCTGATAATTGTAAATGCCTACAGCCCACCAGCAAGCAACACGTGGACAAAGGAAGAACTGGATGACAAACGAGAGGGCCTCATAATGGTCATGAGAGATATTATTGTACAAGCAGATAAAGATAAATCACGACTGTTGATACTGGGGGACTTCAACTTTAGAGCAATAGACTGGGAGGCCTATGAAGCAAGAACGGAGGACTTTTGGACATGCAGATTTGTGAACCTCATTCTGGAGACATTCTTGTATCAACACATAAAGCAAGCCACAAGAATGAGGGAAGGAGATATACCGTCAGTACTGGATCTAGTATTCACCAGGAAAGAAGAAGAGATTTTTGACATCCAGTACCTTCCTCCCTTGGGAAAGAGTGATCACGTCCTGTTAGACATTAAATATGCTTTAAGATATCATCTAGAAGAAAATGGGGACATTGAAACAGTTGATAAACTCGATTTAAAGAGAGGCAACTATGGGGAACTTCGAAATTTTTTTAATGAGTGTAATTGGACAGAATTGTTGCTAGGCAGGGAAGTAAATGAAATGTATGCCAAATTTTTAAAACTATACGAGGAAGGCACACAAACATTCATACCAAAACAGAGATGCAGGACCAGAAAACAGGATTGGTTCGACAGAAATTGTGAGAGGGCAAGAGACCAAAAGACACAAAAATGGAATCAGTATAGGAAGAGGCCAAACCCCCAAACATACCAGCGATACAAAGATGCGAGAAACAATTATACAGCAGTAAGGAGAGAGGCAGAAAGAAATTTTGAAAAAGGGATAGCAGATAAATGTAAAACAGAACCGGGCCTATTCTACAAATTCATAAACAACAAATTGCAGGTAAAGGATAATATCCAGAGGTTGAAAATGGGAAACAGATTCACGGAAAATGAAAAGGAAATGTGTGAAACATTAAATGAAAAGTTCCAAAGTGTGTTTGTACAAAATGAAATCTTCAGAGAACCAGACACAATAAGAATTCCAGAGAACAACATAGAGCGGATAGAGGTGTCTAGAGATGAAGTGGAAAATATGCTAAAGGAGCTCGGGAGGAACAAAGCAGCTGGCCCAGATGGCGTTTCACCATGGGTTCTGAGAGAATGTGCATCTGAGCTCAGCATTCCACTTCACCTGATCTTTCAGGCATCCCTGTGTACAGGAATCGTAGCAGACGTGTGGAAACAGGCTAACATAGTTCCAATCTACAAAAGTGGCAGCAGGGAAGACCCCCTCAATTATAGACCTGTATCATTGACAAGTGTAATAGTGAAAGTATTGGAAAAGCTAATCAAAACTAAATGGGTAGAACACCTGGAGAGAAATGATATAATATCAGACAGACAGTATGGTTTTCGATCAGGAAGATCCTGTGTATCGAATTTACTCAGTTTCTATGATCGGGCCACAGAGATATTACAGGAAAGAGATGGCTGGGTTGACTGCATCTATCTGGACCTAAAAAAGGCTTTTGACAGAGTTCCACATAAGAGGTTGTTCTGGAAACTGGAAAATATTGGAGGGGTGACAGGTAAGCTTCTATCATGGATGAAAAATTTTCTGACTGATAGAAAAATGAGGGCAGTAATCAGAGGCAATGTATCGGAATGGAGAAATGTCACAAGTGGAGTACCACAGGGTTCAGTTCTTACACCAGTGATGTTTATTGTGTACATAAATGATCTACCAGTTGGTATACAGAATTATATGAACATGTTTGCTGATGATGCTAAGATAATAGGAAGGATAAGAAATTTAGATGATTGTCATGCCCTTCAAGAAGACCTGGACAAAATAAGTATATGGAGCACCACTTGGCAAATGGAATTTAATGTTAATAAATGTCATGTTATGGAATGTGGAATAGGAGAACATAGACCCCACACAACCTATATATTATGTGAGAAATCTTTAAAGAATTCTGATAAAGAAAGAGATCTAGGAGTGGTTCTAGATAGAAAACTATCACCTGAGGACCACATAAAGAATATTGTGCAAGGAGCCTATGCAATGCTTTCTAACTTCAGAATTGCATTTAAATACATGGATGGCGATATACTAAAGAAATTGTTCATGACTTTTGTTAGGCCAAAGCTAGAATATGCAGCTGTTGTGTGGTGCCCATATCTTAAGAAGCACATCAACAAACTGGAAAAGGTGCAAAGACATGCTACTAAGTGGCTCCCAGAACTGAAGGGCAAGAGCTACGAGGAGAGGTTAGAAGCATTAAATATGCCAAAACTAGAAGACAGAAGAAAAAGAGGTGATATGATCACTACGTACAAAATAGTAACAGGAATTGATAAAATCGACAGGGAAGACTTCCTGAGACCTGGAACTTCAAGAACAAGAGGTCATAGATTTAAACTAGCTAAACACAGATGCCGAAGAAATATAAGAAAATTCACCTTCGCAAATAGAGTGGTAGACGGTTGGAACAAGTTAAGTGAGAAGGTGGTGGAGGCCAAGACCGTCTGTAGTTTCAAAGCGTTATATGACAAAGAGTGCTGGGAAGACGGGACACCACGAGCGTAGCTCTCATCCTGTAACTACACTTAGGTAATTACCTGTTGATTGACGGTTGAGAGGCGGGACCAAAAAGCCAGAGCTCAACCCCCGCAAACACAATTAGGTGAGTACCCCTCCAGCGCGCACACAACTTCCCTGTCTCACTCCCCCAGCACACACACACAACTTCCCCGTCTCATCCCCCAGCACACACAATTTCCCCGTCTCACATCCCAGCACACACACAACTTCCCCATCTCACCCCCTCAGCACACACACAACTTCCTTGTCCCTTTCCCCCCCCCCCCCTGCATGCACACAACTTCCCTGTCTCCCTCCCTGGCATACACACAACTTCCCTGTCTCCCTCCCTGGCATACACACAACTTCCCCATCTCACCCTCCCTCCCAGCTCCCAGCACACACAACTTCCCTGTCTCATAGCCTTCCTGGTTTGGTGCCTTCTATTGATAATTACTTGGACACACTTTTAGATATAGATTGCTCCAATTGTGGTTAAAATGATTTATATTAGGGTAAAGAAAATTAGGAAGAATTGGGGTGACTGGGAAGCATCGAGTTGAACACTGACCTTGAACAATTTTTTTGGGGGGGTCTTAATTTACTAATTTTAAGTTTACACCAATTCAACTTGACCTACTAAGTAACAACAGCATGTGTCCTGTTTAGATACTTATTTGTGTACTAAAATGCATGACTTAGAATGGATAATTCATTGCAGGCGACGATTCCTGGCATTCTGTGTGGTCCATTAACAGCAGAGCTGGTGGTGGCATCACATGGGCGTTGGTTTCCAGTCTTCTTTCTGGCAGGGACCATCAACTTTACTGCTTCAATGATATATCATACTCAGAGTTCTGCAAAACCTGTTCTATGACACAGGAAGAATATAATATGAGAGATTTGTATACAGATTTTAATGGTTGACACAAACTTGACAATAGATTATTGACCTTAGTGCATAGTTTTGTGTTTAACATTTTTGGAAGACCTGTGGTTAATCCGATATACTGTATACTGCAGTAGATACATACAACTTGAAATACAGAAGAATACTTCTGTACATACATACTGTTAATGTTCTTCCATATCTATAGTATATACCTGTACAGTAAATTATCTTGATATATTTTTAGTAATGAACACTTTTCTATCAAGGAAGGTAACTCCTGTTGTATAAATAAATATGGAGCTGCAGCCCTTGGAGGCTGAGCTTGATAACCTGTTGATCAAACCATGACAAGAGGTAGCCAATACAATATAATTACTAGGTGAATCTCTAAATTGTTGATTTATGAAAGCAAAGGGAAACTTGTAGGCCACAGTTGCCCTTTAGCAGGACTAATTTCCTGCAAATGTACATTAATAAGAATAATGGATGAGTTTTTTTTTTAACAGTTTTATCTTTTATCTTTAATGCATTCTTTATCTCGGTCCAATATTTATTTTCTGTCTTATGATAGTTAATGTATTGATAATACTAAAGGCTATATTTACTACAATGCATTCTATTTTTCCCCATGTATAAACACAGCATATTTACTTTTTATATTTAATACAGTGTGACTGCAATTGTCCAGACCAATTGGTACCTTGAGGTTAAAAAAAAAATGATTCTTTGGAAACTGTGTATTTCTGTATTAAAAAAGATATATACTACACTACAGTGTAGTACTCTAGTACATGTAACATACCATACTTAGTGCTACACTACACTTGCTAATTGTATTGGATTAATTCTACATATTAAGTGTAGTGTGATACACTAAGTGTATTACACTACACTTAGTGTAGTATAAAAACCCATACTTATGTACTGTATTTGTGAAATTCATATAAAGATTTATACCAAGTCCTTCACTCTCTTCTGAGTGCTTTGTCACAGTCCGAGTATGTGGTTAGGACTAGACTTACATCTCAACACCTAATCGATTGGTCATTGAAATGCAAGTCTCGTCCTAAACCCCATACTCAGACCTTGATAAAGTACTCGGGAGAGTGCGAAAGACTTGGTGTAATTCTTTACGTAACTTTCACAAATACATAAGTGTGGGTTTTTATATTGTGTTATATCTGTGAGAAGACATTACCATTACTTAGTGTAGTCTTCCACACTTAAGTGTAGTGTACTATACTAGTAAGTATACTACACTTATTTTAATTTTAAATATACACTACACACAGTGTGGTGCATTTAACTAATATAGTGTTGTACACTGCACTACTAGATGTTCACAAGGTGTACTGTACTACTAGTGTACTTTTATTGAATATCCTAAACACCAAGGTGTTCAGAATATTCAAACGAACTAAAATGTAACTCAGGATGCCAATACAAGACTAGTAATATCAGAGGCATCAGATTCACCAGTTTAGTGAGGGACAAGTGACTCGGAGGGAAATTGGAAAGCAAGACTTATGATCTTCTAAAAATGAGGATATTCTACGAGGTGCACCACCATACGCAGTATGACAAGAAGCATGGCATTGTCCCATCAAGTAACCATGAATGAAACATTTATGGCTAATACGTAGCCTAGCCACAACTGTTTCTGATCACCCGCTATGGTCAAAAGAGGAAAGCAAAGGGCACAAGTTATGTTCAGGTGTATGTGGTTCGTTGTTGTTGTTCGGCCACTGACATGCCAATGGTCACAGACATAAGTATAAGTGACTGGGTAGAAATCCATTTATGGGAGATTAGCTGGGGTTTGACCCAGGCAGTGCCTGGGTCAAACCCTGTGCCCAAGCCTCTCTTCATACACCCTTGCAGGTGACCCCACCACACACCCCCTCCCAGTCTCCCCCCCCCACACTAAGCAGGTATCTGCTCCCTATCTTCAACAAACCCTCCCCATATTCCCCCACACACCTGTCCCAACTCCCCTCCTCCCCCAACCATGTAGTGTACTTAACTAGTAAGTGTAACTATACTACACTACTAATGTACTTCTTTTGAATATCCTAAATACCAAGGTGTTTAATATCCTTGGAATATTTACATCGTAGAATATCCTTGAAATATTTATATCATAGAATATCCTTGGAACATCCTGAACACTGAGTAAGTAATTATCAAAAGAAGGCACCAAACCAGGAAGACTATGTAGCACCACCAAATGTGCGGAATAATCAGAGGGCGCTAAATATCACAAAGGATGCCAATACGAGAATAGAAGCGCCTAAGGCAAACGATATCAAAAGTATCCGATTCACCAAGGATTCTATCTAGGGACAATTGACCGAGAGGGACCGTCGGAAAGCAAGACACACGTCCTGGAAAGCAAGACATTCAACAAGAATGTGCACGACTGTAAGAGGAACAATGCAAATTTGGACAATAATGAGCAGGGCGGCACTCCATTAAGTAATTGTGAGTTAAACGTGTATAGCTAATACGTAACTTAGCTAGAGCCGATTCCCACCGCTGGTTACAGTGGTAGGAGGAAGGCCACAGGGACACACAACCCTTAAGAGTACACAGTTTGTTACCAATAACAGAAGACCAAGAACCCTGCCAACGGGCAAGGATGGAGGAATGAATAACTGGGTAAAAGTCGGAATACCTTTACAGGAGATGGGACAAGTGCGGATAGCTTCCTTAGTGGCAGCATCCGCACGCTCATTTAAAGAGACGCTAACATGGCTGGGAACCCAGCAAAACTCTGCTGACTTAAATTTACTGGAGATAAAGGATTCAGCCAATGTTGAATCTCAATGTCCACCGGATGGATCAGATTAAAGGACCCCAAAACCATGAGGGCACTACGAGAGTCAACTACCACCACAAAGGAGGATTGACAACGAGAAAGCAGGAGACACAGAGCATAGAGAATAGCAAAGTTCTGCTATGAAGATGCAAGCCTCCGGAGGGAGGCGACTCATATAAGTATGGTCAGGAAAAACAGAGTAGCCCACACCATCAGCAGATTTAGACCCATCGATGAAGATGGAAACGGAGTGGGAGTGTGAAGAAAAGTGCTCAAGAAAAAGGCGTTTCAGGACCGTAGGAGGGGTAAAACCTTTAGTGATGCAGGTTAGGGAAGTACAAAATTTGGGAAGGGGGACCCTCCACGGGGGCAAGGATGGAACAATACGAGGAGAAACATTGGTAAGACGAACTGAAAGAAAATCTTGTAACCGAGACAAACTGACATAAAGAGAAAGGTGGTGAAGAGGAACAGGGGGGTTTTTTAGGGGTTATTTTTTCTCGACTTCATTTCAACACATATTGACCTACAACTTTCACATATTCGAGTCCAAATGCCAAACAATGTTAATTAAAACATAGAATTAACCCTTAAACTACGCAACGCGCCTGCAGTTCGTCGTCTGGTTTGCGCAACGCGCCTCCGGGTATTTGTATTTTTCACGCTCCATTCAAAACTCCCGTGGCTACATGGGGGTTCACATCAGCTTCCTTAAGGCTCTTGTAAACAGATGCCATCTTTAAAAAAAAATTGTGGGCCACATTTCCGGGTGTGAGAGCCTCGGTACTGAGTGAGCAACAAAGGCTGGTGCTTGCAGCATGAGCTCAAGGCACTGCTGTTCAGCTTGTGAACACAGCATTGCCTAATAATGTCAAAATATATATATATAACTAGTATTATTTAGCCATGATAGTATTACAGAAGAGCCTGAGTGTGATAATGACTGTGTACAATGTTCAAATATCAGTGATTCAATGCTGTTCACGATGTTCACAGCTCTAGCCACAGCACCACAGCATTATTTCGTCCATCTAGGAATCTTCAAACGACTTCCTAGGTTCCTTTTCAAAATAAACTTGTGGTCAATTATTCATTTACAGGAGTTAGTGACCAGTATTGTGATAACAGCAGGATTGTGGTGATAATGAGCACTGTGCGTAGTATTGTGGGAGGAGGAATTGTGGTGAGGGAGAGAATCGAGGTAGCCTCACTGTGTGTGTGTGGCAGCCACTCTTCTTTTGCTCATCATACTAGCTTAGTGGTTCGCTATGGTGAACACATTTGTACATGGGTATATACAATGTGTGTATATAGTGTAATAACAGCAACAGGAGTATGTTGGGAGGAACTATTTTGATGAGGGAGGTGACGTAATCGTAGCGTTGTCTGCTGGCTGCTGTGTGATTTCTAATGCAGTGTATAGTGGCCACTGTAAAGTTTGGACACAACATCGGCTTACTTGCATAGTTCTGGTGAATAAAACATGCAGATAGGTATACATAACATGTGTAAATAGTGTAATAAAAACTAACAGTATGGTGGGAGGAGCAATGTTGGCGAGTTAGAAGTTAGAGGAGTGAGGGAAACACTGGATGTTGGAGGAGAGAGGGTGTGGCAGCTGACACTCGTGGAGTTCTGAGTGTGTTGATGGTGAATGTATATAGTGTGTGATAGTGTGTAGTGTGTAAACAGATTGTATATATACATAAATTAGCATGATGCAAGGGGAAATATGTGCATCATATGTGTACATATGTGTCATGCACGTAACACAGTGTCTTCGGACAGTACGGATGTTCTACTGCCATAATATAGTGTACGTGTTCATTATACATAGGACTGGCATGAAAAAACAAATAAAATGTATTTTGAACTGTGCTCAAAAATGAACAAAAATATATTCGCGCAACGCGCGCATCCTGCCCCCAGGCGTCCTACCAGCCCCGGAGGCGTATGCCACAGGCAACCAGGGAATGGTGACATAACGCGCAAACTTATGGACCCCATAGCAGTTAAAGTACGTACAATTTCGACCTTCTGTTACTACACCCATACTCAGGGAAGGGTTTTTGACAAAAAAAAAAAAAAACAAAAAAAAAAAAAATTCCAGAGAATTTATTTCCTGCGCACTAGAGGGGGGTCATATTTGGAAGCCAAGCAGTTGAGGGGTTAAATTAACAAATTAAAACTACTTTTATTTATTGTTGATAACTTGAACTTCAATTACCTCTGAAACTAGAGTTTCAACTTTGAGTGGCTTCAAAAATTCCAGTTTTTGACCGATTCTCACTATTTTGACATATTGTCTGCTCAGCTCTCTGTTCTGCAATCCCTTCAGAATGAATTTTCATAAACTTTATACATTTGGAGTTATAAATTTTTTTGGTCTAAATTTTCTGCATATTTCAAATGCCTTATTGATATTTTTTACAGTAAACTATACTGAAAACCTATATTCTAATTTGATGAAAATGAAGATCATATGCTATTCTGAGAGAATAATAACATTAAATGAATAATTGGTGATAGTTCATATTTTTTTATTCTGAATTGAAAATCTGAAGTTTTCAATATTCAATTTTAAAATTAATTTTGATTCTCTTGTTTTTCAAGTTACATTGTGATCATTTAGACAAAGTTGGAGCATTTGCCTAGTTGATTATGCCAAAAAATGGAAAGTGTTTGTGCAAGTTTTAAAAACTTATGTTAAATTATTTTCTAAGGTCTAAGCGCGGTCTAAGTGTTAAACTAATGAAACAAAGCTGCCGGAGAAATATAAGAAAATTCACCGTTTTAAACAAAGTGGTAGAAGATTGGAACAAGTTAGGTGAGAAGGTGGTGGAGGCCAAAACCGTCAGTAATTTCAAAGCGTTATATGACAAAGAGTGCTGGGGAGACGGGACACCACGAGTGTAGCTCTCATCCTGTAACTACACTTAGGTAATTACTGACTTTATAAAAGAGGGGTGTGGAGGTCAATTTCCTAATGTATTATCTATTCATTCAACATGTCCAAAATATCATCCTTTATTCTACTAAATCTTTTGATTTACAGATGCATGCACGCATGCCACATCATTTTACGACATTTTCATTCCTTGCTTTATCTATTATTCTAATGTCACACATACTTCCCAGATTACCCCTTATACATACCACTAATGATATTTTTTATGTTCATACCACACCATGATACATCTGTCCATCAGGGTACGCCCTCTGGCTGCATCTTTTCGTATAGGAAGTGATGCAGCCAGAGGTAATAGCGTATGCCTTGCTGCATTTGGGAAATAGTTGGATGGGTGGCCATAACCAAAATTATAAACAGACTAAGCTACAGCACTTTCAAATATTAAATGCTTTTGAAGAAGCACTTAGAACAATGTCTAAAAAATTCTACAGAATTGGTTTGGTTTTGAAGTCAAAAGAAGTCACCACTTTCTTGCACTAAAGTGTGAATATGTGCAAATGATTTACCTTTGAAAGCACTATACATCAACTTATAATAAAATGGAAAGTGACTAGGCAAAGATAAATGAAAAAGCAGCAAATGCTGAATAATGGTAAATTTAAAAAATGTAAATCACAAAGTGCTACTTTACTTCACTGTGGCCTAAGCAAAAGCAGCATCAATGGAAGGAAAGGTTCTTCTTTATGTTTATTTGAACACTCAAGCTTGCCTGGCATTCATTTTCACTGAATTACACAGTTATGCTGTTTTAAAAATTCACATCCAGTATATCACAATTTACTTAATATATTTATCCTATCTTTACCTGTGTTTATCTACAAAGAAAGCTCTGTCCACTGGGTTTTCTCAATAAAACATTTAAAGCACAAAATAATATGATAGTCATACTAACGTGTTGTGTTGAAAGTGTCTGATATTCATAATTTTAATCGTAAAACATATTTGGAGTAAAAATAGATGAATATTTCACGTCTAAACGTATTAATCTAAGAAGTCTTGCTGATGTTAAGCCGGAGCTTCACATTAATGTCATCAGTTTCAGAGTTTATAATTGTATTTATTTAACTTAAAATAAGATGTATATAAATTATAATGATTTAGCCAGGAACTTTGTGTTTTTTTTGTTTCCCTTTAAAAATTCTCTTAAAAAACCTAGAAGAAGACTGTAGATTGGATGTGGATTCCTCAGGTAATAGCAAGGCGGCAGAGCTGCTAGTGCTCATGGGACTCGTGCAACAAGTTTCAGGTACATCAGGTAATCTTTGGAAAATGCCTGTGTAGTCACTAGATTCCCCTGAAGCTGCTGATGCGTTAAGGTGTAGAACAGGTCCAGCAGGCGTTTCTCGTATACGTATATCAGCATTCCATGGGTAGCCATTGGTACTACGTAAAGACTTCTGACTATCTGTTTCTATATGACTATCTTCATTTTCAGAGAAAGATGTTTTGCCAGTCTGCAGAAAAAAACACTTTGAATGTAATGAAATGCCATTTTCTGGACGAGCCCCGGAGGCTTCCTGAAGCTATCCGAACTGATATGTGCTACATTAGTTTGGGGTCATCAGTCACAGGAGTTGTTATGCCTACCGGGAACCACGAGCCTGAACCTGGCCCCCCTCAGGGAGGTGCAGGGAGCAATGGCCTAAGAGCACTTTACATTTAAAGGTTCCCGAATCTTTAACAGAAAACCGTCTGGTTGACCTGTGCAATCTACATCCCAAAAGATAAAAATAACTCCCCTAGAAGGAAACCAAACAAGCAATGCTTCATGTGACTAGCAATAGAGCTACCCCTCTTCCCCTTCCCCCCCCCCCTCTGTAAGGGGAAGGGGCAGCTGTAAGCCCACTACTCCTGTTTTTGAATGATGAAAAACCGCCAACTGGAGGGAGGGTCCCAGGGAAAATGGTATTTCACGACCTTCCCTAGGTGCTCTGTGAGTACTGCCCTTGCAAGTCAGGATTATCTTCCCTGGGGCATTCTGGAATCACTCCCAGTTTGAGGACTTCATAGCGCTACCCCTTACCAGCACTAATGAGCAGAAGTGCTCGAAGGGTTGCTTGTTTGATTTCTTTCTAGGGGGTTATTTTAATCTTTTGGGATCAGGTTAACAGGTTAATCAGACAGTTGTCTGTTTTGATATGCCTACCTTTCTGGGTCCTTTCCTCGAGCGATGGCAATTATGACATACTTTAACCCTTAAATCGCACAAAACATACATATACGATTTGACATAACTAGTTTTTCGAACTTGCACAAACACTTTCCAATTTTTTGTGCATAATCAGCTAAGCAAATGCTCCAACTTTGTCTAAATGATCACAACTTAACTTGAAAAATAAGAAAACAAAAATAATTTTAAAATTTAATAATGAAAACTTCAGATTTTCAAATCAGGTTAAAAAATATGAACTATCACCAATAGTTCATTTAGTGTTATTATGCTCTCAGAATAGCATATGATTTTCATTTTCATCAAATTAGAATATAGGTTTTCAGTATAGTTTACTGTATAAAAAATCGTCAATATGGCATTTGAAATATGCGGCAAATTTAGACAAAAATAAATTTAACTCCAAACATATAGGGTTAATGAAAAATCCATTCTGAAGGGATTATAGAACAGACAGCTGAGCACACAATATGTCAAAATAACGAGAATCGGTCAGAAACTGGAATTTTAGAAGCCACTCAAAAGTTGAAACTCTAGTTTCAGAGATAATTGAAGTTGAAGTTCTCGACAATGAATAGAGGTAGTTCTAATTTATTAAGTTAACCCCACAAGCTGCACTGGGCTATTTTGCCTTTGTCACCCACAGATGCATAAAAAAATGAAAAAAAAAAAAAAATATATATTTTGTCTTATAAACCTGTTAATTTGTGTTCCCTGATCACGGGAAATATAATAAAAAATCATAAGTGGCATATTTTGGCTACAATAGGGCGGGGAAGTCTGGCAAAATGTAGGCGTTGACAGAGCAAACTTTGGAGACAGTCTGCTTTGCCTGAGCAGTCAGGCAGGAGTTGCTACAAAAATATTATTATCTAATTATTTCAATGACTGATTTTTTCTTAGTTTTTTGCAGTAATATTATTCAATAGTATGTAATGTGATATATTTATATAATAAAATGTGTGAATCATTGCTGTACTCAAAATTATGGTGTGCATATTATTGATTCAATTATGTTCATAAAACAATAAACAAATACTTAGCCGGTTATTACACTATATACACAGGTTATATATAGGTATCTGTATGTTTTGTTCACCATAACAAACCATTAAGTTGATATAGTGAGTCAAAAAGCAACAAGGAGTGGCCACCACATCTGCCAGCCAGCCTCTCGCTGCCACTACCTCTCTCAAAAACACCTCACTTGCCAACATCCTCCTCCCACCATACTGTTTTTGCCTTTATTCACTATATGCAGACATTATATATATAAGTATCTACATGTTCTGTTCACCATAACTGTTCATCTAAGCTGGTATAATGCACAAAGAGCATAGTGGCCACCCTTACACATCATGACAAGTCAGGAAGATGATGCCACCTTCCTCACCAAAATGGCTTCTCCCAACACTCCTTTTGCTGTTATTACAATATATAAATATAAATATATATATGTCGTACCTAGTAACCAGAACGCACTTGTCAGCCTACTATGCAAGGCCCGATTTGCCTAATAAGCCAAGTTTTCACGAATTAATTGTTTTTCGACTACCTAACCTAAGTTTTTCGGCTACCTAACCTAACCTAACCTATAAAGATAGGTTAGGTTAGGTTAGGTTAGGTAGGGTTCCTGTTCGCGGGTTCGGGTCTCCCAGGTCGTCCGCAGGGTTATCAAGTCCAGCCAGCCTGCAGTCTATCCCCATGCCCATGACGTCCATAAGTTCGTGGCTCTGGCTGCCATCTTTGGGAATATGTCTTGGCGGTCGAACAGGATCCTGGCTGCGTGTTACCTTGTGAATGTCCCTGGGCCCCGTCGGGGCTGTGTTGCTTTGGGTTGGCAGTTGCAGCCAGTTGTCTCGACTTCGAGTTGGGAGTGAGCAACGACCGCCTCCCGGGTAAGTCCCTCTTTTTCCGTCTGTGGGTAGTTAGCTCTGGGAAGCCGATGGGGCTTCCCCCCAGAAAACCAGCGTTGAATGTAATGAAACGCCATTTTCTGGGCGAGTCCCGGAGGCTCCCCGGCATCCCTCCCTCCCTCCCTCCAGTCAGCGTTTTTTTCGTGTTTTTGACATCCAGTCTCAGAACTGAGGTGTGGGTAGCAGGCGTGAAGGGTCTGGGGCTCCCCCTTCCCCTTCCCGGGGAAGGGGGAGCTGTGCAGATAGCGGCGCGGCGACGTATGACGTCACACTAGTTTGCTTGTTTTCTGTTGGGGGAGTTCTATCCACTAGTATGGCTTCTGGTAGCAATTTTAACCAGAATAGGGGTTTGTTTTGAGGCGCTTACCTTTCTGGGTGCCTGTTCCAGTCGATGGCAGACATGGAATGCTTCCAACCACACGGGGGGTTTCTATAGGCCATTGCTCCCCTTGCCTCTCTGAGGGGGCCAGGTTCTGGCCGTGGTCCCCGGTAGGCCCTAGAACTCCATACACATGACTGATGCCAAAGTCTGACATTAGCATATCAGCCTGGTAAAGCTCGGGGGAGCTGACGGGGTTCTCCCCAGAAAATGCAGTATTCAGAAAATTAACTTATGCTCATATTATTACTGAAATATCTTATGAAAAGTAAATATTTTCATACCAAAATAAAGTAATACTGTAATTTAATTGGCCACAATGTTATTTACATGCTTAGAATGACCTGCCAATATTCATATACACTAAAAGAGATAGTAGGAAAAAATGGAAATTTCCATAGATTTCAATATAGAATATACCTCACTAGAATCCTCTAATGAAGTTGAAGCAGTTCTCATCTTCCCTTTAACATCTGATCTCCATAAAAACTTAGAGAAAAAACTTGGTGATTGTGAAGGGGAGGGAGTTGTAATGTTCAATGAGCTGGCAGACACCTGGGATGACGTAGATGAGCCAGACACCTCGCGTATCCTTGCTCGTGGTTCACTATTTGTAATGAAAGATTAGAACATTAGTTTATGTTTTACTTGTATAAGAAGCAGGCAAAGTTTAATATATAAGTGCAAGTAATGAACTCTCAGCATATTCATGAGTTCATGCACACAAAACCACTGCTCTCCCCCGACATCCACACACAAGAAATTTCTAATCCAGCATGTCTACCTACAAAAGGATGAAAAAATTCCTGATAGGAATGCCATGGCAAAAAGAATTTTAAGAGCAAAGACCATACAAGACATAATGGGCTAAATTACCCTGAAGTTCCAGGAGGCAGAAGACAAGTTTAGTCTGGTTCAAAAGGAAAAATATTCAATACAAAGGAGGAATCATAGTTTAATCAGGGATGTAAGGAAACAAAGCAATTGAGTAATAGGGCATGGAGAAACTACAGGCATAACAAAACACCAGTGGGCCAGAAATGACTATACAAGTGCAAGGAGAGAACTGGAGACAATTTGAAAATGACATAGCAAACAAAGCAAAGATCCAACCCAAGCTACTTCACAGCAGCATCAGGAGGAAAACAATAGTGAAGGAACCATTGGTGAAATTGAGAACAGAGGAGGATATGCTCACAGAATAACAGAGGTGTTTGAAGAACGCAAGATATTCCAGGAGCTTCACAGAGGAACAAGAAGTGCCTGAAATGAGGGAGGCAGTGTTAAATCAAACAACACTGGAGGAATTTGAGCTTACCAAAGATAAGGTAAGGAAACATCTGCTGAAACCAGACACAACAAAGGCTGTTGGACCAGACCAAATACCACCATGGACACTAAGAGAGCAGAAGCATCATGCTTGTTACTTTCTATGGTGTATATATTATGTCACTTGAAATAGAAGACCACCACCAGAAAATTGGAATGCATGTAAACACAAATCCAATCACAAGGCCTAGACCCAAGATTAAGTCCTGTGGCACTGCCAAAGCAGTGGCCTATCTCAGATGCCAGACCACACTGACCAGACTACAGATCACACAGACCACACTAAGAACCTACCAATCACAAAGATGATGATTCTACACGTTTCTTCTTTTCAGTTTCGTAGCATGTAATAATTTTAGTGGTGGACTGATTTTTACTTCCCCTCCCCAATTGAAGTGCCAAGATTGTTTTAAAAAATATGGACTACTATGGGTAATTCACAGAGCATGACGGGACAGGCATAGTCCTGTCTGTGAGAGACCAAGGTCCTGCTCACAAAATCCCTGAAGCATTCACTTTTTAAAACTACAGCTACCCTTTACGAATATTTTACACTCACAAAAATTTTTCAATGTTCATTTAGCTTAAAGATGAATAAGAACAACTAAGCAAGGAATGAAACTAAGCATTTATAAAATAATGCATACTGTATTGATGAATACAATTAAATGATTTAATTCAATCTGGTTAACTCATGTAAATTTACAATTACATTGTGGACTTAGCCTTAGGAATTATCTAGGATAAAGAAGCATAATTTAGAACAATGACACAAACTATACCTGGATGAAATCTGCGGCTGGTAAATTAAAGAATCACGTAATTTTTCCCAATAATTCCAATATCCTTTGGCACGATAGTAGTCAAGAGAGTGGCAAAAATTTATTATAGCAGGCTTAGTACAGGGTTTGTGGAGACATGGAATGACAATGCGTCGGCGCTGATCTGAAAAATTATTAAGGTAAAATTATTTTATGTAATGCTTACTAGTTAACACTTAATAAATAGCTTCAATGATCATACGGCAAGAGAAAGACTGACCTTATACAGTATTGGCAAGGCAGTTAAAACCTTATTTAAACACACCACAAGAAGACTTTTTGCTTTACTGCCAATTTCCATTACACCAACTAAATTTCATATTATAAATGTTTCAAATTACAATGGAACCTCAGCTGACAACTACTCTAGAGCACAAATGTTTTGGTATACGATGTCAAATTCATCGTAAAATTGTAATTGGTGTACAACAGTTTACTTGGAAGACAAAGTCTGTTTGTACGTCTATGGGTTGAACCAGCGCATGGTGCTGGGGGCACAGGGCGAAGCACACTCAGTTTGTTTACAAGTCTATCCTGCATAGTGACAACCGTGGCCGCACTTGAATTCTTTGTGAAGAATTTCATTGTTCTCCTGGTTTTTTTTTTTTGTTTTTGTTTTTTAACATAAACGTTCTTATTATATATCACACCATGGGTCCCAAGAAAGTCAGTGGTAAAGTTCAACCTGAGAAAATAGTTGTGAGGATGACGATATAGGAAAAACATGAAAATGGTACGAGGGTTGTGTACAGTAGTGGATGTCCCTTGCTCATTTATTAAGATAAGTGTGCAGTATGGGAAGAATTGCAAAGTTTTGCTGAAAAGTGTCACCCAAATCAAGCTGTAGCAGGCCATTGTGTTAACCTTTTTAATGACAATATGATGTCTTACTTCAGACAAGTGTTACAATGTAGGGAAAAATAAAGTGTCGCTAAGACAGGTTTTTTAGTGAGGAAAAACAAGCAGTGAGCTACAAGCAGGTCCTAGTGGTATGCAGGCAAAACATAGGAGAGAGAGTACCCCAGAAATGTCATCACTGCCTGATGTTATAATGGAAGGGGGGACTCCCCTTCTAAACACTAGCACCTCTCCCCCTTCCCCTCCTCCATACATTTACAACAGTCTTCATTCAAGGCAAGATATACGTACTGAATTGTAGCTAGTACAAAATGAGTGTTATTCAGTATAAAATATATTTTTAAGTTAATATTTTTGGGGTGTGGAATGGATTAATTCAATTTACACTATTTCTTAGGGGAAAATTTGTTGTGGTTGACAAATTTTTGGTTGACGATGTGTCTCTGGGAACGGATACCACTGCATTGTAGTTAAAAAAAAAAAAAAAAGCTGAATGTAATGAAACGCCATTTTCTGGGTGAGTCCCAGGAGCTCCCCGGAACTATCCAGGTTGAATGGATATGTATAACTTTCTGGCATCAGTCAATGTGCTTGGAGTTCTTGCCTACTGGGGACCACGAGCCAGAACCTGGCCCCCTCAGAGAGGCACGAGGAGAAATGGCCTATAGAAACCCCCATGTGGTTGGGAGCATTCTATGTCTGCCATTGACCAAGACAGGCACCCAGAAAGGTAGGCACCCCAAAACAAACCCCTGTTCTGGTGAAACTGGTGAAAGCGACCAACACCCCCAAGTCCAGGTCCCTATAAACAAAGCGGGGCAGCCTCGGGGCATCCGAGGAAGCAACTAACCTAGTACGCTGCAACAACCTAAATCCACGTGAGCCGCCTGCACCCGAATAATATCATCATCAGATTGGGTGAACTGAGTCACAAACAAGCAATAAAGCTCGCAGGACTCTGGGTCGAATGTGCCACCGACCCAACAGGCAGCTTGACGGAGGCTAAAACAATAAGCGTCGCCCCGAGATAAGGGGACAGAGCAACCCTCAAACTCGCAAAAAGTGAGAGGGGACTCAGGGGTTACATCCATCAGACCCCGAGCGCCCCGTGGGGTTTCCCAGGGCCACTAGACTGGATCTGCTAAGGGTTTACCCAGGCAGGGTAATGCTAACCGGTGCCCAAGCTACCAATCAACACTGCTAATGCTGAACCCCTGGAACGTGTCTACTCACGAGGGTGAAGCAATGGGTACCACCAACTCTAATATAAAGGGGGAAGGAACACCAAGGCAGATCCACCCCCACCAGGCAAAAACAAAAAGAAAAGAAAAACCTCACAGGAGGACAGCATACCCAGAGGGAACAGAGCCGGCCGCTGTTATAGGTGAAAACTAGCTATGCAGTACCCTGCGCCCCTACCAGTGCAAAAACTACCACTTAACCCAAGGCAAACTAGGGAGAAAACCCCCCCTAAACATTCGGGGCGGTCAATTGCCAAGCAGCAAAAGACCAACAGAGGTAGACCCAAGGTAACTTGTGGAAGATAACCCCAAGCCCCTAGGGCGGTACTGTACTTACAGGGCACTCAGGAAAGATGACCCTAAGCACATGCAGCCCAAGTACCTGTGAAGATTACTCCCAGCTTGCACACTACCTAAGAGAAGTAGTGAACCCAGGCACAGCACAAAGAGAATCTGGAGCTGGAACCACAATGACCAAGCCGAATCTCATCAGCCGAGGAACTGCAGGGTGGATCGCAGGCGTAGGGGTCTGGGGGCACCCCCTTCCCCCACCTGGGGAGGGGGGAGCTGCGCAGACATGCAGCGCGGCTCGTGTGACGTCATGCTTGTTTACTCGTTTTCAATTGGGGAGTTCTGTCCACTCGTTTGTCTATTTACATTGTTTTTAACCAGAATAGGGGTTTGTTTTGTGGCGCTTACCTTTCTGGGTGCCTGTCCTGATCGATGGCAGATAAAGAATGCTCCAAAATCACATGTGTATTCTATGGGCCATTGCTCCTCGTGCCTCTCTGAGGGAGGGCCCAGGTTCTGGCTCATGGTTCCCGGTAGGCCTAGAACTCCACCCACATCGACTGATGCCAAAAGTTATTACTATCCCTATCAGCTTGGATAACTCCGGGAAGCCGTAGGGGCTTCCCCCAGAAAATAAATGCATGAGGAAATTTTATGGTATCCATTCAAGATACCTAATTGTAAAACTCTACAAGGGAAACTTACCTACACTGAGAGCATGAGCAAATAATATGAAGAAATTGTTGGCACTCGATGCTAAAAACTCGGGTGACAAGACGACAATAACTCTAGTGCATCGCTCAATTATAAGTCTCACAATGCTGTCCGACTCAAATTGTAGACCCCCTACTAAGTCTCTATCTTTTAGGCAAAGCTGAAATAAAATAATGTTTTAATATTAAATGTGGTACAGTATATTAGTACAGTATAGTTCATTTTGTGGTACAATATATTAGTACAGTATAGTACATTTTGTGGTACAGTATATTAGTACAGTATAGTACATGTTGTGGTACAGTATAGTACATGTTATGGTACAGTATACTAGTATAGTACATGTTGTGGTACAGTATATTAGTACAGTATAGTACATTTTGTGGTACAGTATATTAGTACAGTATAGTCCATTTTGTGGTACAATATATACAAATGAAATCAACAGGCTGAATTTTTTTATACCAGTATAACATTCATTATTCTTAATGTTGCTTTGTTTTTCCAAGAGTTTGAGGACTTTAAAAGCAGGGAACATGAAGCATCGAATATAATGAACCGCTCAAGTGTAATGAACTGCACTATAATAAAATTGTAAAATACATATTATATTATATATACTGTATATTTTTATTTCCCGGTAATTTGTTTTATAAATCAACAACCCTATTCCAAAATCAGAATTTACCCCAAGTGTTTTATTTAACAAAACTTATTTCACCTATATCCATTGTTTTACATTCTATTTTCTGTTGATTATGTTCACTTCACCTTTACGAAGAATGAAAATTAAGCCTTCTTAATCTCTATTCATATGGAAAGCTTCAAATTCTTGGCCGTAATTTTGCCTTCCTCCTCCTCCCCCTCCTGTACACAATCAAGTGAATTTCTTTACATTCTATAATTTGGTGACCAAAACTGAACTGCACAAATTTAATAAATAGGATCTAACACGTACATGATACAACTGGATAAAAGCATTTTATCTTATTGCTGACTCTTCTAGGTATGAATTTCAGTATACTATTTACCTTTTATTTTGTGTACACTGTACTGTACCGAATATACAGTACATTGATATTTTGGCTCAAGAAACCTGCTAATCACGACTTCTAGAACTTTCTCAGATTCAGTTATGATAATTTCAACTTTGTTCAGCTGATATCTAACATTATTATTTTGCTTTTAATATCGACAAATGCAAGACCATGCATGTGGGGCATAACAACCCACACCATGACTACCAATAGTCATGCTGTAATGTAATCTGCTGTAATGTAATAGCATTACATTACAGCAGATTGATGAAGAAAAGGACCATGGAGTCGAAATCCATCACTCATTAAAAGTTGCACAACAGGTGGGTGCAGCAGTCAGAAAAGTTAACCAAGCTCTTGGGATAATCAAGCGTACTTTTGACTATAAGGAAAAGACGGTAATGGTTCAACTATATAAATCTCTGGTGCATAAATTTGGATTACTGTATCTAAGCATGGAGGCCTCATTTCCAGAAAGACATAGCTGCTCTGGAGAAAGTGCAACACCAAGCACCATAAGTCATTCCAGAGGTAAGTCATCTCCCATATCAGGAATGCTTGAAGACAACAGGGCTAACAACAATGCAAACCAGGCACGACAGGGTGGATCTCATTGAAACTTTTAAAATACTGAACAAGTTAAAGGATGTTTATCCAGATACTTTGTTCAGAAGGTCAAATGTAACACAAACAAGGAGCAACAGTTTCAAGCTCAACAAGCCACAATGTAGGACTGAGAACAGGAGATGCTTTTTCACCCACAGGGTTATTATCCCATGGAATTCCCTACCCGCCGAAGCCTTAACTGCCAAAACTGTGATGAGTTTTACAATATACCTAGAAAAGATCAAGGCAAATGGGGGGGGACCTTCGACAAGTTACCAGCTTCCTGTCCTCGTCGAAGTCACTAGGGTTAGTGGCCCTCGAGTAAAATCAGATAATTATTATAATTATCATAATGTTCAATATTAGGCCTATATCTAGGCTTAAAATCCTACATTTATCTGCATTAACTCTTCCACTGCATAAACATATATGTATACTGTATATGATTTTGGCCCCACTGACTGCACTGTGCAAGTCCTCTACAGATGACCACATCATCATCATAATAATAATAATAATAATAATAATAAAAATTTTATTTACAAGGTACAGTACATATACAGGTATTGTTATATTTACAAACCTCCGTGTTATATTTACAGGGGTTTCGATATCACGCATAAAGAAGTTGTCAGGATCTTCCACTTTCATGCTGTTTATTGGAGAGTTAAACATGTCCTCATACTACTTTTTTAGGATTTCACTAATTTCTTTGTCATCCTCAGTGTATGAACTTTCACTCATATGAATAGGTCCAATACTGGCAGTGATTTTTGCGTGTGATTTAGCATATGTGAAAAAATATTTTGGGTTTTTCTTTATTTCTTGAATTACTTTCTGTTCTAGTTGCCTTTCTTCAATCTGATACGAATGCTTCAGTCTCTGCTCAACTTCTTTAATCTCACTGATTAAATTATTCCTTCTTTGTATGGAAAGATGTGTCTGCTTAAGCATTTCCATTATTTTTTTCCTTCTTTTGTAGTGTTGTCTGTGTTCTCTTTCTACGTTGTACCTCTTTCTAGCTTTCCTCAAAGGAACATGTTTCAGACAGATTTTATATGCTTCAGAAGTCAGTTTTTTCTATTCCTTGTGTAGGATTTGTATTACTTGGAACAATTTCCCATGGAATGTTTGTAAGTTCCATGTTTATTTTCTCCCAGTCAATCTTTTTATTATTAAAAATGAATTTATTGAATAACCCCTCTAGCTTGATCATTGTTTTAGGTCTATTCTGAGTATTGATGGTAGTTTGCACTTCAATGAGCTTGTGATCCGAGTATGTGATATCTAAGATCGTAATGTCCCCGATTATGTTTTCATTGTTTGTGAAGACCAGATCTAAAATATTTTCGTTCCTAGTTGGCTCTGATATCTGCTGATTGAGTGAAAAATTTTCACAAAATCTATGTAGTTCTCTAATCTGTGTGGTTGGTTATGTCCAGATAGATTTCCTGGTATATTAATATTGTTTGCTATTCTCCATTTTAGACTAGGCAGGTTGAAGTCACCTAGGAAAGTAATATCAGGTTTGCCAAATTATCAAGGTTATTCTCTATTTTGTTCATCTGTTCTGTGAATCCCTCAGCCGTTGCATCTGACAGTTTGTATATTAGAATAAACCGGTGCCTATAGCATCAGCTGAAGAACTGATGGGTGGATAGCCGGCGTGGGAGGTCTGGGGCTTCCCCTTCCCCCTCCCGGGGAGGGGGGAACTGCGCAGACAGCGGCGCAGTGACGTCATACTAGTTTGCTTGTTTTTCTGTTGAGGAGTTCTATCCACTAGTTCGGCTTTAGGTAGCAATTTTCACCAGAATAGGGGTTTGTTTTGGAATGCTTACCTTTCTGGATGCTTGTCCTGGTCGATGGCAGACATAGAATGTTCTTCCAACCACACAGGGGTTTCTATAGGCCATTGCTCCCCTTGCCTCTCTGAGGGGAGCAGGTTCTGGCCGTGGTCCCCGGTAGGCCCTAGAACTCCATACACATGACTGATGCCAAAGTCTGACATTAGCATATCAGCCTGGTAAAGCTCTGGGGAGCTTACAGGGCTCCCCCCAGAAATATTTAGGATTTTTCTTTATCTCTTGTATAGCTTTCTGTTCCTATTCCATTTCCTCAGACTCATATGATCGCTTCAACGTTTGTTCTATTTCTTCGATCTCCCTGCTTAGGCTTATTTTCCTTGCTTGTGATAGTTGTGTCTGCCAAAGCATTTCCGTTATTTTTTTCCTTCTCCTGTACAGTCGTCTGCGTTCTCTTTCTAGAGTGGTCCTCTTTCTGCCCCTCCTCACAGGCACGTGCTTCAAGCAGACCTTGTACGCTCCAGCTGTCAGTTGAGCTATTCCCTGGGTGGGAGTTTTGTCGCTTAAGATCGTCTCCCATTGAATGGTTTTAAGGTCTACATTTATTTTTTCCCAGTTGATCCTCTTATCATTGAAATTGAATTGATTGAATATTCCTTCTCGCTTGTTGGGTCTCTTAGACCTACTACCGTTATTTATGCTAGTTCGCACTTCAATGAACTTATGGTCTGAGTATGAAGTATCTAAGATTGTTATGTCTCTGATTAGTTCATCATTGTTTGTGAATAACAAGTCTAGTGTGTTTTCGTTCCTAGTTGGTTCTGTAATCTGTTGAGTGAGCAAGAATTTGTCACAGAATCTCAAAAGTTCTCTGACCTGTGGTTGGTTTTTTCCCGAGTCATTCCCTGCTATGATATTTGTGTAAACGGCCTAGCAGAGGCAGAACCCAAGGAACTTGGGGAAGGTAACCCCAAGCCCCAAGGGCAGTACTTACAGGGCACCTAGGGAAGGAAACACTAGGCGCATGCAGTCCGAGCACTGGGGAACCACTCCCGGCTCAAGCACCACCTAGAAGACAGTCACCACACTCTAGGTACAGTGCTGAAACAGCCACTGGAGCTGGAGCACAAGACCGTTGCCTATAGCATCAGTCTCAGAACTGAAGGGTGGATAGCCGGGCAGGGGTCTGGGACTCCCCCTTCCCCCTCCCGGGAAGGGGGGGGAGCGGCGCAGACAGCGGTGCGGCAACATGTGATGTCATGCTCGTTTGCCCGTTTCTTTTTGGGGAGTTCTATCCACTTCTTCGGCATTTGGTAGCAATTTTCTAGCAAAAAGAATAGGGGTTTGTTTTGGGATGTTTACATTTCTGGGTGCCTGACCCGGTCGATGGTAGACATAGAATGTGTCCAACCACACGGGGGTTTCTATAGGCCATTACTCCCTTGCCTCTCTAAGGGGCCAGGTTCTGGCTCGTGGTCCCTGGTAGGCCCACAGAACTCCATACACATGACTGATGCCAAAGTCTGACATTACCATATCAGTCTGGATAAGCTCCAGGAAGGTGAAGGGGCTTCCGCCGGAAAGAATGGAAAATTGGAGAACGAGTGGGGAACAAGTCTTGCACGACTCTGGGTCGAAGATGTCACCGACCCAACAAGCAGCATGACGGATGCAAAACAGATGATCGTCACCCTGAGACAAGGGCAATGAACAACCCTCAAACTCACACAAAGCGAGAGAAGTGGAAGACATAGCTATAGTACACCCAGAGCCCCGATGGGGGTTTCCAAGGCTCGCAGGGGAAGGTGTCCCTATGGGAAGCCTAGGCACTGGTGCTGCAAAATCGTTTGGACTTGTTTATTTGATGGGCAAACTGACCCCCAGTGAAGGGAGCAATCTCGGGGGCCAAGTGAAGGACTACTGAAAAGAACCTAAGCATTCCTAATGGGAAGCTAGGCAGCCCTCCACCAGGCTAAATGGAAACTTGAAAAGAAATGAGAAGAAAACCTTGAAAGTGCACCACAACAACAGGAGACCTGAGACAGACACAGCGGTCGCTAATATGCGAGCTGCGCAGCACCATGTGCCTCAACCAGCAACAAACACTTCCTACCCAGGGCCAAACGAAAGCACCAACACCTCTGCTGACCCCAAGGACAAGGTCAATGCCAAGCGACAGCAACCCCTATGAGAGTGAGAACCCGAAAGCCACAGGGAAGATAACCCTGAGACGCAAGGGAAGTACTTACAGGGCGCCCAAGGAAGAGCATGTGCCTCAAAGTACTGTACCGGTTACTGCTGGCCACCGTGCAACACACAGCAGGTACGACCATGCGGGCAAAACCCCTGACAGGAATTTGAGTCCAGAGGAGACATCAGCCCCAGCCGGCTTCAGTCAACAAAGTGGTGAGTGCACGGCTGGCTCGAGTGGGCGCCCCCCCCCCTCCCCCTCCCAGGGGGTGTGAACGAGCAGCACGTAGGTTTGATAATGATTTGCTTGTTGCTTTCATTTTCTTTAGGGTAGTTCTTGGGCTCTGTTCGGTCTTGGGTTGCAATTTTCTACCAGTTGGGGTTTGTTTTGGGATGCCTACCTTTCTGGGTGCCTAACCCCAGTCGATGGCAGACATGAATATACTCTCAAAGAGTCGAGTTTTCATAGGCCTTTGATCTCTAAGGGAACCAGGTTCTGGCTCATGGTTCCTGGTAGGCAGAACTCCATGTGACTGAAAGCCCAGACTAATATAGCTAATATCAGTCCGATAGCTCCAGGGAACCGACGGGGCTCCCAACAGAAAATTTCTTACACCTATTCTCTTATGATTTTTTTTTACTTTGCTAACACACAATATTTATAAAGTGTTAAACCATTACAGAAATGTATTTTTTGATGCATGGCAGACAAATGTTAAAGGGTTAACTTTATCCAGTTACCCACTTTCATGAAGTGGAGAGGCATCCGCCTGGAAAAAATAGGAGTGCAATATTATACTGCATAAGGAAATAAGATTAAAGATTCAGTACTTGTATACATTTTAGTATATAAGAATATAAACTGAAAGATATTAACATTACCTTAAGACCATACTCCCCTTCCAATTTCTCAACCATTTCTTGAACAAAGTCAATGTCCTCATCAGCAAACAAAACAAGAGCAGCATAGTACTGTAATCCCAGTCCCATACTCAAGTTTCTATGGTCATCTGCAACAAATTTTTAACTTGGAGATTCATCCTATAACCACTGGATTTGTCACCCTTGCAGACTTTATAATTTAATAGTTGTGTGTGGAGAAACATAAAGACGAGAGCACAATTTATTTGTATATATATTGCTTGTAAGGGGCTTCAACAAGTTTAAGAGAAGCTGATGGGTGGGGATGGGGTGAGGACAAGTATACCTGTCAATGATTCCAAGGATCAATGTTCCCATGGCCTGGTCGTTGGCCAGGTTGGTGCTCTGATCAATCAGGGTGTTCAACACGGTTGGTCACAGCATGACATATAAGTCACAGCCTGGTTGATCAGGCGAAGGTTGGTAAAGTTAGGTTACCATTTATATTTTGGAGCTCTATTAATTTAAGAGGGATTGCATTTCAGAATTTTCCTCAGTGACTTGAGTTTAGATTTGCCAAAGTTGTTGAAAGGTTGCTCCCCAATCATTGTGTGTAGAAAGCATTGTTGGTGTTGCCAACATGACAATCAAATATATTTTTGTAAATCCTCATATCTAAGTTCCAGTATGTTTCACCTACATAGAGTATACTTTATTACAGTTATTACAGGGTATAGTGTAAATCACTGCGCTGCGACCTCATTAGTTCTGCTTTCCTTACCTTGTGTTTACCTTGCGAATGAATACCCTGCTTCCAATGATGGTATTCATTATTGGGTTAGTGATGTCTTCTTGGGAGAATTAGTCATTACTCTGGCTGTTTTTGGTTTGTGTTACTCTTTATCATCTGTTGCCCACATTCTTATTCCTTAATAAATTACTGTACAAAATATAGGGCAATGAAGGTTTAGGAAGAAATTGGTGATGCACTGGCACTCGCCTTCAAGGAACTGTTAGCTACAACTCCAATAGGCCCGGACAAAGAATCCAATCACTTTGCCCCATTTCATCCTATTATTATGACAAAAGTTAAATCAAGGATGTAATTCTTGCAGAAAGGCACCTTATAAATTTTGAAGCTTAGCATTTCACTATCTTTTATTGTCTACCTAAGAAAATTGTGAAACAAAATGAAACTAAAGTGACCGCTCATTCTCCGACACCAATCGTCACTACTGACACATGTAATACAGACAATGTAGGAGCTGTGTACTAAACACCCACTACAATCTACACCTTGATGAGAAGCAGAACTACGATAACAAGATCACCACTGAAGGGTTTTACACTATACCCTGCAATAATTATGACAACATATATATATATAGAGGCAAATCATTCTTAAACTTTGATGCAAGGATTTATGAATGTACACATATTGCAGCCATGTCAATAACACCATAACACTTGTGTCACACACAAGAATCAAGAGCAACAACTCATGAACTTCAGGGATGCAAAACAGTATCATCAAAGAAAACCTTAGAAGAAAAGGTACAATATCTGCAGCCATTAAAGACAACTTCACTATTACAAAGAAACATGGAAAATTCATTATTGTTATGCCTATGCTAAATTAAAAAAAGAAAATTAATCAATGTCATGTGAGAGTGCACCCCACCTTCACTTGCCTGACCTCACCACTTTCTCTTTTACCTCTTAATAAGCACTACCCACATGTATCTTACATTTTCTAGTTCTTATATGCAAAATATTTTATAAAACAATCTACTCTCATATTGGTGTTTCTCTACAGCATTGCCAACATCTTGTGCTCTCTTCAACCAGCCTATATCATACTTGGATAATACTAGTGCGAGTTGTAATCACAAGTCTTTTTGCCTTCTAATACAGTACTGCAGGTAAGCCGTTACTCCCTAAATTAAATTAATATAAAAATAATCTTATAGACTTTAAATGTAAAATAACATATTATTTTAGTATTGAATAAAACCAGCATTGAATGTAATGAAACACCATTTTCTGGGTGAGTTCCGGAGGCTCCCCGGAGCTATCCATGGCTCATATGGATACGCTAACTATTTTGCATCAGTCGATGTGGGTGGAGTTCTAGCCTACCGGGGACCACAAGCCAGAACCTGGCCCCCCTCAGAGGCATGGGGAGCAATGGCCCATAGAAATGCACATGTGATTTGGAACATTCTTTATCTGCCTTTCTATGGGCCATTGCTCCCCATGCCTCTGTGAGGGGGGGCCAGGTTCTGTCTCGTGGTCCCCAGTAGGCTAGAACTCCACCCACATCGACTGATGCAAAATAGTTAGGGTATCCATATTAGCCATGGATAGCTCTGGGGAGCCATGGATAGCTCCGGGGAGTCATAGGGGCCCCCCCCCCCAGAAAACCAAAGTGTAACATTTAAGCTATCACTCAAATTATGAACCCCAACTTTAAAGCAGCATTGTATAGCAACACCCTAAATGTAACATGTGCTGCTTTTTAGTAAGAGAAAATCCATGAAATAACCTTTCAGAAATCAATATCTTACAGGATAATTTTGTTTATAATACAGTATGTAAGATAGTCTGGGGGTGTGTAAAAATGAAACTTTGAATGTTAGCAAAATGCCCTTCTCTGGGTGGCTGCAACAGCTCCCCAGCCACCCCTAGACACACCCACAAGGCTACCAGGACTCTGCACATACATAGACCTATCAAACACTGAAAAAAAAATCATTGAGTGCATGCTAGGTTTAGGTTGCTGCAACGTACAAGCCGCTTGACCCCCGTGAGGCTAATACCCTACTGGATTGCCAAAAACCTCACGGCAATCCAACAGGGCACTGGCCTCACACTGTTTATTAGATTTCTCTTGGAAATGCTGCACCTGCATCACACTTGGGCATCTAGCATCCAGCTGACAGTCCTAAGCTCTTCTACTGCATCTGTTTCCACAGGTAAGCTTTGATCACATTTTTTCCATTTATTAATTTGTTATTTTTTAGAAATGCTGGCCTCCTATGCTTAGGCACCATTATGAGATGCCAAGGGGCCCTCAAGAAATCTAGTGTTAAATGTAATGAAACCCTTTTTTGGCGAGCCCTCAGATACTCCCCATCCCCCACCCTGCTCTAGTCTTGCTTATGGAGTGAAGGGTTTCGGTTCACTCAGCTCTTAGTAAGAAGGTAGTTTGGATAGAAACTTTCAGGCACATCGCTGTCTATGTGTCACCTGCTTGATACCTGCTTGATGGGGTTCTGGGAGTTGTTCTACTCCCCAAGCCCGGCCCAATGCCAGTCTTTACTTGTGAGAGCACGGTCCAAAAGGCTGTTGCATGGAGCAGCCCGCAGGCCCACACATCCACCACAGCCCGGTTGGTCCGGCACTTCTTGAAGAAAACTATCTAGTTTTTTCTTGAAGATGTCCACAGTTGTTCCGGCAATATTTCTTATATTCACTGGGAGGATGTTGAACAACCGTGGACCTCTGATGTTTATACAGTGTTCTCTGATTGTGCCTATGGCTCCCGTGCTCTTTACTAATATTATTTTGCATTTTCTTCCATGCAAAATGTTATGCTTGCTTCACACTATGTGTTTGTTTGACACTATGTGTCACTAAAACAGTGTCACTGTTTACAGTGATACTTTATTGGACTTGTTTTTTCTGGCTATCTAATTTTCTATAACCAATTGTTTGTTTGTTGAGCTTATGCTTTCTGGTTGACTTTTTCTGTTTTGAGTTGACCCGTGATTCCAAAGCACTCCACTGCCTTGCCCTGTAGAGAGCCAGATTCTGTTTCTGACTCCTGGTATGCAAGGGTGGGTCTCAGAGGCTATCTTGAGGTTATCTTGAGATGATTTCGGGCCTTTTGGTGTCCCTGCGGCCCGGTCCTTGACCAGGCCTCCACCCCCAGGAAGCGACCTGTGACAGCTGACTAACACCCAGGTACCTATTTTACTGCTAGGTAACAGGGGCATAGCATGAAAGAAACTCTGCCCATTGTTTCTCGCCGGCGCCCGGGATCGAACCCGGGACCACAGGATCACAAGTCCAGCGTGCTGTCCGACCGGCTCCAGGCCTGGTGTACCTTCTAAAGGCTTTGCTAGCTTGGGGAACTACTGAGGCTCACTGGAAACATAATTCATTACATTCAATGCTTGATTTTTCTACAATGTCGAGTTATATACATTATGGTATATTATTCTTAATTAAATTAACTAGCCTTTAAGTTATTTAAAACAAAATTAAAGAACAGTCATACTCTTACCAACAGTGAGAATATTTCTATCATAAGTGGACACATCAGTCACCAACTGTTCCAACGGTGGTGGCAAAGCTGCCAGGGCTCCTCCCCCTTGGCTCATGCACTTGTCATAATCTGAATCTGCAAACATTAATGTTTCATCAACTTTTATAATTGAATCACACAGTAAACATAATAAATACATATCATATCATATCCACCTAAAACTCACATCCACCGGTGATGTCTCTAAAATGTGAACCTTCATATAACAGACATGCTATGGCATCCCATGCTTCAAAAGGTTCTTGTTATCCAAACAAAGTCATTGCTGGCGTGAGGGAGACGATGGGGAGGTAGGAAGGAGGAGATGGGTTATGGTGTGGAAGGAGAATCCACCTCTGAGTCAGGCAGGCTCTCTCTCTTCTTGGGAATTTCACCCCACTGGGACCAGGTTATGGTTCACTATCACTGGCTCTTCTTTTCTCTACTTTTGCAAAAGAACGTATCTATTGACAATTGCTTTTGTCTTTATTTTAGGATGTTCCTAAAACGAGACAGCAAATTGTCATTAAACATGTTCACACACCAGGTTGTCACTGCTTTATCAGGGCAGCTTTTACAATAATGCGGTCACCTTTTCAAACATTCCCAACACTTCCCTGATCTCATTGGAATAGGCAGCATCCTCCCTTACCTCCTCATCCCCTTACTAATGGTGCAAATTGTTGATGAGGACCTGCCATACTTTCTTGTGAGATCAGTCACACAGACACCACACTCATGCTTTGCTATAATTTCCTTTTTCAAATCCACAGTAATTGTGTCTTTCTTCCTCTTGACAACATTATCTTTAGCAAGCAGCTTCTTTGGCGACATCGTGCATTATAAATTGTAATTACAAAACCACAAAAAACAAAGAAAAGCGCAAATAAATGCAGAGGGATGCTTGTCATGCGCAATACAACAACAACACTGGCGTCGGAAGCGTCCGAGAATTTGCGAGAACCCGCGAGACGCTAGGAAGCACCATGTGATTTTGCTCGTTAATAGAGGTGAAGCTTGTCAATAGAGACAAATTTGCTGCGAGTGACTCGCTAGTTACTCGAAATGCTTGCAGATAGAGCTGCTCGTTAATCAAGGTGCCCCTAATTCTTTTTGAACACATTTTGTGCACAGTAACACCATGGTCACATTTGTTGAAAGCTTTTGCAAAGTCTGTGTATATTACATCAGTGTTTTGCTTGTCATCCATGACATATAAGGCCATGTCATAGTGATCAAGCAACTGAGAGGTAGGATTCCCTGTTTTGAACTCATGATGTTTGGGGTTATATAGATGTTGTGATTCCATGAATCACTTCTTACTTCATGGCACTCTTTTAAAGACTTTACCTCTTTCTTATGATCTTACTTCTTAGCACCCTTTCAAAGACTAATGTGTGATGTTAGGGCTATTAATCTATAATTTTTGGCATCTACTTTCCTACCTACTTTGTGAGATGGTGTGATCTCCACTGATTTAAGTAGGCTAAGGACAGAGTATCTAGCATCACCAGTATCTAGACTCCATCTTCAAAAGATGTTTAGGGTCTATGATAGTGGAATTTGTACTTCTTGATGAATATAGAATTCAAGGAGTCTGAACCTGGTGCTGAGTGCATGGACATGCTGAGTGCATGGACATGCTGTCTATGGCTACTTCAAAGTCTAATGGGGTAAGGGTGACATCTGATATATGGTTCAATGCTGGTGTCATTCATGAAGAATTCGTTTGGATTATTGAACTTAAATGTGTTCAGGGGTTCACTGAAAACAGAGTCATACTGCAGCCTCAGCATTTCACTCGTTTCTTTGTTGTCATCTGTGAAAGTTCCATAACCTTTGCGGAAGAGTCCAATGCTGGACGTATTTTTCTTCTAAATTTTGCATAGTAGTAGTAGTAGTATTTTGGACTTTCCATTATTTCACTTGTGATCTTTTGCTCACTTTGCCTCTCCTTGATTTTATATGATTCTTGCAGCTTGAGCTCGATCATTTCTATTTCTGTGGGAAGCCCCTTACGGCTCCCTGGAGCTTATCGGGCTAATGTATTAGACCAGGACATTAGCTAAGGAGTTCAGACCTACCAGAGACCAGCGCCAGAACCTGGCCCCTTCAGAGAGGTTTCAGGGAGCAATGGCCCTGGAAAACCACCTTGTGGTTGGGGTTTTCCTTATCTGCCATCAACCGGGGTCAGGCGCCCAGAAAGGTAGGCATAACAAAACAAACCCCACATGGTAAAAAACTAAAACAAAAAAACGAACAGAGAGGTAGAAACTCCCTACAATCCCAAGGAAACGAGCAAACATCACACTTTACTGCCGCGCCGATCGTCCGCGCAGCCCTCCCCGCCCCGAGAGGGGGAGGGGGGAGCCCCGGACCTACCGCGCTGGCTGCCTAGCTTCAGTTCATAAGCTAATGTCAACCGGGATAGACGCTTCTCTGGCCTCAGTTTCCTAGGCAGCGTTTGCCTTGTGTGGCGTTCACTGCCGTGTGTTGTGTTGTGCGGTGGCCAGGAGTACCTCATAAGTGCTGGGGCTGCATGCGCTTAGTGGCTTACGTCCCTAAGCACCCTGTGAGTACTGCCCCTGCGTGACAGGGTTATCTTCCCTGGGGCGTTCGGGAACCATTCCCGTAGAGGTTCTTGCTGCTCGGCATTTGCCTCACCCTTGGGGCCAGCTGGGGCTTGGGGCCCTTGTTTGGCCCTAGGTAGGGACTGGTATTGTGCTGGTTAGGGCGTCAATGTGTTGCGCGACCTGCCACCTAAGTGGCGACCGGTTCCTGTTGCCTTTGGAGACGGTGTACTTTTGCTGGGTTTTTCTTTTGTTTTTTATTTTCTTTTGCCTGATGGGGGTTTGCCTAGTGTGGCTATAGTTCCACTGGTAGTGTTTGGTGGCCCTCCGCTACGCCCCTGTGATTGTACACGTCGCAGGGGTTTTCAGTGTTATACTCTACCCCTTGTTAATTTTGGGTGTTTAACTGGTTAGCAACACCTTGCTCGGGCTTCCCGTAGTTGTTACCCCTATGGGCCCTGGAAACCCCTGTCGGGTCTCGGTGGACCATTGAATGTGTCTTCCGGGTCCCAACCCGTCTTGTACGGGATCGTTGGTTGCTGTGTCCTTGTCTCCAGGTGACAGTCACCACTTTTACCTCCGTCATGCTGCCTGTTGGGTCACTGGCACCTTGACCCAGAGTCTTGCGAGAGAGATTCTCTGCTTGTTCTCCAGTACTCTCCTGATGTTATTACTGTTCAGAGTACAGGCAGCAACAGTGTTGCAAGCTAGGTTAGGTTGCTGCAACACGCTAGGTTGGTTTCCCACTCAGATGCCCCGAGGCCGCCCCATTTTGGTTAGGTGCTGTTCGCCCCTTTCCCTCCCTGTTCCCGGCTCCTGACCATCTGCGGGTTTCAGGGTCGGGGCGGGGTTTAGTTGGGGGCAACACTCAGGCGGTTTTCGGGGGCTGCCCAGTTCGGGTTGGGGAAGGAGGTTTTTGAGCCTGTTCCTCCTGCCAAGGCTTCTGGGTCTTACCAGTGGCCCTTTCTTGCTGCCTTTCCCATGGACTCTTCCTTTTCTTTAAGAACGGAGGGCTTGGAGGACAGCTCTGCCCCGGGGCCTCTGTTGCGGGTTCCCGGGGTTGTGGGGATGCCTGCTAGCACTTCTGCGGTAGTTTGCCCCTGCCTGGATTTTCTGCTTCTGGGCTGAGTTTTTCGCCCATCCAGTCTGCTTGCTTCCCACTTTTGCTGGCATGTTTTCAAACCCATCGATTGCGAGAGAGGAGGAAGGGGTGTCCCCGAAGGAACCAAAACAGACGCCGAAGCCAAACCCGACCCAACGGGTAGACCAGCATGGCGAAGTTCAGACTCCCACACAACTGCTCGAGCAACCGCAGAGTGATCCGGGACCCAGTCAGAAACAGCTGAAGGCGGGACCGCAGCCGCAGCAACGCTTCTGGAGGGAGAGACAAAGAAGTAGACCAAGAGTCCCAAACAAGACCCAGCCAGGGCCGAACTCGGGACGGAACCAGATGGAATGTTCTCCAGTTCACCAGAAACTCGAACCCGGCGAGCCGGAAAGAACAACACCCCTGGCGAGCAGACAAGTGTACCGACTGGGAGCCCACAATAGCCAGTCATCGAGGTAGGCCAGAAACCAAATCTTGAGCAGACGCAGACAGGTCACCCAGATCCCGTAAATATGCGTAAATACACTAAGTGCCAATTACAAACTAGGGAAGGCAACAAAAGCGGCTACCCTGAAGCCCCGCCATCAACTGTGCCAGTCCCGGAACCCTGGAGAGGAACGTGCCAAGAAGTGACCCATAGGTCCAGGGACACCATCCAGACACCCGGCCAAAACAGAAGCCAGACCAGAGACAACAGTCATCCGAAGAGGGGCAAGGAAACCAGGGCGCAGACTAAACAAGTCCAGAAGAACCGCAGATCCGCAAAGTCCCGTGTAGGCATTGGAAAAGGCGGTTACCAAAGAAGGATGGGGCGGATCGACCACGTCCAAACACACCCACACCTAGATGCAATGTCGAAGCACAGGGGAAGAAGCCCCGAACCTCCCCAAAGGGAAAGGAGCTGGCCGACACCACCAGGTGCCGGAAGACAACCCAAAAAACGCCCACTAACTGCGGGACCAAGCGAGAGCCAACAGATCAAGCCACCCCTCCCCCCCCAAGCGCCCTGTAAACAGCGAAGGGATCTGAGCCGTTTCCGAAAGAAAATGTATACATACACAAAATGTATACATTTATACATACACATGAAAATATAAATAAAAAATAATGAAAGGAAAGAAAAAGACAAAACTGGTTGGCAGAGAGCACCGTGCCGGACAGACGAAGAAGGCACCAAGAAAGTACAAGAACTGCACCAAAAGGCCCACCGTGACAAAAAAAAACCAAGGCCCCGGCATAACCACAACACGTGCCACGACCCAAAAAAATCAGCCTACAAGCCAGGAAGACCCCAGAACTCCTGAAGGCAGAACCAGGTCACACACGAGGTAACTAAAAGCCCCCCTGAACCCACAAAGGGGGCCCAAGAGGAAGAAATCTCCGGAATGAAACTAAAGAACCCAAAGGAACCCGGAATCGAATCCGGGGGAGCCCAAACCACCACATTTGCTGACGGAAATACACCCCAGAAAGGAAAAAGCACAGTCCCCAGACAGAACCGTCCCGGTCGATGGCAGACATAGAATGCTCCCAACCACAGGGGGGTTTCTGGAGAACCGGAGAATCCCAGCTACCCGACCCAAGAAAAGGAACCAGTAGGGCAGGAGCGGTTGACCGGAAGTCCACTAACCCCCACAGACAGTGCAACACAGAAGCCTGCAGTGAGATACAAAGAAAAATTGAAGGAACTCGGTACCAAAACTGAAACACTGGGGTAGTCCAAAAGCAGGGAACTGAACATGGACAGAGGCCCACCCCAGCACCTAACGCCAGAATAGCCAATAAGCACCGACCCAGATACACAGCCATGTGTAACAGGAGGAAAAAACGGAAATAGGTTAGGAAAAGTCCCAAATACGGACCAAGTAGCAGCCGGGAACACAATGTACATGACCAATCAAAAATGGTGGAATGGGAGGTTGCACAAACTCACAAACAACATAGTTTGATAATTTTGTTTGGGGAGTTCTGTCAACTCATTCGGCTTTCGGTAGCAATATTTTCACCAGAATAGGGGTTTGTTTTGGGGTGCCTACCTTACTGGGTGCCTGTCCCAGTTGATGGCAGACACAGAATGCTCCCATCCACAGGGGGGTTTCTATAGGCCATTGCTCCTTGTACCTCTATGAGGGGGCCAGGTTCTGGCCCGTGGTCCCTGGTAGACAAGAACTCCAAGCACTTTGACTAATGCCAGAAAGTTATACATATCCATTCAGCCTGGATAGCTCCGGGAAGCCGACGGGGCTCTCCCCAGAAAACCACACGGAGATAGTCTCCCGAACGGCTCCTGGAAGAAAACCCCTAAACCACAAGGGCATTACTTACAGGGCACCTAGGGAAGGTGGCCCTAGGCGCATGCAACACCAATACCCTTGTGTTACTCTTGGTTCGCACACCACAACACAGTAGAACAACACTGCTATGGACAGCACTGCTCAAAAGGATGGAGCCAGAGTTGATTGACTGCCACCAAGCACAACAGCCTTTGAACTGGGGTAGGATATTCGGCACGGGAGGTCTAGGACCCACCCCCTTCCCCCTTCTGGAGAGTGGGGAGCTGCGCAAACAGCAGTGCGGTGGCTGTGGTGACGTCATGCTTGTTTGCTTGTTTACAATTGAGGAGTTTTGCTTGCTAGTTCAGCTTTCGGTTTGCAATTTTTAACCAGCTGTAGTTAGTTTTGGAATTCCTACCTTTCTGGGTGCCTGCCCTGGATGATGGTGGACATAGACTGCTTCAAATTATACGAGGGTGTCTATAGACCATTGCTCCTCGTGCCTCTTTGAGGGGTCCCGGTTCCAGCGCTGGACCAGTAAGCCTAGAACTCCATCGATTGATTGTTGCCATGGTCTAATATACTGTATACATATCAAGCCGGTATAGCTACAAGGAGCCGATGGGGCTCACCACAGAAAAACCTAATGTCACAACCATACATCAAAGTTCTTAAGTATAATTAATTATAAACACAATCAAGTTAAATCACTGATTATGTTAACAACAAGCCTTGATTATCATAAATGTTAAGCTGTTAAAAGTGTTAATTTTAATTTCAACATGTTTCTTAACTATAATAATAGCCTGAAAGTGACTTTTACCGTTTCATCAAAATTTTTCATTTCTATTATGAATCTTGTACAAAACTAAATTGAGCAAGAACTCTCAGTACAGTACTTACAAATCATTTCCAAAGTATCATCAATGACATCAAAGCGATCCATTGATTCAAGGAATGTCCAAAGCTGCATGACTGTACCCCCTTTTTGACCCCATATGTGTAAACAATGCTCAGTTGGGGAAATTTTACCCCAGCAGCTTATACTGCTCACATCAAGACTTGCTTGTTCTGCCAAACCTCTCCAGTCTCTGGAAAATGCAAAACATGAACACTTTTTTTTAATATTTTAGCTAAAGTTATCTTTAACCTTTCATCAGATGACATTGTAGTGAAGTTAACACCCTATATATGTGCAAGTGTATTAACCCTTAAAGAGTGTGTGTCTTAACCCCTGGGATGCTCTTGTGATTATAATCTGTAACACACCCAGGCGCAAGAAATAAAAACAATAAAAACTCAGCGTTGAATGTAATGAAACCCCATTTTCTGGGTAAGACTCGGAGGCTCCCCAGAGCTATCCAGGTTGATTTGGATATACAGTACAGTATTAGACTTTGGCATCAGTCAATATAAATGGAGTTCTAGGCCTACCAGGACCACGAGCCAGAACCCTGGCCCCCTCAGAGAGGCGTGAGGAGCAATAGCCTATAGAAACCCCCTGTGTGGTTGGAAGCATTTTATGTCTGCCATCGACCGGGTTAGGCACCAAGAAAGATAAGTGCCCCAAAACAAACCCTTGTTCTAGTTCAGAAATTGCTACTGAAAGCCGAACTAGTGGACAGAACTCCCCAGACAAAAACAAGTAAACGAGCATGATGTAGTCACATCACCGCGCCACTTGTCTGCGCAGCTTTTCCCCGTCTTCCCCCGCCCGAGAACCCCAGTTCCTCACGGCAGCTATTCACACCCCAATTCTGAGGCTAAATGTCAAAAACACGTGAAATATTGCCGACCAGAGGTTGCCGGGGGAGCCTCCAAGTCTCACCCAGAAAATGGTGTTCAATTACATTCAATGCTGGTTTTCTGGTGCTGAGATGTAAAGGGGTGACTGGTGTAATGTTGCAAAGCATTGATTTTTGTTTTTAGACAAAATTAGAAAAAAAATTGAAAATATTTGAAAAAAGAACAAATGTCAAAAAGGTTTGTTCAGTGACTGTCAGGTAGGCTGCTACATTTTCTAAAAAAAAAAAATAAAAAAAAATAAAAAAAAATTGAAAAAAAAAGTCATAAAGGTTCGTTCAGTGATTGTCAAGTAGGCAGCTCCATTTTTGTATTAAAAAAAAATAAAAAAATTAAAAAAAAAAACAGCGTTGAATGTAATGGAAAAGCCATTTTCTGGGTGAGACCCGGAGGTTTCCCGGAGCTTATCCAGGCTGATATGCTAATGTCAGATTTTGGCATCAGTCATGTGTATGGAGTTCTGTGGGCCTACTGGGGACCACGAGCCAGAACCTGGCCCCCTCACAGAGGCACGAGGAGCAATGGCCTATAGAAACCCCCGTGTGGTTGGAGGCATTCTATGTCTGCCATCGACCGGGGTTAGGCACCCAGAAAGGTAAGCGTCCCAAAACAAACCCCGATTCTGGTGAAAATTGCTACAAAAAGCTGAACAAGTAGATAGAACTCCCCAAACAGAAACGAGCAAACGTGTATGACGTCACGTCGCCGCGCTGCTGTCTGAGCAGCTACCCCCCTTCCCGTTTGGGGGAAGGGGGGAGCCCCAGACCCCCGTGCCGGCCATCCACTTCTCAGTTCTGAGGCTAGACAACAAAAAAACAGCATTGAATGTAATGAAACGCCATTTTCTGGATGAGTCCCGGATGCTCCCCGGAGCTATCCAAGCTGATATGCTAACGTCAGACTTTGGCATCAGTCATGTGTATGGAATTCTGTGGGCCTACCGGGGACCACGATCCAGAACCTGGCCCCCCCTCACAGAGGCATGAGGAGCAATGGCCTATAGAAACCCCCGAGAGGTTGGAAGCATTCTATGTCTGCCATCGACCGGGTTAGGCACCCAGAAAGGTAAGCGTCCCAAAACAAACCCAGGCAGACCTCCAGTGAGAGGCAGCCATCTTGGAAAAAATTCCCAGAATGCCCTAGGGCTGCTGGCTGGGTTAGTACTGAGTGAGCAACCATGGGTAGGGCTCGTGCCTCTGGCTCCCAAACACCTGTCTGACTCGGTGTTGAAAGATCTCGCTCTGTCGGTAAAATTCAGGCCTTATTGTTTGAAGAACATAATGGTCATGATATTGGTGAAGCTAGGCGCAATAAGGACCTAACACAGAGTTCGGATGCAAATGATACAGCACCTATGAGGACGATACAGCGAGTGTATCCAGTTGTAGCCCTGAGTGCCACCCTTGTCCACCTATGTCATCTCCAATTTATATAGATGATACATAGATGAATTGTTTTCTGCGTTCAGTGATGATGCATCTGATACATGGTGGTGTTTTCTATAGATATTTTCAAGAATAGCTGAATCTCTTCCAGAATGCCTGAATCTCTTACATAATGATTGACACTCTTCGAGGTTGGCTGAATCTCTTCCAATGTGGGACCTTACAAAGTGATCATTACAAATTGATCTTTTCCTATAATCTTTTCAATACTACCTTATGCTTTACAAGCTTGGCTACATACCACTTACAAGTACTAAAGCCATGGGTGTACGTGAGTGCATTATTTGCAAGCACACAGAACGAAGAAACAGTAAGCGAAAATCTATCTGTACCTGGTGCAACGAGAGCGAAGTCGCGCTGTGTACCATGGACTACTTCATTGATCACTTCCGAAGTAATGAGTGTGTAATACAATGTGTTACTGTATAGTGTGTGAAACTGTACACATTGTAATTTCAGTGAATTTTTAACAAGTAATATTGCTACAATAAACATTTATTGTGGACACATTACTGACACATGTATCACAGTTTCATAGAACATTATGAACATTCTACTGTATACATACTGTAAAGGACACAAATATGCATCATATACGATAAAAAAACAGATAAAACCGCATTGGAAATAGAACAAATAATTTAAAATATATGTGGCAACTCGCGGGGCTTGAATGGCCGTGCGACCGTGTCTGTGAGCTTCACGTACGGGCGACCAGCCTGTGACAGCACACCTTGTCCACGTCCCCACAGTCAAAGTAAGTAGAATTTGGTATTTATTTTTCCATAGACATGTTCAGGGGAAGGGAATTTATCATTTTACAAAGAAAAAAAAAGTTTTTTGGGAACACTTGATTTCATGTGCACAGGGGGAAATGTCACAATAGAAGCTGTTGTAGCTCCAGCTGTGGGAGCGTCCTCAGTGGCCTCACAGTCCGAAGTTCCACCCACACATTGACTAGGATCATTTATGTTACAGAATGGCTATAAACCATTTCCTTTAGGGGCCTGACAGCTGAGTGGACAGCGCTTCGGATTTGTAGTCCTGAGGTTCCGGGTTCGATCCCCAGTGGAGGCGGAAACAATTAGGCAGAGTTTCTTTCATCATGATGCTCTTGTTCACTTAGCTGTAAATAGGTACCTGAGAGTTAGACAGCTGCTATGGGCTGCTTCCTGGGGAGGGGGGGGGGTGTAACAAAAAGGAGGCCTGGTCGAGGACCGGCCGCGGGGACACTAAGCACCGAAATCATCTCAAGATAACCTCAAGAAGATCTCTTAAGATAACCTAGTAATCTCTCACTGTTTTCTGGGGCCACAACTTCCTGAATTAATTTTTTTTTGAAAGAGTCATGGCCAGGTTGTGGGGATGACCCGCTGGAGTCCTGATGGTCTCCAGGTCCAGCCTCAGGATTGATTGTTTCTTGTCAGTAATTTCAAAGCGTTCTATGACAAAGAGTGCTGAGAAGACGGGACACCACGAGCGTAGCTCTCATCCTGTAACTACACTTAGGTAATTACTTAGGTAATTACAATAAACTCAGCGCATCACAGTGGTTAATCCTAATAAGTCTTAATCCTTAATCCCATTCTTAATAAGAATACAACCCGCCGAATCGTTTAACAACCAGGTACCCATTCACTGCTAGGTGAACAGAGGCTACAGTTAAGGATTGGCCCCAAGTAAATCCTCCCGTCATATCAGGGGAGAATGATATGGCACTATACTGTACTTGAACTATACTATACTTGAATTATACTTGAACTATACTGTATACTATACTTCGTATCAGGCCAGGATACAAACCCAGGCCAAAGAGCTTGCGAAGCACCGCACAAGTGTTTTACCATTACACCACGGGAACTAAAATAATATAATGCTTAGAAATGCTTTTGCACTATGTAATAAAACATTTATATTAAGAGCATTTTCAAAAGCAGGTATTGCAAATACCAGTACTATACTGCATAAATTAATTTGGTTACGAACAAAAATTTTCATATTCATATTCATATGAGACAGCAAACTGGAATACAACAAAAATTTAATACATTGACATACCTGTGTACTCCTCGTGACACCAATAATATCTTCCGAGAATCAAGTCTTGTTGCCAAATGTTGTCGAGTAACAGAACTGAGAATTCTGATAGGAGCATCAGCCACTTCACCTCGAAACACAGACATATTGACTACTGAAATACAACTGAAGTCAACATATTGATTTCACAGAACACAAAAAGATTATAACAAAATAAGGATCATAATACAGTATTTGGATTTAGGTACAGTATTATAAAACATTACTGTGTATAAACAATTAATACATGTTTATAAAATTATACATAATGAATATTGTAAATATCCTGGATCGGGAACCACTTATTTTAATTTTAATTCCTTTCTCTAGTAAAAAAGTAAAGACCATGAAAAGTGTGGATGAATCTTAAAGTTAATTGGTATCAATACCACTATAAAATTAGGATTTTAAAGTGGGCTATTTTCAGCAAACAATATTAAGAATTGTGCTCAAATTATGTTATACTTGAATGGCCACAGAAAAAAATCAATGCTATACTTGCCCGAAACGCTTTGCATAATAGTGTCTTTATAGATGGTATAGCTCCTGTCCCTACAATTGTACATTATTTTTATGTTCTTTGTACACACATTGTTTTCAATAAAAATTGAATTGAATTGAATGTATTAATTCAATGAACTATACTGTAATTGAAGTGCATATTTTTCTTTATAAGTATTATTGCTATTAACCCTTAACCCTTTCGTCCAGGCATGACGCAATGCTACGTCGTCCGTTTACTGGCGGTAGTCTCGGGGACGACGCAATGCTGCGTCGTCCACTAAAATAATCGCCAAAAATCAGGTTTTTATCCTATTTTTGGGGGACTGGTTTTAAAATGTCTATGTCTTCCCATTTTCTTTGTTGCGCCTCATGGCCCACAGGCGGTGCGGCACACGCCGTAGGCCCATTGTTTTCGCTCCACTGTTGTGACCGGTGTCACCTTCCCTCGTGTCTCAAACGTGTGAACATTTCGGCTATTTTCTGTGGCTATATTTCTTACTGCGGCTTTAGAAACTATCTACGATTACTCCACGATGGATAGTGATCATGAACAAGGCCCTTCCAGGCAGAAAATTGCGAAAGAAAGGCATGAAAAGGAGAAGCTAAGTAGTGTGCAGAAGTACAAGCATGCAAGACTAACTCCCTCTAAGTTTCAGGCTGTATTTGACGATTTGTCTGGGTCATCTAGTGAGGAAACTGATGTCGGTAATGATACTGATGCAAGTAGTGAACATTTAGAAACAGAGACGGCCGATGAGGATTTTGGTAGTGATGAAAGTGAGGAGTCTGAGGTTGAGACTGCCACTCGTGCACGGCGCGGTACTGGAGCTCGTGCCAGAGCTAGGTGTACCACACGTACCCCAGTACCAACAGATTCTGATGAAGGGTGGTGTAGTGACAATGCTGCACCCTTTGCAGACAATTTTACAGGTACACCAGGCTTGACTGTTCCTGTACCTACCACTGTTCTTGGTTTTATTCAACTATTTCTGACTCAAAAAGTGTTGAAATATATTGCCTATGAAACTAATTTGTATGCTTCCCAAAGTAAGGCAAGTACTGGGCAAAGGACAAAGCACAGATGGGAACCAGTGACAGTGAAAGAAAAAACAATGTTGTTTGTTGACCAAATTGTATATTTGCTATTTTCCTGCCATGTTCCCCCCTTTTTTATATATTTTTTTTTATTTTCTCAACACAATTTATACTTTAATCTCAATTAGTATTAAGTTTTAGTCTTAGTGTTTTTTCTGCCCGAAACGCTTTGCGTAATAGTGGCTCTAAGCATTGTATGTACAGTACTAGCTCTATCTATAAATCCATCAATGTTTTGTATCTCACCTTGTATGTATGTACTTTACTTGAATAAATATTTAATTTGATTTGATTTGATTTTCAATAAGTAGTTTGAGGCCAACACCCAGCCGGATCCCCAGAAGCCTTGAGCACTGACATTAGCTGTGGACAAAGAATGTCATCAAAACAGCAAACTTTCACACATCATAAGAGCAAGGATATGCAGCCAGCTGGCTAAAACAAACCATCCAACAGAGAACGTGGGAGAGCTGGGACTTGGAACAAGGAATATGAAACAAAGGGGCCAACAAAGCCTCACCCCAAGAAGAATGGATGTAATGCCTCCCCACAGGGTAGAACAGGGCATATGATGCACCCACCATGATAGAAAACTACCAGAAAACACAAGAACCACAAAACAAACTGCTGATAATAATGCAAATAATCCATCTTCATTACCAGTTTTACTTTAGAAAATTATGTGTTTATGTAATTCTAACCAGTTGAGGTTAGTTTTGGGAAATTCTATGGACCACATATAGACCCAATTACCTGATGACAGGAAAAAGTTATATATCTCCAGTAGTCTAACCATGATGGGTGATAAACGTTCAGTGGTAGACTTGAGCCATCAGATAGGCTTAGAAGTGTATAGCCATCCCTGGCCTCCAAACTATGATGTTTTATGTGAAACACTATTGTTCATATTATATCTCTGACCACACACACACACCAAACACAGACCAAAATATTCAACAATTTGTTAACGAAGAAGACTATTGCTGTTAAATAGTGGATGTGATGTAGACTAGTGATATGTGAGGAGAGAGGAGCGAACCCACACCCACCTGTTGCAGCAGCCGCCCGGGGCTTGTCTGGTGTGTCTTATTCGGATACAAGACACTCCGTACATTGACAACATCCACACTAATATTTTTACCACTTCGGACACCAGCTTTCGACGTTTCGCATATGTGTACGTGCTCCATATTAAAACGACAATATAATGCTATTAACAATTAAAATCTTATACTTAACAGGCATATAGTTATTAAATGAAATTTAGTGATGTAATAGACATAATCCGGAGTTGGTAAGGATGCCGCCCGCCAGCGTAAACACAACACACCTGAATGCCCACAAACACGATACAACGCACAAAACACAACACTTATTTATTTATTTATTTATGCATATACAAGAATGTACATAAGGAATGTGAGGATACAAATATGGTAATTACAGTCTTGTAAAGCCACTAGCACGCGCAGCGTTTCGGGCAGGTCCTGTCACTTCTACTGTCTACTTCTGTCAGTTTTTGGATAAACTCCTTTTATATTTATTATATGAGAGTTATACTTGTATAAAATGATAACTATTATAGGTAAGCGCCTAATATTTAATATTAATCAATAAAAAAAGAAGTCAGAAGCCACACGCCTGTCTGTACATGTCTTTTGTGTAAAAGTATTTTGGGCGCTCATGTACTTGTGCGCTAGCTGGCGTTCACAACTGTTCTTGCCTACAAGCATTAGAATTAAACAAACGAATTTATTTTTTCATTTATATACAAGAAGAGAAGGCTACCCTTGAGTCTGTAATATTCATCTGATCACTGGTCTCCCATTTGGTTCTCATAGCTTTATCTTACTATTATTGAATGTCAATAACTGTATTATGCAATTTCAATTTCCTCTATTTCTTTCTTTATTATGCACCCCATACCCATCCCGTGGGCGGTGGTGTAAAGGATTACAGAGGCACATAATCGGTTCAGGAACTGAACCCTCTAGTTCGTTTAGTTAAGCAAATAACAATGTTTGACGCTAGTTACAAAATTATTAATGTTGTATATATAGGATGGTATAGGATGGGTATGGGGTGCATAATAAAGAAAGAAATTGAATTGAATTGGTCTGATTAAGACTTTATGACCATGTAATCTATGTTTTGCTCCACTACTTACTGGTTGAGTATGGGGTGCATAACAAATAATAGCCTCCTTCGGGGGCGCCTTGTTTCTAAACGTGTTAGTCTTGTAGCGAGTAGATTATCCCAATAATATACTCGCTCCAAATGCATTGTTAATATTCCTGTCAACCTTTGGAGATGAATGAGGTGAGGCGTTGCCCGGGCAACACGGTGAGGTGTTGCCCGAGCATATAAGCAGCAGAATAGCAAACATTAACCAGAGTCTACTTTCAAGTGTGGTCTAGAGCAGACACTTGCGAGATACTGTACCGACGCTCAGTGCGCTCAACTCACACCAAAGTATCACCTGTGTACTTCTGTATATTAGACCAAATATATATATAGTATCTTAGTGTCTGTGTTTATTGTCACCATACTTTACATAACAATAGAACCGTTACAGTCTTAAATCCTTTAATCTCAAATCTTGCTACAATGTACCTCTTAATATATGTTATGTACTCTCGCAACCCAATGCACCTTCTTGTATATAAATAAATAGATTTCAACTGTAAGGGGGTATGGTTTGCACCTTGTTATTCTAATAATAGATAAATAATTCTAATAATGGAAGCGCTAATTATATGAACAAGTGCCATGTATTTATTCAGACGAGAACAACAGCGAACACAAACCAGCACATATACGAACGGAATGGTTTGTATGTACAAACTTCTCAGTGAACGAAGTTGTTTCTAGCCCGGTATCCGAAATTGCAGTATACGACTTGACCAGTCCCCGTCTTATTCGAACCCCAGTTGGAAACAGACCCAACTATAGGATGGGTTAACCCAAGTATCGCGCTTCCAAAAGGGTCGCCCAAGTTGGAAAAGACGAACGCTGAAAGAATATTGTTGAAAACATCTTGATAACTGATTAAACCAAAATTATTTATTAGTCAGAAGAAAGACAGAAACGCGATCTATATGTAAAACCTCTACCAGACAAATATTTTAAGTAAAACCGAAGATATTTGTAGTTGTATAAAAGTGGCAGTTTTCATCGCTCGTTGATAAATATTAATGTTTTATATTTTATTAAAAATACAGATATATACTTTGTTTCATACGTTAAATGTAACAATATTTCAGTATATATGCTTCCTAGGAATGTGTGTGCGCGTTTGTAAGAGAAATATATGTAGCAGACATAATAGAGGAAAAATAGATTGGTTAGAAAGGCGGGGTCCAAAAGCTAATAGCTCGATTCAGCAGATACAAATAGTAAATACAAGTTCTCCTCAACCTACTGATGTAGTGTTTCGTTGCTATAATCTACAATTATATCTCCATCATCTTAGTTCTCACTCTAGTCTTGTAGCATATTTTGATCCTCTTTATTTGCTTTCTTCTAAGAATAAGTTCCGTGCTGGAAATGCACATTCTAGCATAAGCTTCACTTAGCTAGATTTATGTACAGTGTTCTACATGCTTCTTATTCAGATTTCTAAAATATCTTATTCAGATTTCTAAAATATCTTATTCAGATTTCTAAAATATCTTATTCAGAATTCTAAAATATCTTATTCAGATTTCTAATATATCTTATCGGAAGTGATCTCCGCCTGTCCTCTCGGAGGACTTCAAGTTTATAATTTTTGTTCATGTATACCGTATATCACATATACTGCCATCATTGGCCAGTGGGTATATATTTCCGGTATCAAACTTCGTTTTAAAGGCTTCATGTATCATTCATCTGTATTCTTCGATGCTTCAAGTGTCATTTCTCTCAGGCTGTGCTGGTGTCGTCTGGTCCATCCTTGTTCTCATCCTCTGTAAACAGGGACAGGTATTATCCTGGGCCGGAACAACATGGGGCCCTAAGACTGGTCTTTGTAAGACCCTGATAGCTACTTCCACTCCGATTACCTGTGTGTGCACTCACCTAGTTGGTGTGTGTGTGTGTGTGTGTGTGTGTGTGTGTGTGTGTGTGTGTGTGTGTGTGTGTGTGTGTGTGTGTGTGTATTCACCTATTTGTTCCTGCAGAACCTATATTTTTAGCTCTTGGACCCCGCCTTTCCAACCGACGGTTGTCCAATGCAATGACTCCTGACCTATTTTTCCCGATCATATCAACTAAGCCAGAAACTAACCATCCCCAAGAGGATGCAACCCTCAACAGTTGCCTATCTACCAAGTACCTACCTATTGCTAGGTGAAACGAGGCATCGGGTGACAGGAAACATTACCTAAACGCTTCTGTTCTACCGCGTGGGGTCGAACCCAAGATTCTCGGTTGTGAAGGTGAAGCAGATAACCTTAAGGGAGTGTGGGAGTGGTAATATCTTCCCCGAATCACCATCACAGACAGAAATATACATCATTTTAGCCCCCTGGTCAAACGCCAAATGATTGGAGAGTAAAAATCTGCTCTTGACATGCAGGATGCTCCTATTGGACGAGCGGAATCTCTGACCAGCCGTAACATATTAACTTACAAATATTTTATGATGAAAAGTCCATTTCTGAGATGATCCAGTGATAGGTTTGACCCATAAAGGGACGCTGAGGATGTTATAATGATGAGATTTATTTGTATTTAGTAGTGTTGCTGTGAAGCCCTCTTAAGTCTAGTGCAGCCTGGGACCTTTTTTTTATTATTTTTAATTCATTAAAGCTACTCACAGACGGTCTTAAGTTGTGAGCAAAAAGAAAATTAATGTTTTTTTATCAGTATATCTTAACCACGAGCGTTAAATAAGATCGCGAGAATTAGATCTCGTTTAGATACATTAGTTTAATCCCTTGTTTATTTTATTTAACGAGAAGGTACATTAGTGTTTGTAAAAATTAAAAAATAATATTAAATTGTACTAGATGGATTCAAATTACAGAGACTCGTGGATTACTGTCATTTAGGAAGATAAGAATTATTATAAGCACTTCAGTATTTACGAGGTCGTCCCTGCCACTTTGTCAGAGGTCGTCCCTGCCACTTTGTCAGAGGTCGTCCCTGCCACTTTGTCAGAGGTCGTCCCTGTCACTTTGTCAGAGGTCGTCCCTGCCACTTTGTCAGAGGTCGTCCCTGTCACTTTGTCAGAGGTCGTCCCTGGCACTTTGTCAGAGGTCGTTCCTGCTACTTTGTTTTTTTCTCGGCTATTTGATCCCGCCTCTCTAACCGTCGCTTGTTAAATGTACTCACTCCATCCACGGTAATGTAATCTCCTGAGAAATAATACTTATCAACTAAGTTGACAAAAAGCGGACAACATTAACACTACTGGCAGCGACCCGGCGCAGGGGACTGTCGGACGTATCCCTCACTGCCTCTTCACGTGAATTTTTTGTTTTTGTTTTATTATTAACACATTAGGTACATGTGCATTTGTGCAGCTGCCCTGGACTATATGAAGGGGAGTACAGTGTGTTAAAAAGCTAGCTACGTGGTGCTAAAAAAATCCCCCATCACACAGGATAGTTAGTTATACAGATGTATGTGATAAGTAGTCTGCACTGCCAAACTCTGAGTGCATTATGAGGATAGCATCAACACAAGAGTGAATACGGTAGCAGTGATAATACTCATGGCAGAACATTGTATAAGTCTACGGTAGTCCAGATGAGGATTTCACTAACTTTTCTCCCGACCATTGCATGATCTCCTGTTCGTAAACTAATATTGATAGCGTTGATATCTTCTTGGGAAGTTATACAGCGACAAGGCAGGCAAAAGCCGCAGAACCATTGGGAGGTATCGTAGAGGAGAATACCACGGGCGCATGAGCAGGGAAACAGAGGAGATATGGTCATGGAACCATAGCAAGATGAGGTAAAGAGTGAGACACAAACAGGGAAACTGCAAAGACATGTTGTTGCTATGTGTCTTAACTTCTTCCTGCTTTC